AGGATTGCTATGTCTTCTTGGAGTTTTACCCTTATGTCATTATGTACCAATCCTTCCTTTCCTAGGACTTGACTTTTCTCTGAAATCGTTCTGTTGGAATTAGTGTATATCATATAATAATACTCACTCCTTTATTTGATTAATGCTTGCATGGTACATCGTTTTCCTTCCTTTCCTTCTTATCTTCTATACTAATATATTTGAAGTGAACTGTTTTTATTTTGGGACAAGGGCTTGCCTTGTCGTTGAGGCTGATCTTAAACTCACTATGTGGCCCAGGCTGGCCTCAAACTCATGGTGATCCTCCTGCCTCGGTCTCCTAAATGTTGGGACTACAGGCATGCACCACCACCACACTGGACTACAGTGAGATTTTTGTAGATAGCTGGGTCTCGGTGGGGCAGGTGGGCAGAGAGGTAGAGAAGTTGATAGGTTAGGGTTTAGGTCTGACGTTTTGTGTTTTGTTTTATGTTTATTTTCTTTTTTGCATTCCTTCATTTTCTTTATTCTGCTTTTTTTGGGTAAATTGCACCCTTTTTAGCATTCCATTTTGGTTAGTCTATAGCATTTTTGAGTGTCTCTCTGTAACTTTTTAAATGGTTGCTTGAGGTATTACATTACTTGTTTAAAACATATCATGGACCACTCATACTGACATGTTGTACCAGTCCAAGTGAACCATAGAAAGATTCCTATCTCCATACCCATACCATCCTTCATTTACAATTATGTCTTTTTTCCTCCATAGACAATGAGAAAACTGCAAGAGTCTGATAATTTTTGCTTCAACCCTCAGAGATAATTTAGAAAACTCATGAAGAGGACTATTGAATTTATCAGTTTTCTCTTTTTTCCATTGTTTTTCTTTTAAATGCTTCAAGACTCCTATTACTACTTCTTGTCTGTTTAGAGACTTTCTTTTCTTATTCTTTTAGTGGAAGTCCTTTGGTGCCAGATTCTCATAGCTTTCTTTCAACTGTGAAAGTAACTTGATTTTATCCTCATTTTGCACTGGATTCAGAATTCTGAAGTGATTTCTGTTTTTCAGCATTTGAAAATGTTGTATGATACCCTCCTGCTTACCAGTAGTCATTATTTCTGAAGAGAAATCTACCGATAACTCATATTGCTTTTCTTCTATAGAAAAGTATTATTTTTCTCTTGCTTTCTTCACAACTTCTAATTGTCAGAAGCTTGATTTGAATATGTCCAACAGCATTGGATTCTCTAATTTTTTCCGGTAGAGTTTATTCGGTTTCTTAGGTCTGTGGCTTTATGTTTGTTTCTTCATTTGTTGCCAAATTTGAGGATTTTCAGCCTTATATCTCAGTTAGTTTTTACTTTCTATCCCTTAGTTTTTGTCTCTATTGCTTCAGTGACCTGGAGAGTAGCCCTTTTGTTATTCTGCCGTAGTCACTCACATGCTTATTTTTGTTTTTAAAGTCTATTTTCCCTGTTGTTCAGATTGGATCAGTTTTATTGTCCTGTCTTCAGGTTGTTGTTTCTGTATTGTTGCTCACATTTGTTGAGCTTTTATTTTGATTATTTTTAACTACATTTTAAATACACATAATGATAACATGCACCATAGGAAATTTATACCTCTGCATGGTATATTTTGCTGCTTCTTTTTTCCCATTGCCCTCACCTTATTTACAAAAGTTGTGTTTCCATTTTCTCCTGCTATTCTTTTTTTCTTATCCCTCCCTTCCTTTCTCCCTCCCCCTCCCTTGTTCCCCTTTTCAGTTGAACATTTTCTTCCCATTAAAATTTCCAAATGGTTATTCTTCATATTTTCTTTTTCCTTATCGAGACTTTTTACTTTTTATTTGTTTCAAACATGTTCTTAATTCCTCATTGAAGCATTTAGGATGGTTGCTTTAAAATCCTCATCAGTTAATTTTAACTTATGTGTCAGGTAGTGGTGATATCTGTTCACTTTTTAATGCCATTTGCAATATTCACAATATTTTTTGTTCTTAATACAAATAGTAAGTTTTGATCAAATCCTACAAAGTTTGGGTTTACACGAAAAAACTGGGTCTGACTTAATTTTGTTTTCAGTGAATTCTTCAGAGGTCACTGCAGTGAGGGGAAAGGGTGCCATCTTGATATAGGGAAATGAAACTCCCAACCTGTTTACTAAATGTCCAGTAGGAGTTCGTGTTCTTGAGAATCAAAGAATGAATTTTAGTAACAACAGAGGTTAAGAGTGGAATATATTTATTGAAAGAAAGACAGCGTCTGTCTGAGAGAGACAGCAGGGGTCCCAAGTGGGTCTCTATAGACTCTGTCCTTTCACATATTTTTATAGAGCAAAACCACAAGATGAGGAGTCCAAGGTGGGGAAAAAATGGGAACTCAAAAGGTGGGCAGAACTATGGTTAACCAATAGGATTAATTGCTCAGCTAAAATTAATTAAACCAGGTACAAATGGGGAAGCGAGTGTCACGTAGCAAGTGGACATGTTTAAAGTACAGTAACCCTTCCTGCAGTGGGTTGGGATGGTGGCTTCTGCCTTTCTCAGGGTGTTAGAGAACTATTTAGAACACCAGTGCTTAGGATGAGGGTGCATTTGTTTGACCCTTTGTCTTAGGCTGACCCACAGCAGGAGGTGTCTGTCTGCCCCACAGTTGCTGAGTGTCTGGGATTCTGCACTGGCTCCTTCAAGGACCCAGCCCTGTCTGACTGCCTATAATATTTCTATCTAACTCAGCTGCCTGCAACAATCTCAGCACTGCCAGGAAGGATTGAAAGTTTAGATTTTTGTTTAAATGTTGTGGACAGGAGACCTCTGCTGATGCCTCCTGGCTGGAGAGTCAGGGAGTAGGTAGTCAATGTAGCCTCCAGTAACACTGTTGAGGAATGGCCTTGCTACTTCTGGGCAGGGGAAGGCCATCCCTTTTTACTAAGCCTCTTCTGATAATACCCCGTGTCAAAGCAAGAATGGTATTTATTGCTACCTACTGGGCATGGAAGATCAGTGTCCCCAGGAGATCACTATTGAACCACAAAGAGGGCAGCTATTACTTATCATTAGTGATGAACATGCTGGTTCTGACAGTTCTCTGACATTACCTCTCAGGCCCTTGTAAAATCTCTTTCCACCGGGCAATAGTGGAAGTCTGAGCCTTGTACTTGGCCTTTGTTGTCTTGGGTGGGATTGGAACTGGTTTTTCTGTGATGTTTGTCATTGAAGAGGTTATTATCTAAACTTTTTTGTCTTGCCAGGTCGCCTCCTTCTTTGAACTTTTCTTGCTTTTATGGCCTTTGTTTGTTTGTGCTATTGGCATGCACCAGCTATCAGTTCGTCTACAACACAGTCTGAGGCACATGAGATGAAAGTAACCTCATGAAACTCACTAGCATGCCCCCTAGCAGATTGCTAATTAGTCTGCCTTTTTCTCTCTAGCTTGCAGTGTCTTCTTACGATTGTTTATGGTTCCGCTATATAATATATCCTCAGGGTGATAGAGGTGGGGAAATAAGGGAAAGTACTTTTACTACATTTTTCTACTTGTGGAAATCAAGTGCTGAGAATTTTGCCTGGCAACCTAGAGGGGTGAGACTTTGAGTCATGGAGTGTGTGGTAGATGGGGAGAAACAATCCATAGGGGTAGCTTGGAATCCAGCAATGAGGTGCAAGCTGGTGAGGGAAAAGGGACTGGTAAGTAATTTCTTGGTGAGTGTCAGCTGATGGGTGGATTCAGAGACAATGGTAGCTGATATTCTATTTGCAGTAGTCTCCTCTGTGTGGCAGTGACTTTCTATTTTCTCCTAAATATGTAACAAGCCTTTATTATCCATAGAACCTTCATGTAAGAGAAAGCAGCAGATGAGGGGAAGATTCTACCATTGCATTTGGGTGCAAAGACAGTGACAACCAGTGATGAAAACCCTACTGACAGAAGGGAGCCTGAGCCCACTGTGGGCATGTGCATTAGCTGTGGAAGCCTGCATGTTCTGAGTTCAGAGGAGAGGTCGTAGCAGCGGGGACCAGGAGCTGAGTCATGGTGAGGAGAGAGTTTTGCTAAGGCTTGGTCCTCTTAAATTCACTGTTCACTGTTAGGATGAAGTGCTCTCCTGCAAGTGGTTTTGAGGCTCTACCAGAAGCTCAGGTGTTCTGGCCCATGGAGCAGAGCTCCCTGTCCTCTCCAGGTGGGCTGTGACTTGGGGCCTGCTGCCATCTGTCCCCTCTGTGGCCTATCTCTGGTCTGCGTCATGAACCCTGAGCCCAGAATCCCTGAAGTATAAACCCAGTGGAGCGGAGACATCCCTGGCAAAGACCTGACTCTCCTGGTTCCACCCTGCTGCTTTAGGAGCCAGGCCAGTGAGAGTGACTCAGCCTCAGACCTACCCGCCAAGCTTACTGAGAGCCTTTGGGCTATGGAAAGGCAATAAGCGTGGGCTTCAGAGTGACCTCTAACCAGTGGAACTTGTTCTAAGATCCACTGCTTTATCTGGAAATGGAGAGATAACACATACCCTACCCTACAGTGTGGCAGTGATTCTGTCACTCCAGTGAGAAGCATGCTATTGGCCACATCACAGCATACTGTGACTGCACCCTCCACAACAACCACAGCAGATGCTGGGTGAGGGAGTCCTTCCTTTTTGCCTTGACTTGTGATAAAATTCTTCTAAGCAGTCATTGAGTGAAATCTAAGTATTAGTGTTAGTGTTATTTTTCCTACTCCCCAAGGACAGATGGAAGAGGGGAGAGAGAAGAAAGAAGGGATAGTTTTTTCTCCATAGTAGCATAATCTTGTTGCTCCCAAAGCTATCAAACTCTGGCCGCTCCCTAGAAGGAATTCTAAAGATACTCCATATAGTTCTGCTCCCCACAGTCCAGACAAAGTTTTCCTGCCCCACTGGCTACTCAAGTGCTGTCAGAGGGTGCAGTTGTGGAGGAGGGAGCTCCTTGTGACCAGAACTGAAAGCAGGATGAGCTACTGCCCAGCTAAGGGCCCCTAAGTGGGAGAGCAGTGCCAACCACAGCTCTATAAATGCTGCCTGCTGGAGGACCTGGAGAAAGAGTCCTCCTGCATCCCAGACAGGGGCCAGGACAATGGCCCTGGTCCTATGGGCCTTTGGCCTGCTGGGCTCAGCTTGTTTGGTGTCAGCCAACATCTTTGGTGAGTGCTCAAGCTAAAACCATGAAACAGGGGAGGGAGGAAGCCTGGAAGAATTCCAGGGTCAGCCAGGCTCTTCTCTGGGGCTTTAATTAGCTATTTGGTCTAATTTAATCCTCACAAAAGCCCAGAGTGGGCTATTGACTCTTCTTTTTTTCCAGGTGAAGAGAGAGTGGCTCAGAGAGCTGGCCTGAATCACCAAGGTCACAGTGCTAGTTACTCACTGAGTGGAGAGGGGAAACAATGTCTTCCTAATTGTCTAGCTCCCCTCATGCCTATGTTAAATTTCTGGCATTGAGATTGAGCTTTTTTCATCCCTTTGGCCACCCCAAAGTCTGTGTCTTCCATGTGAGTGTTTGAGACATAACCAGAAGCCAGTAGAGAAAAAAAAATCTACCCATATAATGAAACAGATCTATGCTTTGGTTCATGCTCTTGCCTTCCTCACTTTGGATAAACTGCCTAGCTACAGCTTCTCCACTAAAAAGTACCAATACTACTTGTCTCTGTTGACGGAGGTGATTTTTGAGCAAGAGTCTGCATGTTACATGGTTCTCAGTGAATAACAGGCATGTGTGTGTTAGTCATTGCTCCATTACCACTGTGTGTGATGGAGGGGCTGCATCTGCAGGAATCAGCTTGATAAGTTCAAGAGCAACCTCCTGATCACTTTCTGACCTCACCCACAGTGGCTCAGGTGAACACAGTATCTCAGGGTTTGTTCTGGAATCCTTCCCTCCTTAGCCATTGACCCTGGATGAGTGATTTGTTCTCTGAGCCTTGGAAATATTACCCATCCCTTCTAGTAGAGTGCAAAGGATTGAAGTGAGCAGAGTCACCCTGGGAGTAGAGTGCATGGCTGCCACACTGCTGGCAGACTCCACTAGTTAGTGACCATGCTGCAAGAAAGCAGCCATCCTTCGGTGAGCCTGTCTGGATCCACCTGTACCTGGCTCTCATGAGTTGCCTCTCTTTGCACAGAATACCAGGTGGATGCCCAGCCACTTCGGCCATGTGAGCTGCAGAGGGAGAGGGCATTTCTGAAGCGCATGGAGTATATCCCCCAGTGCTCTGAGGATGGCAGCTTCCAGTAAGGCTGACTTCGGCGGGGTCTCCTAGCTCTCCACTCCTGCCTCTGCCCATTCTGTGCCTTCCAGCTATGTGGTGTGGGTGTGGAAGTCCTGTCATTTAGAGGGTTACTTCTTAGTTTTTCAGGCTAAATTGACACTGATCAGCGTGGCTGAGAGAATTCATCCTTCATCTCCCTACTGAAGAATGATAACCCTTCTCTTCCTACCAACACACTACCCTGAGTTACTTCAATGAAAAGTGTGTGTGGTCTTTGGTAAAACACAAAAAGGAGACTCCTTGACACCTCCCCCATTCCCACAAGGTATTTTCTTGTTACCTCTGGGATGGAAGGAAGCAGATGTTGATTGTACCCTTGGGTCCACTGATGCTGACCAGCCCACCCAGTTCTTGAGGTTTTTCCTGGTTTGCTCGGTCTCCATCCCTCTTTGAGGAGTTTCACAGCTACCTCACACCAGCTTGGTTTCTGACAGTGTCTCCCTGTAGCTGTGATGATACAGTGAGCAGCTCTTCCCTACGAAGCAAGTGCGAATACTGGAGAATGCATCCAGTTCAAATTTGCATTGCTTGTGCAGATATGCTGAATCTGGGGAACTCTGTACGGCTGTGCTATGAGAAAGAGCTGTGAATGCCCCCCACTCCTGTGAGTTACTTATGTGTCTAACCACGTGTCTCCTGTTCTGAGAGTGTGAAGCAATGCTTCTAGCACAGCCTCTGCTAGGAGGGTATTAGTTGGACTTCTCACTTTGACTGGCATGGTATAAGCTTCTATTCTCATGTCTTTTATTCCAGGCCCTTGCAGGCTCAGGCCTGCCCTGTCACCAAGAAGCTTTGCACACACTTTTCTCTTTGGATGTCTATTGCCATTACTACCTTTGGCCCCCCAAAGGTCTCATTTGAACCATCATTTCCATGGCCTGGTTCCGTGCCACTCAGTACACCCCATCCAGCCTTCAGGTCTCTGACCTCACCATCTTAGAGGCTGTGTGTAGCCTTAGGAATCCCTAACAGTGTCATCTGCTGTGTCCCTCCTCCTCAGGACCATCCAGTGCAGAAATGATGGCCGCTCCTGCTGGTGTGTGGATGCCGATGGCAGGGAAGTTCCAGGCAGCAGGCAGTCCAGGAGACCGGCAGCCTGTGAGTGTGAAGCAGGCACCAGGTGGGACAGGCGCTGGGCACCTACATTGTGGAAAGAGCACTGGGCATGGGCTAGTCTTGCTTGGGACTGCTGGTTTGTCCTCTCTTAATAAAAAGAGTCCCTGCATACCATGCAGGCTGAGACTTCTGAGCACCACTGTAAGAATCAAAGGAGACAACTGAGTCATTCTTTCAGCAAAACACTGCTGAGGTTTTCCCAGGCACCTAAAGAACCTTGACAAGGAGCCATCACAGTGTTCAGGCCAGAGGGTGGCCCTGAACCTGGAGTGTTTTCTCACCTAGGGTATGGGGTAGCTGTAGGACTTGGGACTTAGGTAAAAGCTTTACAGTTAAAATAATTACTACAATAATACAAGAAGCATAGTCTCCATTGAAGGCATGGCATATCTTGAAACAAGGGTTTAACTTGCTGACTTAAAATGATGAAATTGAGCCTAAAAAGAAAGCTACTCTTTAATGCCTAGTAGGTCTGTTTGGGGCACTGGTTTTATGTGGCTACTATGGCTGACTGGCGGATCAGGCTGGCTCCTTCCACTCTGGGGCAGTGTGACCTTGGCTGTGTCACATGCCCGCACTGAGCTGAGGCTGCTGCTCTGCAACATGAATACAGGACCTGCTTCTTAGTGATGTGAGGATGTAACCACACAAAATAATCAGGCACATAGTAGGTATTCAGAGGAGCAATACTTAGGTCACTCTCCCTCATGAGCCTGGAGGAAGGCAGCTTCTTTTCAACTGCAGATAAGGAGAGGGAAGCATAGAGTAGTGAAATAGCTTTCCAAGGTCCCTGCCAGTCATGCACAGAAGTTCTGATTCAGACAAGCTCTGTTAGCACTGGCCTGAATCTCCCAGCGCCGAGCCAAGGTGATGGGGTATGTGCTTGACAATGTGATACTATCCAGGATACTAGAGCCTTTTGAATGATGTTTTTTTTTTTGTTTGTTTGTTTGTTTGTTTGCTTGTTTTTATTGTTTGTTTGGTTGGTTTGGATGGCTTTTTTTTTGTTGTTGTTGTTTCTGTTTTTTGGAGACAAAGTCTCACTCTGTAAATTAGGCTGGCTTTGAACTCATTGAGTAGCCCATACTGGGCCTAGAACTTGCAACAATCCATCTGCCTCAGTCTCCTAAGCTCTGGCATTACAGGCATGTGCTTCCATGCCTAACTTGAATGCTGGTTTTGAGCTTCCTTGAGCTGCGCATTTTCCTCTCTGCTCTATCCCTTAGGGAGGCAGGAAGTGTCCTGGGCTCGGCACTGGGACATCCTCCCTGCAGCATTCCACTGATGCTGCCCTTTGCCCCCTCAGGCCTGTCCTTTTGCCAGCTGCACCGACAGCAGATCCTATTGAATGGCTACCTTAACAGCACGGCCACATCCTATCTGCCTCAGTGCCAGGACTCGGGAGACTATGCATCCGTGCAGTGTGACCTGTGGCAGACAGAGTGCTGGTGTGTGGACACAGAGGGGATGGAGGTGTACGGCACCCGCCAGCTGGGGAGGCCAACACGATGTAAGTCTCATGGGAACGCAGCACAATGGATGACACAGCTCTCCTCACGTTAGACCAGATGGTTCAGGCCTGCCAATTCACGTAGGTAGAGAGCCTGGCCTTAGAGGGACTGAGTGTTGTGAAAGTTGGTTTCATCAGTCCTGTAGTCTTGCAGGCTGCATGATTTTCCCTTAGGGTGATCACTAGGCATACAAACAGGACTTCAGTGAGTTGAGTTTTTCCTGCTGCAGCTCTTAGTTGCTGTCACGTGTAGCATAAGTAAAGGCATCATGACACCGAAACATAGGCACCTACCTGTCCATAAGAATGGATTAACATTCTTTCATTTTTAGGTCCAAGGAGCTGTGAGATCAGAAACCGTCGTATTCTCCACGGGGTGGGAGACAAGTCACCCCCTCAGTGTTCTCCAGAGGGGGAGTTTCTGCCTGTTCAGTGCAAGTTTGTCAACACCACAGACATGATGATCTTCGATCTGATCCACAGCTACAACAGGTAGGGGAAACAGCCCCGAGCTCTGCACATCCCTGGGCCAGCTCTCTTGCTCATGGGGAAGAATTACGGGGTGCTGCTGGCGAACATCCTCAGTATTTCAACATTTCTAAGAAATTAAGACACAATTGCTATTTTCTGTGTTAACTTTTTTTACTCTGGCCTGAGAAAACCAAGCTAACAGAGGAAAGATTTTCTCCGGTTCACAATTTCAGAGGTTCAGACCATAGTCACTTGACTTCATTGCTTCTTGGCCTGTGGGAAGATAGACAATCACAGAGGAAGGGTGTGATAGAGAAAATCTGCTTACTTCATGGCAGGGAGGAAGCAGAAAAAAAAGGCAAAGACTCAAAAAGGGGCCAGGGACCAGACAGTCTCCAGGATCACACCCCCACTTCCTTAAAATACGTCCCACCTCCTATTTTTAGGACCTTTCAATATCATCAAAATATGATTTCATTGAGCCTAATCCATCCTGAAACTAGAGCCTTCATAATCTGATCACTTTCTGAAAGCTCTGCCTTGCACATGTGAGCATTTGAAGGGCATTTTAGTTCTAACAGCTTTTAAAATTAAAAATGTGTGTAATCTGGACCAGCCAGCTCATGCAAACAAAAACACTGGAATATGAAGACATGTACCAAGACGGCACCTGCATTTGTTTTCATTGTAGCAGGAAAATGGAGGAAAAGATAGCTATCAGAAGTGGTAGAAGGGCTGGGCATGGTTTAAGAGATGGAAGCAGGGGAATCGCTGCAAGTTTGAGGCCAGCCTGGGCTACGGAGTAAGTTCAACGCCGGTCTGAACTATACAACGAGACCGTCTCAAAACAAACAAACAAACAAACAAACAAAAAACCAAATGGTGGCCAACTGGATAAATGTATAGGCACTGAAAAATATTTTGCAGCTTTTTCAAAGGAATGCATTAAAGCTCAAATAGCTGAATCGTAGAGCAGTGTAGAGTATGTTATGATAACATGATTCAATATATAATATGTCATAATATAACATGATTTAATTTTGAAGAAATAAGAATAAAAATCTTTATATGGGCTTATATGGTTTTATGATTATGCTAGCTATGGGAGCACAGAAGCCATGTGAAGCATATATGTGGTTATCGCTGGCCACTTTGTAGGTTAGGGCTGTGTAGAAAGGGAGCAGGCAGAAGGCATGTCAGCAGAGAAGGCAAGAAAACCATGGATGTAATTATATTATGAGCTTATATAAATTGTATATATTCATCGATAAATAACTTTGTAGATTTAGATAACGAATGGAAAAAGAGAGATGAATTAGAAGTCTTGATTCAAAGAGCCATATAGCTTTTGACTGTTCAAGATGGCACCCTGGCTCTGGTAAAAGCTTTACACAGACTTCAGATATAATCAAATCAATCTGAGTCAAAAGAAGCAGGAGTGCTGGTCTGTGAATGCTGATGAGTATTCTGTGGAAGAGCCTGAGTCTCTGGGTAGCTGACTTCCAAAGCACCCGGTCGCTCACTGTGAGGCAGCGGAGGGTCCCATGGACTGTACCAGCAGTAGTTGTAGACCAGCAGCCTGTGTGCAGGAACACTTACTAGATGGACTTGGTGTGAGACACAGAATATTTTCAAAACTGGGAACTTTTATTAGCTTATACATGGTGAAGTTTCCATTTTTGAAGAGATAAGATATAAGACATTGTAATGTAATATGATTTAATTTTTAAGAAACAAGGATAAAATTCTTTATATAGGCTTACATGATTTTATTATTGTAAAAAATTAGTTGAGCATCAGTAATTTCATATGTTCAACCTAAAATTCCAAAGTATGACTCTGTGGTTTCATTGTAGGGAATTCCCATGCATCAGCAAATTTAGGTGAGATGTTTACCCCCAGGCAACTAGAGAATGGATGACCTGTGAGCATGTAAATTCTCAGGCAGCCTGATTTACTGAATGCCTACCAATTTAAGTTAAGATGTTCTCAGATCGAGTTCAACCAAATGTTCACTGAATCCATGGGATTTAATACATGACTACTTACCCAGAAAGATGATTTCATAGTCATAGCCTCTAAGATACCCTTGAGGAATCTGGACTCTGGTTAAGGAACTCATCCTAGAAGTACAGATAGTAGGTTCTTAAGGTGTGTGGCTCCTTTCATTGTCCCGCACTGTTATGACTTGTTGGTATTCACCACCGAGTATACCACAGAGTTTTGTACGCAGGGCATCTACACTCAGTGCTTAATGAAGAGGCAGATTTATCAAGAACTCGGGCTGGGGATTTAGCTCAGTGGCATAAGCACCTGCCTCGCAAGCAGGGGGTCGTGAGTTCAATCCCCGATATCGATTAAAAAAAAAAAAAAGAACTTGGCAGATGCCTTGATGAGGCTGAAGCAAAACTCCTGGCTACCTCCACAAGAGGGCGGTCTAGTTCAACACAAAGTTAGGAATTTCACTTTCATTGTTACACACACACACACACACACACACACACACACACACACACACGTGCACAAGCACATGTACACATGCACACAATCCCTCCTAACATAGGATCCTTTTCTTTTCTGTAAGGAAACATGTTTAAGAATAAATTCTAGTTTAGGAAGGTCATGGGAAGGGTTGGGTGGTTGACAACTGCAAGTCTGTCTTGGTAATCGGGAGATTTTTGAATAACTATCTTGAGGTGGCCAGTCCCAGTTCCAGTTGCCAGTTCCAGTGACTTCTCAGAGCAAAGTGGCCATAGCCTCGGAGGAGACCACAGGGAGAGTTTAGGTTTAGCACCTGGGATTGCCAGAAGCAATGCAGGACAGCCGGTTACAGGTGAATTTCAGATAAACCAAGAGTAATTGTTTTTGTGTATGGCCTCAACTTACCAAGTCTTTTATGGCTGGGAGCTGAGGTAGGGTAGAAAATCCAACCCTGGGCTTAGACTGTGGAAACGGTGGTTGGGTCAGGGAGGAGCAGAGCAGGGGACTGAGTTTGGCAGCTGCTGGCCTAACTTGGGGTGGGGGCAGACATTGCCTCAGCCTAAGCGGACAGTGGATGGAGTGTCTGAGGGAAAGCTGGGGCGTGAGAAATATTTACCAGGTGGAAAATGCAGTGTGATGAGGGAGCAGATGTGGAGGTGAGGGAGGGAGAGTCAGGGATGGCTCCTTAATCTGCTTTCCGAGTGGGTATTAAGATTGAATTTGAAAGGGAAAAGTTGCAAAATTGACTTGTTCATGTATATACTTTTAAGTTTTAGGCAAAGCTTTCTTCAGAATATTGAATCGGGCATTTCCTTGGTAAAACCTATGGGCAGCTCATTCACCAACCCATTATGAGTTCGTGGCGTGCTGGATAATGAGTTAGACTTGAACTTGGCCGTAGCATTTGCCCATTTGAAGTATGTCGTTGGGCCTCTTTACACATCTATTTGACTGGTGGCTTTTTAAGAAAGAATGTGACAGAGAATATTCTTCAACCCTCCCCTTTCTGATTGCCTTAATTCAAACATCAGCTATGGAGATCCATTCCGCCAACCAGATCACAGTTAAAGATCTGCAGAACCTTCAAGCAAGGCTGACGCCATTATCAGGGCTTTGGTAATCTGAGTTAAAATGGTTTCTTCATCATTTGCCTTTAGTGACAGAGTTACTCATACTTGTTAGCAATGAGTCTCACCTCAAATGCCTCAGCAATAGATGCTGCTCTGATTGTGTGATGAAATGGGTTAGTGCATCTTATTATGAGATGAAGGACAACTCTCGTCAAAATATAGAGGATATCATATAGAAAACCCTTGCTGATGTGTGTATGATCATCTCCACCCAGGATTCCTGCAGGGGCGGTGGTGCCTCAGGCACCATGCTAGGCTATGGTCTCTCCCTTGAGGAATACCTATCCTAGTGCAGGAGACAGCCTCATGCATTGCTCATTCATTCACTGGTAGTTAGGGTTCTGAAGGGGCTGCTGGTTGCAGAGCTTAGAGAATCTGTGTGAGCAAGGGTCACTGAACATGAATCCTACTTTGCAAGTGACAGGATCTAGCCCTGGTGGGGACTGGCGTTTCAGTCACTAAGCTTTGTTTGTAATTTCTATAAGTCTAGGTTGGCCATAGTCTGAACATAAACTTAAAAATACCACGGCTTTATCCACCCCTAGAATTTTCTTTATTTGGGACGCTTTTATGACCACTCTCAAAATCTGCCTTTTTTGAAGTTTTTTTTTTTTATTTTACTTATATCTGTTTGCAGTTTGTATAGATTGCAGTCATCCTGGGGAGTGGCTACATGTACATATTACAGTATGTTTTTCCATGTTGTTTCTTTTTTTTCAAATTCCCTTCCATATATTATCCGCAGGAATGCTTTTCTTCTTCCCAACACAAGACAAACAACCTTTTCCACTAGACAAAATACATAATTTTATTTTCAAATACTGCATTTATTTTATGTTTCTTCTTTTTTTCTCAATATGCCCAGAATATAATAAAAATAGGAACGCTAGGAAATCACGAGGAAGGCGAAATAAGAGCTGACCTAAGTCAAAGATGAGTCCTCTGCAAACATTTTATCAAGTTTTAAGAAGCATGAGGAACATTGTATTTATCTCCAAGCTCCAAAGACCAGAGAAATGAGCAAAAGGCATTAAGTTGGAAAGTGTTAAATTATTCAGTTTCTGCTTAGACAAAAATGATTCCGTTTCTCAAAGTAATACAATCTCTTCCTCAACTGAGGACAGGATGACTTTAGTCCTCAGGCACTCACAATGACGACTGTGTGCCACTGAGTCTATGTGACCTGACAATCACCCGATGCCAGTGACAGCAGCAGTTCCCTAAGGTTGGTGCCACAAGAAGTCACAGGTGCGGCATCTCCGCACACTGCATTTCAGGGACAGGGATACAGGGGTGCTGGCATTCTCGCATTCTGCCCACAGAGTGGGCAAACTAATGTCAGGATTGAGCAGGGCTGTCCTACTCCCATCAGAGCCTTCAGTTCAGTCCAGAAGTCCAGTGCTCCTTGTGTTATGTAGGCAGGAGCTAGAGTAAGGTCACTAGAAGCCTCTTGCCCTGGCCTGGTATCCAGTGACAAGCTCCAAAGCAGAAGCAACAACTAAATCATCCTAACAATGCGGGTTAGCATGTTGGAGGAGGAGTCCAAACTCATAGGTAGTGATATCATTTCAGAAGCTACCTATTCAAATTCAGTCGTATTAAGTAGAACTGTGAATGCATAGGAACTTGGGGTGATTCAGAGCCTGAGTTCACTGCTGGTTGCTGTACAGCCCCTGGAGGTCCATGCTCTGTTTTCGTGGTAGTGTCCCATCCTGGCCACATTCTGTGTTGGAAGGGCATGGTAAGAGAACACAGGACACCTCTTCTGGGGCTTGGCTGGGGAAGCATACCACATTGCCACTCTGATTCCTGATTTCTCATTTCAAAAGGGTTGTTGCGAGAATTAAATAAGATAAAATCTGGAGAGCACTTGGCATGATGTGTGATTGTTAAATACATGTCACTTATTACTATTTTTGAGTGCAATTAATATCAATCACAAATGGTGAGGCCAGGGAAGAAATTCTGATATATTTGGTTCCAGGCACTTAGCTGTTCTTGCCACATATGGGATTGGAAAGAAGGGACTGCATGTGGCAGCACAGAACATCTTCCAAAGGGGCGGTCAAGGGTCAGCCCTAGAGGGACTAAGCAGCAGTGACTGGACTTAGGGCAATCTCCTTGCAAACTGGAAGGACCTCACCTCCACAGGAAGCCAGGGTGACCTCCAGCAAGCCTGGGGCAGGGGGATCTCAAGAGTACTGAACATATCCAGAGCACTGCTAGGTCTAGGTATTGGGCAATTTATAAAACCAGGAACCAGAAGCCCGAGGAGAGGGACTTTATTCATAAAATGGTGGAGGAAAAATAGCACAAATACTATGGAGGCTGTGATTTCCCTGAGCCAAGAGGATGAGGTGGGCCTGTAGGTTGTGGCTGGAGAGTGTAGATGGAAGGAGAGATTCAAGCTTGTGCTTTGTGCTAGAATAGATGTCAGAATCCATTTAAGCCAGCTAGGTGGTAGATAGTGCGTGTATCTCTGGTATGTCTGTCTTCAGGACCTACTAAATGCCAGGAGAAGTGAAGTGTTGAGCATGGGGAGAGGGGTGTCAGGACACAGGAATATGCATCACAAGACATGGATCCAGAAGCAAGCACAGCCAAGCACACACTGAGTAAGAGCTCTGGCAGGGTCAGGTATCATGTGGTAAGAGCAGAGTGGGAGCCTCAGTTCCCACCACGAGATCAAGTTTCCACCACGAGTGGAAGCCTCAGTTCCCGCCCACGTACCTCAGCGTCTTCATCTCTAAAATGAGATGCAGATTACACCACCTTCCTTTTAGCAACCATAAGTGGATTAAATGACTGACATACATTCGACATTTTGCAGGTTGATTCTTGTAAAATATTATTCAGTAAATAGAAGCAATAGTTACACAAATTTTTAACAATTCTAGAATTGAATTATCCTCCTTTCCAATGAATTAACTTTCTATTATATACTCCCTATCAGAGGCAATTAGGCAAAATGAAATTTCAGTTTTTATTGTGTAATACATTTTCTACAATATTCTTTTTAATATAACCCACAATATATAATAATGGGCCAATAATATGAAAGAAACTCATAATCCTATAGTTTTTATAACTTTTGCTTTGCATATTTACTTCCATTCAAATTAACTAATACTCTTTGCATTCCATATTCAGAATTGGGTGGATGCTACCCTGTGTATTTCCCTCCAGTACTGACCTGTTTACAGTCACAGCAGTGGCACATACAACAATTTTTTTTTGTACAAGGGATCGAATTCATGACCATGCTCTTGCAAGGCAGGTGCTTATGAGCTAAATCCCCAGCACCGCCCCCCCCCCTGCCACAGCATTTTATATAGCACTTTCTATACAATCTGTCCCCTTGTGGCTGTATTTATAAGTGTCATCCTTAACTGTAGTAATTTATTTCATTTAGGGAATTTGCTATAATAGACTTTCTTAATTTTTCATTTTTGTACATGAGGATGCTTCAATATTCTGGTAGAAGAGATTATAGAAGGTTATTGTTTGAACAGAAGGTTACTGATCTGCTGATATATGATTTTAAGATAGATTTCCAGATGTACTTGGGCCTCACGTACTAATTATACAGGGCTTTAAAACTCCGTCTGTGTTGTATAAAGATGGAAATTCTCTGGTGGATAGATTACTGCATCTGGGGAGGACTCTATGGCTCTCCAAACTTCAGTTTCCTGCTACTTCCAGGACAGGACTCACCCAGGCCATGAACTCCTTGTACCAACTTCCAGGTCGACCATGGCTAAGGCTGACCTTTCCTGAACTTATGCAAAACCACGATCCCCTTATTGATGTTGTCATATTTACTTTGTGTGCCCTTGTTGATGATGTCATATTGACTTTGTGTTTCTTGCAGGTATGGAACTGGAAATTTTCCTTCTCACAATTCTTGTACGGTGGAATCTGGCTGTTCTCCAAGCTCTTGAAAAGTTGTAAAGAGCTCAGCAATGATTTGATTTTGCAAAATGAGATCATGCATAGTGTACCACGTTTGTAAAGCAGACTTAGCCTTTTATCTCTAAAGCTGTATTCTAATAAAGATTCCAGTTAATGTGGTGTGTCACTGCATGTTTTTTGCCTGGCCCAGAGAGAAACATGCATGGACATAAACTGACCAAATCCCATAAATGAGGAAAATAACTAACTGGTAAATGAAAGCTACAGTTCACAAGGGTCAGGCTTGCTCTGGCTGGCTAAGACCTGTGTAGGAAAGAAATGCACTTTATTGCACGACTCATGGGACCTATAGCTGTGAGCCAAAAGTGGACACTCCTCTCCCACAGATGACAATCTGGCTACATTTATTTTGACAAGAACTGAGGATGCTTCTACACGATGGTGACTAGAAATCATGTTCTCTTTCAGGTTTCCAGATGCATTTGTGACCTTCAGTTCCTTCAAGAGCAGGTTCCCAGAGGTGTCTGGCTACTGCCACTGTGCTGACAGTCAAGGGCGGGAACTGGCTGAGACAGGTGAGCAGCCCATCCCTAGGAGCCAGAATGGAGGGACTACAATCTCCAGGCTCAGAGACTTAACCTCATTGCCAGGGAAGCAGAAGTAGTACTGACCACTGCCTCCCTTGACAGGCTGCTGGGGGTATGGGAGAGAATGTGGCCTCAGTGAGCTTCTGTCTGTGGTACTCTGAAAGCAGCTGCTGTGGCCCATCCTGTGCCTTCATGCACATTACAAAAGTCCCCACCGCTAAGCACATGCAGCTTAGATAGAGCTTGGAGAGTGGAAGGCAGGGCGGATTTCAACCTCTCATTCACTAGGCAGTGCACCTTTGTGCCATGAACAACCTGCACCCCTAGACACAGTAGCCCTGACTTTAAAGAAATGTTCAGACCTGATGCCTAACTGTGCTGGAGAAAGTTCTGTACTCCTTGCTATTTGTCAGCACAGCAAAGTCTGGTCTGTCTTTCCATATGAGCCCATCCCTGAAATGCTGGCTGCCTTTGCTCAGGTTTGGAGCTGTTACTGGATGAAATTTATGACACCATTTTCGCTGGCCTGGACCTGACTTCTACTTTCACTGAATCCACTCTGTACCGGATATTGCAGAGACGGTTCCTAGCAGTCCAGTTAGTCGTCTCTGGAAGATTCCGATGTAAGTAATACGCTGCCAAAAGACGTGTGTTTTACTGGGGGGAGCTGCTTGTGGTTTAAGGTCACTGCAGGCTGCCTGGGTGTTCCACCAAAGTAAGCACAGTGGTTTAGAATGCTAACAGCAGTGGGCAGTGCATTCTGGGAGTGTGTGCGGTGTGGCCCACTGCCTTTCACAGTGTCCTTGTTCCTCTGTGGCTCTCTTACAGGCCCCACCAAATGTGAAGTGGAGCGATTTGCAGCAGCTAGCTTTGATCACCCCTACATTCCAAGCTGCCACCGAAATGGGGACTACCAGGCTGTGCAGTGCCAGACACAGGGGCCATGCTGGTGTGTGGATGCCCAGGGGAAGGAGATCCCCGGAACTCAGCAGTGGGCAGGGGAGCCACCTTCTTGTGGTGGGTTTGCTTTCTGGGGCATCTTCCTCTTATCTCTGATTAGACACTTCCCTGTTTCCAGACCAGCCTCTCTGAAGCCCTTAGTTCAACAACCCTTTTAGCTCACCACAGCTGAAAAGCAGCTCGTTGTTACCAATTCCCAGCATGCTTCTTGTCTTGTGTCAACTATAGCTGCTTCCTCCCAGAGCTCCAGGGATATTCAGGAGCTCAGAGGTGAAATAAAAGCAAAGGGGGGTTAGGTTCACACGTGCCACAGAAAAAGCATGGCCAAGCAGCTGAAGGGGCATAAGGGTGGAGTTTGCCAGTTCCATCTCAGAGCAAATGTGAGAAGGGAAGAGATGCTTGGGAATGCTGGCACTCCACCGGAGCGTCTGCACGGAAATGCTTCTGGGGGAGAGAGGAGGGGAGCCTCATGGCAAGGATGTTGGATGCAGGTAATGCTCTGTGGGTGGTCACTGACTCAGCAGGAGTGGGGTGGAGGGGTGCTCTGCATGGGGAGATGGTGGAAGGAGCCAGAGAAGGGGTGGAAGAGCAGAAATGAGGATGATGGGGTCTTTCTTTTATTTATGTATTTGGTACCAGGAATCGAACTCATGACCTCATGCTTTCCAGGCAGGTGCTGTGCCACTGAGTTACAGCCCAGGCCCGAGATCTTTCTTATCCTACTGAGGGCTTCAAGCTGCAGGTGCCCACCTGGGTTTTGTGTGTGTGAGACAGATCACCTGTAGAGCTCAGGGATTGGAAAAAGCGTTGGATCTGAGGCAGTGGAGTCCACTGGAACAGAGATGGTGGAGGCTTTACTTGTTCCTAAGGGCTGTTTTAATAAGGCATCAAAAATTGGGTGGCTTAAAAAAACCAGAATTCATCACTTCACAGATCTAGAGTCTCAGCATCCAAATTCAAGGAGTCACAAGGATGTGCCTGTCTGCAGGTTCCTCGAGAAGAGCCTGTCTTGCCACTTCTTAGCTTGTGGTGGGTGCCAGCAATCCTGGTGGGGCACAGGCTTTGGCTAGTACCAAAATAAATCCAATCTGGGTTTCCATTGTCCACGGCTACCTTTCCTCTGTGTCTGTCTCTTCTTTCTGATGCAAGTATCAGTCATGTTAGACTGAGGGCCCCATGGCCAGCTTTTTCTTAGCCAATTACAGTCACAGGAGCTCTTTGCCAAGTGGGATCACATTCTGTAGTTCTGGGAAGATACTGCATTTTGGAGGAACATTGTTTAACCTGGTTTGGGGACCAATACTAATGTTGTAGGAGGGAAGGACATAAACTTGGGAACAGCTACTGCTAGCATCCCAGTAAGACCCCATCTCATCCTCCCAGTGGGACTGGAAGAGCGCTAGCAGTGGGAGGAGAGGGAGGGACCCAGCGCCCTCCCAGTCTTCCTCCATAGGGAGTGAGGTGGGTGAGAAAGGTCTGGAGGAGCAGTGCAGGAGGGGCATGAGCTTTGCTTAGCTACACAGTAGGCGTCTGTTAACATTCATCCAATACTTTCTTGTTAAATCATCCATTTTTCCCACTTCACCTTTTGTATTTTCTGCCTGGTGTTTGTTAGTATTCTAAGATAGACTACTAAGATAGAATATTAAGTGTGAGATTTCAAAACAGGAAATCTAGGTGCCTTCCCTTGAATGCATTTATAATTACATTTGAGGTTTTTAAAAATTATTTTAAAAAGCAAAACAGAAAAAAATAAATGATACAGAATTTTTAAAAATAGTGAAATTAACATTAGTTAATATATTGCATATTGTTATCTTAGAACTTGTGTTCAGGTTACAAGATCTAGGCACAAAAATGATGAAACGGTCAAACAATGACAGTACAAACAGTTCTTTTTGATGAACTAACAAAGACTGGTAGTATAGTTATCTATCTTGCATATGCACACACACACAACACTATATATGTATACTTACATACATACAATCTTTTCCTTTCTTCCTTTTTCTATCACAGTTGTTTCTTCCTTTTGAGCTCTTTCTTTCCTTTCATTATTAGGGATTGTTTTGTATAATTTGGATCCTATTATGCTTTCAGTTTTTTTTTTTAACTAGGGAAACAGTATGATATTTATAAATGTGTTTCATTTATTCATTGACGAGTATGGTCTCCAGTTGCCTCCATTTACCTATACTAGCCTCAAATCTTGGATACATTTTGAGTTTTGAGTATAAGGAAAGATTGCCTCCCAGCTCTCAGGTAGAAATGAAGAATTCGGACTTGCAAAATTAAAAATATTATGTCTATCAAATTCATGGTTGGATTATATATTTCTATCTTTTCTCTTCGGTGTGTCAGCCCTGTAGAAACAAATGGCCCATCGAAACAACATCTGGGTGTTTTTGCCCTGGGAGCACTCCATAAATAATGCATGGAGGGGTGGTTCAGTTTTCCATTAGCAGATAAAGATGCAAAGCAGTGACTGTGTCATCCACATCTGCCTTTAACCCCCACTAAGAGGGCCAGGGCCATGCTGGGGTATGCGCTGTGGGTTCCTGTGTTGCCACCTTTACCCCTCTCACCACATGATCCAATTCTTTTTTTGTTGCCTAAGTACCAAGGAAAATCTGTCTGACTTCCTTTTTAGTACTTATTTGAATCAAGAGGAAATAATTACTTTAAAAAGTTGAGAATAGGGTGCATGGTTTAAAATACCCTAAGTTTTATGAGTTCATGGAAAAGTGGAGCTTACTAACCTTTACCTGTGTGACTGAGGCAGCCCCTGGCTTTTTCTTAGTGGATTCCATGCAAGCTGCATACTAAGATAGAATGGCTTGAGCATGCATGGAGGTGACAGGTCGATCACCCCTAGCCAGACATTTCAAGAAAAGACTAAGAAACCCAGAAGGGATGTGTTTATGTATTTGCTGGGTGGGTATTATTGTATTATATTACAGGAATATCATATTTCCTATGCCATATATTTTATTCCATTTTTTAAATTTTTAAAAAAACTTTTTTAGAATTTAAAAAAAATTTTTTTTTGGTTTTTAGGCTGTCCTCAAACTCACTATTTGGCCCAGGCTGGCCTCCTGCCCTCTGTGATCCTCTGCCTCAGTCTTCTGAGTTTTAGATTTACAGGCATGTGTTACCATAAGAAACACTAACAATATTTAAGGTAGGAGTTTTATCCTCAGAGAGATTGCAAACTTATTAGCTTAGACGAGACTGCCTGTAAAAGAGGGATTATCAGGTAGTGAAGCATTAAAGTCTGTTAAGAATTCTAACAAGAGAACTCTGAAAGACAACATTTCAGGGAATCTGTTCATGTGCTGGCTTCCTAGGCTGCCATGATACATCATCACAAACTGCGTGGCTTAACAGAAATCTGTTCTCTCACAGTGCTGGAGGCCAGAAACCTGAAGTCAGGGCTTTGACAGGGCTATGAGGCACCATCCCCCAGTACGGTTGCTGGAAACTTTTGTCATTTCTGGGCTTGTGTATCCCCTCCAGTGTTCTCAGTTCTCACCTGGACCGCTTCTTCTGGTGTCTCCATGTCTCTATATGTCCGTCTCACGAACACTAGTCACTGTGCCTACAGATCACTCTAATCCACGATGACATTATTTGAACTTGATTCTATTTGCCACGAATCTATTTCTAAACATGAGCTCATTTTGAGGTTTGAGGTAGACATAGATTTGTGGGAGAACGTTTTTAAACTGAAGTCAGTTGGCAAACAAGGTCAGCCTTCCAGAAAGCGGGCCAGTGTGTACAAGGCCTACTGTGGACTGTACCCTAGTGGAAGCTAGGGGAGGGATCAGGAGGACTGGAACAGTCGTTTTCTCCAAATGACCCTGCAGACATGGCCCAGAGGTAAAGAAAACACAGTAAAAGACTACCAAGAAGAAAGTGCTCCAAAATGAAGGTATCTTTGGTGGGATTTTTGGTGTCTGGGTGCTAGAAGGATCTGAAGGATCTTGGGCTTGCTGGTGAAGTTAAACCCTGTTTCCCATTTCTATCCATGCAGCTGGAGACCAGTCTTGCTCCTCAGAAAGGCAGCAGGCCTTGTCCAGGCTCTACTTCGGGCCCTCTGGCTACTTCAGCCAAAGCAACTTGTTTCCTGCCCCTGAGGAAGAACAGGCTTCTCTGGGAGGAACGAGGCCTGCCACAGCCTGCCCATCTCAGATCAAGCAGCTCTTCGTTGACTCGGGGCTTCTTCACCTCATGACGAAAGGGCAGGACCCACAGGCCTCTGCATTCCAAAGTCTTCTTGGAGAGGCTACAAGAGCTATTTTTCCCTCCCGAGAGCTGGCCCGTCTCGCCCTTCAGTTTACCACCAACCCAAAGCGGCTCCAACAAAACCTCTTTGGAGGGACATTTTTGGTGAACCTTGGCCAGTTTAACTTGTCTGGAGCCCTTGGAATGAGAGGCACATTTAACTTCAGTCAGTTTTTCCAGCAGCTTGGTCTCTCGGGCTTCCTGAATAGAGGGGGAGCAGTAGAGCCAGTCAAACTACCTTCTGTAGTGCTAGATGTAAATTCTGCCACAAAATCCCTCTCTATGAATAAGACAATTGTGGGCAGCTTTGGATTTCAAATCAATGTGCAAGAAAACCAAAATGCCTTAAAGTTCATCGTCTCTCTGCTGGAGCTTCCAGAATTCCTTCTCTTCTTGCAGCGGGCTCTTTCTGTGCCAGAAGATGTGGCAAGGGACGTGGGTGATGTGATGGGGATGGTGCTCAGCTCCCAGGCCTGTGGACAGAGCCCTGGAAGGCTCTTTGTCCCCTCATGCACAGAGGAAGGAGGTTATGAGGATGTCCAGTGTTTTGCTGGAGACTGCTGGTGTGTGGACTTTTGGGGCAAAGAAATTCCTAATTCAAGAGTCCGAGGTGGACAGCCAAGGTGCCCCACTGAATGTGAGAAGCAAAGGGCTCGCATGCAAAGCCTCATACGCAACCAGCCAGCCGGGGCCAGCGTGTTTGTCCCTTCTTGTAGCACTGAGGGGCATTTCCTGCCTGTCCAGTGCTTCAACTCAGAGTGCTACTGCGTTGATTCTGAGGGTCGGGCTATTCCCGGAACTCAGAGTCCACTTGGGGAACCCAAGCAGTGTAAGTCTGTTGGGTATTTGATCTGCAGACTCACTGGTCACTCTTTAGACCCTGAGCCAACAAGCACAGAAAATTCACTGCTGGATAGAGGGTGAAATTCAGTGAATGGAGAAATTGGGTGCTTCAATGAGGAGTTATCCAGGAGGGCCTTGCTAATGTTAACCATTTGTAGGATCAAGTGGGGAGACTGCTTTTACCTTAAAGAACTCCATGTGTTTCCATAGTGCTGGTCAGTGGCTTTAGATAACATAGCCATGGTGCCCTTTGCCTATGTTGTCTATAAAGTTAAGGCTGCCAAGATTTCTGCAGCTATATAAGGTTGTAGATAACAGTTTAGGCCCTTAAGTGATTTCATTTGTGTCTTTCTGTCCTATGAAATTTTTTCAACTAAAATTCCTATTTATTATTCCTCCCCAGGTCCCAGCCTCTGTCAGTTACGGGCTGAGCAAGCTTTCCTAGGCATGGTACGGACTCTTCTCTCTAACTCCAGTGTGCCACCCACCCTCTCCAGCATCTACATCCCACAGTGCAGTGTCAGTGGGCAGTGGCAGCGTGTACAGTGTGATGGGCCACCAGAGCAGGTCTTCGAGTGGTATGATCGATGGAGGGCTCAGAACCCTGAGGCCAAGGATCTGAGCCCTGCCAGCCTTCTGATGACCCTCATAAGCTATAAAAGAGAAGCCTCTGGAAATTTCCACCTCTTTGTTCAAACTCTGTATGAGGCTGGCCAACAAGGTATCTTCCCAGTGCTGGCACCATTTGCCTCCCTCCAGGAAGTCCCACCAGCCGTGTTGGAAGGGAACCTGACTCTGTCTACAGAGAACCTCTTTCTGGAGCCCTACTTCTTCTGGCAGATGCTAAATGGTCAGCTCAGCCGGTACCCAGGGCCCTACTCAGACTTTAGCAAGCCATTGGCACACACAGACCTCCGGAGCTGCTGGTGTGTGGATGCGGCTGGGCAGGAGCTGGAGGGCACGAGGGCCAGACCAAACCAAGTCCCAGCATGTGAGTTCACTTAGGCAAAGAGCCAAATTGGTGTTGTTAGAAAAGGATGTCTGATGGGAAGGTATCAGTTTTGAAGCTGGACTTGAGTCCAGGGAGGGCCAAGGATGTCTTTCAAGGTGTAGTTGGCAGGATCAAGACTCAGGTTCCAGTGACTTTTCCACTTCTGTATGGTCAGGTGTAACAAAAGAGTACTATCATCCATTTCTTAACATCATGTACAGGATCAGACAGATGCCTTCTCTGCATTGTGCATTATCTTACAGCCAATGAGAGCTATGAAAGTGGTCATCACCTAGCCCTAGGATTCCCACAATAGATGCTTTAGTAATATCATGTGAGCTACACGCACTGTTCAGGTAACTAGCAGGTACCATTCTGGTCCTGCTGCTTACCTGTGCTGCTGGTTGGTGCTCCCAGCTTCTGGAAAGGGATGCCTAAAGTGTCTTTAATTGACTCAAAGTGATTTAATTAAGACTAATTAGAGGGGCACAAATGGAGGTCTACACGTTCACCTTATAGGAAAGCAATGGTGCAAAAAGTATATATTGAATAAAGGTGATTTTCTGTCCTAAATTAAAATGCTATATTTTTGAGTAACCATGCCAGTAGTTTTAAAAGAAGCCAAATACATTCAGTACTGTTATCATCAAATCAGAATCTCTCTAACCAGCAGTTGTTAATATAGGTAGTATCACAGCTGTTCACTCAGGTGAAATCTTTCAGTTCACTAACTGCAGTATTCTATAGCTTCAGAACCTTTTGTGACAATGTTGCAATGTAGCATATTATTTGTTGTTGGCCAAAGCTGAGACTTCAACAGAATCTGGAGTTGTAAAATGTTTGATGAAAGAGCCACGAGACGAAAGCAGTACTACCCCTGGCCTTTCAACAGCCAGGAGCCAACACTACAAGGATTAATCCTTGAAACAGGAAACCAAGGTCCCATTGGACCTTCAAAATCAATGAATTAATGCTGAGGTAACTGCTTCATATGGAGCCTTATTTACTGTTGTCAGGCCTGAGAATCATTCTCCACACCAAAGGTTGGGTCCCTTACCCAGGGATGTTCTTATAATTTTAGGTGATAAAATACCGGATTTGGTTCTCTCAGTGCACAATCATAGACACTTGAGTTGCTGATATGAAATACACTTTTCACTGAGAGTGTGGTTTCAGGGCCAGGGATATAGCTTCATCCTGATTTCCACAGTGTATTCTATTGCCATGCACTAAACTAAAATTGCAATGGATCAAAGACCTAAATATTCAAACAGATGCAAATAACTCCTCTGGAAGAGAGAACAGGCAGAACTCTTGAAGACATAGGTGTAGGCAAAGATATCTTGAACAAAACCCTGATCACACAGTAAATAATCAAATAATTGGGATTTCATTCTATTAAGAAGCTTTTGTACAACAAAAGAAATCACCAATAGAGTGAAAAGCAACCCACGGAGTGTGAAAAAAAATCTTACCCAGTTGTCTGTCAGACAAAGGACTTACAGCTAGAACAAATGAAGAACTGAAAAAATCAGACCCCTCCCCCACAAAATGTAAAGACTCAATCCAAAAATGGGTATTTGAGATGGATATACATTTCTCAGGTAAAGAAATACAAATGGTAAGTAAATATACAAAAATACGTTCAACATCATTGGTTTTAGAGAGGTACAAATTAAAACAACACCAGAAAGAATGGCTATCATCACAAAATCCACCATTAACAAATGCTGGTGGGGATATGGGGAAAAATAGACTGGAATTTTGAATCATTTATCTACCAACTGGGAGGTCATATGACTTCTCCAGATCTCACTTTCTCTTTAGTAATTTGGGGTTAAGAGTGGCTTCTTGGATGTTGTATAGATTAAGTTAGATTCAGTAAATGTGCTTAGTACAGTGCTTGGCATGGAGAAAGTATTGCTTATTAGTCATACTTACATAGTAGGTCCACTTAAATGTTGAGTGCATGAGATTATAAAGGCAACCAGGAAGCTATTGAGGAGAGAGAGAGAGAGAGAGAGAGAGAGAGAGAGAGAGAGAGAGAGAGAGAGAGAAGAGAGAGAGAGAGAGAGTGCTCTTCTGCAGGGCTAATGCGAGCAGTACCTGGTGAATGAATTCACCTGTGATATTTTTATCCCATAGGTCCTGGCTCCTGTGAAGAAGTGAAGCTCGATGTCCTGCAGTTCATTAAGGAAACAGAAGAGATTGTTTCAGCTTTCAACACCTCTCGGTTCCTTGTGGGGGAGAGTTTCCTGATAGCCAAAGGAATCCGGCTGACCAGTGAGGAACTCAGACTTCCTCCACACTTCCCATCCCAGGAGGCTTTCTTTGAGAAGTTTCTGCGTGGGCGTGATTATGCCATTCGGTTGGCAGCTCAGTCTAGTGAGTGCTGTGCACTGAACTTGCTTTATCTCTTTAGAGAAGCAAGAGCTCCTCAATCATCTCCAGGGGTTTTTGCTTGGTTTCTCCAGGCCGGGAAAGAAGAGCCAAAATGACTCTGCAACCCCACTCAAAGGTGGATGCTGCTCATATCTTTAGAGTGACCCAGGTCTTTCAGCTGAGCCACTGTGGGACTGAGCTTCATATTTTGACCTTTTGTAGAAGTTACCTGTGGCCTCATAAAACCATGTAGTATTATTAATGTAGGAGACCCCAGTGGCTCATCTAACTCCAACAGCCTGCTCCAAAGCTTCTCTTATTTTCTAAAGATGCAAGAATACTGTGAAAAGGGAGAGAGAAGAACCCTCGTTATTGAGGAGCGATTGCACCCATGAGCACATTGAACCCTGAGACTAACTCTAAAAGCACAGGCCATGCCTTGCTTCTGATGGTGGACTCCACATTCCCTCCTCTAGCCTCTAGCATAAACTTTACAATATTTAACCTTGCATTAATGCTTTCAGGAGGACAAAGCTGTAACCACCACCTGTGACTTCACAGACTGGGAGAGTGAGGCTCAGGTTAAGTAAATTGCCCAGGTTTACCCACTGAATAGATTGCAAAGCCTGGTAGTCTGGGCCTTGGGTTCATTTCCTTGGTACCTGTGCCCTGTCCAGTGGAACCCAACCTCACTTGGGATCATGCCGAGGCCCTCTTATTCTAGAGTCTGTCTTTTCCCTTCTCTGCTTTCAACCTGCCCTGCAGCCTTGACTTCTCATGCTGACCCCATACCTGCCGTGTAGGGTCATGCAATTGATCTGTCTCTGAACCTTTCCTAAGTTTTCCATCCCTTTCCAATTATTCCAGCTGATTCCCTATCTTGAGTTTTCTGGGCTTTGGTGACAAACAGGAAAGCTGTCCTCCCCAGTAATATCTGCACCAAGTCAGAGTCCTTTCCCACTGTTGGTATCTGCTGCTGGTTTAGGATTTACTTCTACCATCTGTGCACTTCTAATTCCATGTGGTGAGATCCTCCAAGCACCATCTTTGTTTCCTGCGTCTTCCCCACCAGACACCTCTTCTGGAGGACAAGCCATTGTGTCATGTTCATCTTTATACCCAGGCGCCTGTGTGGCACCTCAAACAGGAGAGCTTGGTGCTGCTGGTGAAGCAGCCGGTTACTCCCTTACTCCTCATTTCTTCCCTTCCATTTATGTCTTTCTCCCTGTACCCAGGCACCTTTTCTCTGTTCCTCAGAGACATGATATCTTCTGCTTTTGACAAGGAGCAAATTATTCTAAATTGTGTGCATGGACAAGGTGATTGAAGAGCAGTGGCCTTGTGACCCTTCATCTGTGACCACTCTTGGCTACCACCCAAGGACAAAGCTACAAGTGCATGTGACATCTGACACCTGCAGGCTTAATGTGATTGACTGTGTAGCAGGCACTGGGGATGGGGTCAGCACTGCAGTGCAGCCTTTCTTTGTCACTCACATCAGCCCCACAAGTCATGAAAGTTATCACTAAAAGTCACACAATGATGTTAAATGATTGCAGTTTTTGGGGGCTGCATGACTAGCTGTGGAGGGCTGCTGACAGCCTATGAGCCTGGTCTAGGATCTGATAGAATAGAGGGGTAAAAGGGTAATGCTAATAGGTGACCCGGGATACAAGGACTGCACTTATCCTGTGCAGTACTAACCCCATTCTGCAGATGAGCAAACTCAGGTGCACAGAGGTTGTCCCCTTCTCACGCTCACTTAGCTAAATGGGACAGTGCCAGGGTTTAGGCAGAGGTGAATTAACCCTGGGGCCCCGTCCAAGGACCGGCTCAAAGCCAGGTCCTGTTGTCCCCAGCCAGGTCCCTGACTGTGGGTTGCTGGTGTCCTTACATCCACAACTTCTCCCCTCTCAAGTCATGAAGTTTGTTTCTGAAGTTATTGCAAATAACTACCAACAGTCTTCTGTTCTGCAGCCTGTGTTTATTCTTAGAAGACAATCTGTTCCACATCAAAACACTGTTCAAGAGGCTTCCATAAGGCCTCAGGGTGAAGTATTTGTCAGATAAATAAGAAGCTACCTTATGCTAGAATAGGGCCATGTTCATTTGTCCTCAGGGACACAGCTATAGGTCAGGTGTCACATTCTGCTCCTATCTTCTCAACTTCAGCCTCGAACTTGTATCAGAGACTCCGCACTTCCCAGGATGACTGGTCTGAAACAGCTGTCCCTCTCCGGTCGGGCCCCTATGTGCCACAGTGTGACGCATCTGGAAACTGGGAGCCCAGGCAATGCCACATGGGAACTGGTAAGCAGAGCCTCAGAATTTAAGTGACACCTCTTCTTTTCATGTAGTGACAAGAGCTCCACCATGAGAGGCAAGTGACCCAGATTCTTGGACCTACGTGGGGAGGGGAGCAAAGCCCTGAGCATCTCTGGGCTCCATTTGTCTACCTGAAATAAGAACAAGGACCTTCAACTGGCAGGACTGGGGGGAGGGGCAGAGCCGCGACTTGCTGGCAGCACAATGAATGCGAGGAAGGTGACACTCAGCAGACAGCCTCCAGTGCGCTTCCTGAGCTTCCCATGTGTGGTTCTTTTCTAGGTTACTGTTGGTGTATGGATGCAAAGGGCGAATTCATCCCCAACTCACTGACTGCCCGCTCCCCACAGGTCTTGCAGTGTAAGTACAGTAAAGTCCAAGCACTCACCTATCTGAGCTCAGGATGGGTTCAGGGTGCTCAGACCAGCTGAGCTCACTTGCCTTTGGGGACACTCTACAGTGATCTGTTCTGACCCCAGCCAGACAGTTCCCGAAGTGCCGGGGCTCAGACCCCTGCCTGGAGCTCCGTGTGGGTGGGGCAGGCAGGAGGAGAGCTAGAGGGCCTTGGGAGCCCCAGCTCCTGTCCACTGCGCCTGCTGCTGACCTGTAGCTTACTACCACTTTACATCTGGACTGTAGCTTCACCTCTACCTGAAGGGGGACCCTGGGTAATCAATGGCCCACTCCATGTCTCAAAACTGGCATGCCTGACATGCTTCCTTGTCCTGGGGTCTCCTCCACCCCTAGATGTACAACTCTGAAACCCGAGGTTAGCCAGGGTCTCCTCTTTTCCTCACTTTCCCTGGCCTGTCTGTGGAAAGTGCCCTTCTATCCCCAGGCCCCTCGCCTTGTGAGCAGTCTCGAGCCAATGGGCTGCTTTCTGGCTGGAAACAGGCTGGATCCCAAGGAGACCCATCTCCAGAAGGCCTGTTCATCCCCACCTGCCTAGAGGTGAGACTCTGGGGTCCACACGAGGGGGTCAGAGGGACACCAGAGCGCATCCCAGCTGGGGGAAGTGACTTTCCAAGTTTTCAATTCATTCAGCTTAGTAAAAAATCTCTGAGGAAGTCCAGGGAGGGGAAGCTTGTCCTGAGCCTGGGAGAGCCTGGCTGTGTGACTCAGGGTAGCTTACTTGCCTTCTCTGTGCCTCAGTTTTCTTTGTCTTAAATAGGGCTGGGCCACATTTTTGTCCAGTCTAGTGTGCAAAAGTTTTGAGACTTCATAATTTTGAAACTAAATAGCATTCATGAATATTCTTTGAAGTTTCCCTGGTATCTGTGCAGTTGTTGCCATGTTTCCAAAAGTTGCCTTGGCCAAATCATTGTGCTGCTCCCATCTCAGGCCCCTGATCCAAGTGGATGATGTCAACCTGAGTCCCGCCCTGGATGGTTGCAGAAATTCACCATTCAGTGAAGCACAGACACAAAAGCTCACAGAAGAATACTTCGTTCCTGGACCTTAAATATTACTTGCCAAGACAGGAGTCCCTGAACCTTTTCCTTTCCCTACAATACTGACAATGAATACCATGAGTTTCCAGGGATCTATGAAAATCAGAAACGTAGAAGTTCACGAAGCCGTAAAGTGCCTGTGCAAGCCTCATTGTCATTGTCATTGTCATTGGTACTTAGAACATGGTTCCCAATTATGAATAAGTTTGGTAGGGAAATTATCCATATGATTGGACCTTTGTCCTGTCTGATAACCACCCACTGCTGGATTGGAGAACAAGAGTCCTTGTCTCCCTGGTGCTGTGTGAACTGAATAACACATTCAGGGCTGGGGGTAAATAGCACAGTGTGAACCTTGTGGCTGTCCTGTCCCTAAAGGTTGGGTGCTATGTCATTGCTGGCCTGCAGACCGGGAACAGAAGGCTAAAAAGTGTACCAGTGGCAGCCAAGCGCTCAAGGCAGCACCACAGTCAGGCTGTGTGGCGGCAGCTGCTTTTCTCTGCTCACTTGCTGTGCTTGTGACTCTCATATGCATACATGGGAGGAAGGGCTTTCCTGCCACTGAAGTCATTTGTGGGAGGAACATGCTCAGTACCATTCCTGGCATGTTTATTTAGGAAAACTGAGGCCCAGAGAGCTCAAGTGGCATGGGAGGGGTCCCCAGAGTGGCTGATTCTGTTTGCTGTGGAGCCAGTGATGAGGCTTGGTTAGCTGCCTTGTGTGGTATTTTATCCCCAGTGTTTAGGGCCTTCTTCATAGGCTCTTCACCAGAAACTACTTCCGGCCTCGGTGGAACTGGTGCCGGAGAGTGGCTGTGGGGGGGGCTGGGTGAGTTTGGGTCGCAGCCCAGATCTGCCACTCACCAGCTCTAGGATATTGCTCCATTGTGTTACCACTCTGAGTGAGCCTCAGTTTCCCCACACTCAAATGGGGCAACCGTGATCCTGGCCTGTGATGTTTGTATAACCATCAATTCAAATTAGATATGTGGAGGGTTACAGATGGGGTCGCAGCCCCTTCTTGTGGTAACACCTTATTGTTTGGGGAAGCTCTTACAACTTGTGTTGGGCCAAGAGCTGGTCCACAGAAACCTTGCATTGACAGCCTTGACTTTGCTTAGACAGGAGAGTTTGCCAGGATGCAGGTGTCAGGGGCTGGTGCCTGGTGTGTGGACCCTGTATCAGGAGAAGGGATGCAGCCCAGCACAAACGGCAGCACCCAGTGTAAGTACTTTTCCTTCCCTGCTTGCCCACAGCCGCTCTGGTGGACACTGGGACTGGAGTCCCCACCACTAGCTTCCCGGCTGTACCCTGCTGCTTCCACAGCAGTGAAAGGGCAGCTCCTGGCCTCATTCTACCCCAGCTTCTCACCTGGGAAATAGGGTGGACTTCTCCCACCTGCCCTACCTCAGGACAGGGATGTTCTTTTTTTAAAATTTTTATCGGTACCAGGGATCGAACTCACGACTGCCTGCTTGCAAGGCAGGCGCTTATGCCGCTGAGCTAAATCCCCAGCCCCAGGGCAGGGCTGTTCTCTGTGACATAAGTAGAGCAGCCACATCCCACATGGTGCTGCTGAGGTTGACCAGCAGTGTAACTCTACTGCACGGTGCTCCGCCTAGCCCCGGGCTTCTGTCCTAGCTCTGGGTCTGGTATCCTCAATGAAGCCCAAAGCATGTCCCTGGGGGGGGGGCAGTGTGCTGATAGGCCTCTCTGCCTGAGCTTGTTGATGCTCCATTGTCAGGACCGGGCTTGAACTTCTTGCCATGGCTCAGGAGCCCCACCCACAGGCTCCCATCTTCTTTGAGTTCTCTTGCTTCTCCATCACTCATATTTCAGGGTCTTGTAAATGTTCTAGTCAGACACTCTTTTAGCCCTAAGCGTCACTTCCTCTGGCTCTGCAGCACGCACTGTGTCCGTACCACCCCTCCTCCTCCTGGAGGCTTCTTGCGTTCACCAGCAGCTTCTCCAAGAAACCTTCACAGCCCTCTCTCATGAGTCTGTGCTTCCAGTGGCTCATAAGTTGCACAACTGCCACCCTCATCTTACTGACTTACAGTTACTCATTACTTAAATCTTCAAGATTCTGGGAACCCTGGGGCAGGCAGTGGAAATGGAGAGAAGACACGTTTGGGGGCCCTGCCAATGCAGGCAGGCCTAGGGTGGTAGTGGGTGGCAGGGAGGGCCAAGCAGGAGGTAGGAACCCTATGATGGGCCCACATAGCTTGTCTCTGTGTGTCTAGGCCCAGGCCTCTGCAGTGTTCTCAGAAATAGAGTCCTGTCCAGGACAGTCAGCCCAGGATACACCCCAACCTGCGGGACAGAGGATGGAGCCTTTTCACTGGTGCAATGTGACCCAGCCCAGGGCAGTTGCTGGTGTGTCCTGGACAGTGGAGAGGAGGTGCCTGGGACCCACGTGGTGGGCAGCCAGCCTGCCTGTGAGCGTAAGTCCTGACCCTTGGAGGGACGCGGGCCACACATCACTTCCTATAATGTGGGAATGGGACAGTACAGAAAGAGATAGAAACAAGGTCCTGGTGCCTGATTTCCACGATGCTGGGATTGTGTCTACTTCCTGAAAATGCTCACTGACAGGTTGAAGTCAGGAAGAACCTGACCAGGGCATCTCCAGAGCTGGCATCTTAGGAAGCCCTAGTGTTGGCCAGAGACGGCTTAGGTCTTAATCTCCTGGTCTGTCCCAAACCAGGGGAAGGAGGCCTGTCTCCATCTCGAAGACTTTAGTATGGATATCTCTGTCCTATGGGAGGCCTAGTAATGCCGCTGGCTTCTGTGTATAAGAGGATGGGAGGGGCCTTCCAAGGAGGAGCAGGAGCCGGCCTCATGCCGACCCGCCCTGCAGCATGCCCAGGTCTCCATGGCCCGCCAGTGTTCCCTCCCTGTGTGGGCCCAGCTGCAGCTTCGAATCGGTGGCTCTTAGCAGCAGCTGCCTCCAGGCACAATAGTCACTTGCTGAGTGCTTGTGAGTAGAAATGCTTGCTGGGTACTTCTGAAGCAGGGAGAGAGGTGACATATCTGCCTGAAGTCAGCCACGATCAACAGTCCTCTCTATGCTATCGAGGAGCAGCAGCCTGTGCTGTCTGAGACCCATGAAACACAAGGATGAGACCTCTTCCCTGAGTGGGTCCAGCACAGCTCCTTCCGGGTCGGGATGCTCTTTGCGGCCCTGCCTTAGGGGAGCCGCATACGTGCAGCAACGCACCTGTTCAAAGTTGCCTTTCACATCCCTTATCCCATTTCCCTTGCAGTGATGCAGATTAATAAGTAGAGTACGCATATGTCCCCATCCTATGAGTGAAGAAACTAAGGCTCAGAGACATTAATGGACGTTGCCAAGTCACACTGCTAGTGAGTGGATCAACACTGGTTTAACTAGGAGACCTTTCGATGAATTCATGGTATGCTAGCTATAGGAGAGGTCAGAGGGTAGGCTTAAAAATGTCATTCAATGGTCATCTGGCAAAGGACAGGAGACAATGCTGGGAACTGTGCTTTGACTTTTTTGCTTTTATTTGTTATGAGGTTAAAGGCTGAACAGCTAACAGCTACAAGGGCTTAACTGTGGCATTGTTGACTGGGTAAATCCTCCCTAGCTCTTTTGACCCCTGGTACACTAGAGGCACATGAATGGGTGGCCAAGGAGAGCCATGGTCCCTACCCTGTGCAGGCACAGATGGCATGAGTGTCCTGAGAAGAGGTGACAGGAGCAACATCACTGGCCTCTTTAGACCCCACAGCAGTGGAAGTGGGGAGAAGCAAGTGCATTAGCATAGATGAATGAAAGACCTTATGTAGTTTCCCTGAAAGTTCGGTAGGGTCTTAGCCCCCGGTCCTGTAACGAAAGACCAGGAAATATCATGCATTCGAATTTGAGAGAGTGGTGCAGTTCTAGGATCCTACTGTGGAAGCCCAGGTTTGCTGTGAGGATGGCACTGACCAGAGTCCCCACAGCCTGACTCACTGAGGAGTGCAATGGGGAAGTTCAGAGTTGAGTGCAGAAATGCAGGCTTGTATATTAGCTCTGCTATTACCTTGCAGGTGACCTTGGGCTAGTCCCTTTAAGCTCTCTGAACTTTAGCAGTTGTTTTTTAGAGTCATAGGTAGGACTAGTTGAGATGAATTCTATCAAATGCTTAGCACTGGGATTACTAGTACACAAAATATGCATTCTTAGTTGTGCTGGTGTTGTTAACAGCTGGACCAGGACACACACCCTGATTCACCATCCAATGTCATGTCCATGGAAATCACTGCCAACTCTCCTGTAGGTATCATGGTAATCACTGATAGATAGTCTGGAGCCTCAGATCATTATTCAGGGGTCACTTCCTTCAACAAAATTGAGTAAGGTGTCCTGAAACTAATAGGTGGGCTAGGGATGGTAGCAGTGCAAAGATTAGTGTCTTGGGTAATGCTTAGCTGCCCAAGAGCAAAGCCATTCCAGGGAAACCCCAGCACTCACTGGGCCTCTGCTAGAGAAGCCAGAGAACCACAGTCATCGATCTAACAAGCAGCCTGCATTGTTGGGCACTGGAGGTTACCCCTCATTCCCTTCCTGAGACCTCCTTTCTTATAGCCATGTGCATGTACTTCCAGCACACAGCTGGGAGATACGGGGACAAACGATGGGGCTGAAACCCCACATTTACTGCACAGTAGCTCTCTGTCTGTGGGCGAGGTGTCCATGTGTGCACATCCCTCTGGCATTCTTCAAATGGAGCCAGTGAGACCTACCCTCAAGCACTCTAGGGAGAATTAAACAAGTTGATATTAAACTTTTTGACAGTGTCACACATGTAATTTTTAAACAGATACTTCCTCTAGGAGGAAGACATTGGCCTCATCACATTTTGAGGACACTGAGTCATAGAGAAGTTAAGTCAGATTGCTTTATGGTACTTGACTGGTAAATGATGGATCCAGGAGGCCAGAGCTCACAGGATGGCTGACACCCTAATCTGTCACAGACTCTTGATCTCTGGTACACACACACACACAGAGACAGACAGAGAGAGAGAAAGAGAGAGAGAGAGAGAGAGAGAGAGAGAGAGAGAGAGAGAGAGAGAGAGAGACTTGCTAAGAGCCAATTCAATAAGCCCACTGTAAATTATACTGCAAAACCTTGGTCAGAGACCCTTGTTTTTATTATGAAGAAGCCCAAGTCACCCCTGAGAGATCAGAATAGGTCAGCTCTCTTTCATCTTGGAGCTCCCACCATTCCCAAGTACCTTGGTGTCAAAGGTAGAGTGTAGATTTAAGGCTATTCATATTCTGGCATCAGTGCTGTGCCTGAGAGTGGAAATTAACTGAATCACCAATCAGATGTGATATTGTGAGTGTGTATGCTTGTTGACTAATTTATCCCTTTATTTAATACTTGTTCATTGAGCTGTTGGTTAGTGCAAGGCCTATGCTTGGTGACAGAGGGAAGGTACCTTCAACTGCATGAAAAGTTCAGCTTGTAGATGACTAGAATCTGGGTGACCAAGCAGAAGGAGGTCCACACTGGGTTCTGGGGGTTCAGGGAAGGGTATCTAAGTGTGCTTGGGAGAGGCACAGAGGCTGAGGTATTGAGGTAATATTCAAAGGTCAAAAATGCACCTTCCAGGCCATGAGCAGATGGAGGGAGAGGCATGGTGTATGAAAGGGAAGCAGATGCATTCAGAGTCAGAAGGTTCGGTGGGGGGGAGTACAGTGGGCAGACAAACATGGGCAACAGGTGTATGGAGATTTGGAGCCACATCCAGCTTCATCAGACAAGGTAGGGCAGGAGCAGATGCTGGCATCATGGCTGAATCTAGGCCTGGATGTTTGGGCTCCGAGGCAGAGGAGGCTGGTGGGTGATTCTCACTGGACTGAGAGTGGAAAGAAGGTGAGAACACCTGAGCCAAGCCAAAGTTACAAGGGTCACGCATGCTCAAGATTCTGTCACAATCCAGAGATGTGGGTTCTTCTAGGAGGAAGGCAGAGAGTGAGGGGAACCAGACCAGCTGGGCCCTGAGAACCCAGCATAGCTGGGGATAGAGAAGAGGAGGCCCAGGGAGTGAGTGAGGGGAAGTGTAGGGTAAACAGCTCAGCCCTGGACGCTGGTAGGTGCCCACACCCTCTTCTCTCTCCCGTTAGGCCCTCAGTGTCCACTTCCCTTCTTGAGCCTGTCGGATATGCCTGGTGGAGTGATCCTCTGCAAGAGAGCCTCAGGCCTGGGAGAGGCCACCGTCCAGCAGTGCCAGCTGTTTTGTCGCCAGGGTTACCGAAGTGCATTCCCATCGGGGTTGCTGGTGTGCAATCTGGAGAGCAAACGCTGGGTGTCGCAACCACCTCAGCCCCTGGCCTGCCAGCGTGAGTGGCCCTGGGGACCTATGTCCTGCACCCTGCTCCTCTTGGGGTCAGAGCTGAGGATGGGAGGGTGGAGACTCGTCACTTTGTTCCCCTATCCAAATGTAGCCTTTCATGATGAGCTGAGTGGCACCAAGGGCAGGAGTGGGGGCTGTGGAGTTCTTTCTTCTAAAAGGAGCAGATGCACTACACAGACCCCGTGGTGAAGCTCTGTTTGTGGCTTCTCTGGGGCCATGTGTGCCTTGGAAGAATTTCTGTCCTTCCAGCTTACTAGAGATGCCTTGGATTAAGGCAAATGTTCAGCAGGTGGATTACCCAGCAGCAGTTCAGTAGGCACAGTATCAATGTGCTTCAGGCTGCGTGTCAGCCTCTGAGAGGAATCCAGCCCAGCAGCCTAACCTCAAGGTCCATCTGGACCTCCAGGACACATACTTGGCAGGCAGCGGCACCAGGCCTGGCTCCAGGAATATCTGTGCCTGTTTAAATAGAGCTCTTTCTGCTGTTGACTGAACCTGCTTGACACATGTGGAAAAGCATGCACACGGCTGGGACAGCGTGGTGCTCTGAGGGCACCTGCCTGGCAAAGCTAGGACAGTCACCTGAAGCTGAATGAGCGAGGTAGACAGCAGGGATCTCACACTTGGCCCACCCAGTGCAGCAGAAAGGCAGCTGGGAGAGAAAGCCACATCCTGGGACTGAGCATCATAAGGCTCTGGGTAGCTGCCCAATACCAAAGACAGTATTTGCTATAAAGCAATCTGGGCTGTAGAGGAGCTTCATTAAGAAAAGTTTAAAATCTGACTTAATTCGACAGTGACCTGTTCCTTTGATTAGCCCCGTGTCTTAATGCTGAAGCTGAAATACAGACCATGCTCATCACCACTGACTCTAGAGCAAGGAACCTTGGGGAGGAAATTATGGGTCTCTGGTTCCCTAACGTTGAGCGCAGAGCTGCTGTGTGGTTTTGCAGTCTGTATACTGAACTACCTCAGAGAATGTCTACTTTTAAATCTCTGAATCATAGTGTGGCCTCATTTGCATGCAAAATAACATGGCAAATATTGCAGGAAGGATGTCTGGATTCCCTTGGCTTTGAGGCTGAGGCAGGCCTACACTTGCTGTGGGTGCTAAATAATTCTGAGGCAGTAAGTTATGTCAGGAAGTTACTGGACTCCAAGGGTAGCAGTATGAAACAGCAGTGCTTGTGTGTCGTAAGCTCAGAGAGGAAGGGTTATTTCTGTAGAGGAAAAAAATGCAAAAGAACCTCATGGCTCTGCCATCTCTGGCCACTGACCGCCAGTCTCACCTGCAGGGCCTCAGCTGTGGCAGACGGTGCAGACTGGAGCACACTTCCAGATCCTGCTCCCACCAGGCAAGAGGTGCAGTGCTGACTACTCGGGACTGCTGCAGGCATTCCGGGTCTTCATACTGGATGAACTGATGGCCCGTGGCTTCTGTCATGTCCAGGTGTGTTCTGTGCCTTTCCACAGGAGGGCCTGGGCTGAGCACAGGCTGATGTCAGAGAACCTGCTGCACAAAGGAACCTGGGATCTGAGCCAATGGGTACCCAAGCCCAGGCCTGGAGAGACATTTAGCTAAAGAGAGCTGTGTTGTGGCTGAGGTAGGAGCCACGCTTACCCGCTGTGGGCTTCTTCCCACATGAAGCTGCACACTGAGAACTTGCCATGTGGCAGGACTCATGCATCCCTTGCTATAGACTATTCAAAGCAGTCCTCCTATTATTGCCACTTTTTGCATGAGGAAAACAAAGACCAGGTGCCAAGAGCTTTCTCCCTATCCTTGTCAGGGCGTTCTCTAAAACCTTCAGAAGCTAAGATTTCTGATACTTTAGTGAGTCTCTCTGGACTCCATCCCTATCCAAATTCACTCATTCGTTTTTCTAAGTTAAATATCTGAATGCCTGTTACAGGGAAGTTATGGTTTTATGTCTGAGAGCTATCACAGATAAGCTTATCTAGACCCCACTTAAACTGGCAAGGATAAATTTTAATTCTTAACATAAAATTGCAATGGAGAATAAGCATGAACCAAGCTCAACACTCAGTGGTCTAGAGGTAGCTAGCATTTCAAAGGGAGAATAAGAAGGTAGGGAGAGGTTCATGGGCATGCAATAGAGTCAGGAAAGACAGGAGTTACAAAGAACAGAAGACAGAATTCATCCGTGTGAACAGTGTCTGGAGTTTCCAGCCAGCACTTATCAAACTTAGGCTCCCACCACACATACAGGCTGGGGCTTGGATTCAGTTTTCCAGGCAGGTGCTTGAAGAGGAATAGCATCACCCTGCAGGTGCAGCCCTGAGCTGGTGAGAACACGCTGTCATTGGTTCTTGGAAGGCAAAGGCTGAGGTCCAGAAGGAGGGTTCAGAGAGTCTGGGTGAGTGACTGGGCCAACAGAACATCTGCCAGATGCACAGTGGTGACATCAGGTCTTTGCTCACTCATGGGGACTCAGAATAGGGGGATGTGACACTGAACAAATGCACATCGGTGAGAGAAACTGAGAAGGGAGATAAAACAGGGCAGCCATGGGAGGGAAGGTGGAGGCAGGAGTGGTCTTGAAGAGAATGATTAGGGAAGGTCTCTCTGGGAGGAGCCATTGAGGGTATCTGAGCACAGAGAGGACAGGACCCTTGCAGACAAAGTAGGAAGGACAGAGCTGCTAGGATGGGAACAGGCTCTGTGACCCATAATACCAGGGGACCCTGCATGAGTGGAAACCGGAGAGAGGAAATGGGTCAGGGGGGGTGCACACTGTTCAGGCCCATGTCCACCATGGTTAGGACAGTGGACCTGTTCTGCACTTGTTCTGAGGCTAACATAGTGACACAGTATAGTGCCTGACCTAGTGTCTGAGTGACATAGTACAGTGCCTGATCTAGTGTCTGCTGTGTGCAGAGTGGACTTTGGCAGGGCAAGAAAGGAACGGAGAATCTTACAGTCATGTAGCATAGGAGGGGATGGCGTGGACAATGGTGGCAGTGCAGAATATGAGAAAAAGAAGAATTTGTGACAGTGGCAAGAGCTCTGGGCAGTGGGTGTCACATAATGTGGTCTGGGGAGAGAGGAGCATGAGGATGACAGGTTGGGGCCCCAGCGTTGGGGTGGAGATGAGTGCTGCCATTTAATGACAGAACAACATTAAAATGCACATAGCAAGGAGCAAAATGGTCCCCAGAGTCCTGGGGACCTGAGAGTTGAAAACAGGGCGAAAGATAAATATGGGGGCCCAGTGATGGGGTCCATGGACCTGGCATCAAGGTGCGACCAGGAGGCAGGCAGTTTCAAAGGCAAAGCGGATCTTCTTTGGAAGTAGGACACAGTGCACAAGCTCCCAGGCAGGCAGATCTGAGTTCCAGCCTTGACACCAGTCCTCCTGCCAGCATGAGCTGGAATTTTCCCAAGCTCGCTAAGCTGAGCCAGGCCTCATGCCATGGTGAGGACATAGGATGGGAACACCTGCCATGGAGAGCCAGGCTAAGTGAGAGAATACACACATCCCAGCTTGGCTCTTCACACTCTGCTGAGGGGTTGGCGGGTTCTGCAGTGAGCTGTGTTTGCACCCTAATCCCACCGTTTGCTGGCCATGGTATCTGAGCCAATTCCTTAGCCACTCTGAGGAAAATCCCTAAGTATACATGGAATAATGATTGTTTCAGCTCCATAGATTTGTTTCTGAGATTAAACTAGCTCATGTGCTTAAAGTACTTCACCCGGGCCTCACTAGAGTGTGTCCGGATATCGTGCCATATTGCCTTGTAAGAGTGCTAAGTCATGCATTCTTACAAGGACGTGCTGCGTCACACACTCTTACATGCACTCAGCATTCTTGTTATGTGTGAAGACCCACCTCTTCTCACCTTCATGGGGAATGGGCAGGCTTCTGATGCAGAGTTTGACTTTTCCCTCACTTATGCCTCTGTGCACTGTGTGGCCAGGGTGGCTATTTAGTGTCTCTGAGCCTGTTACTTCAGGAACACCCAAAGCAGAGCGATGGAGAACTACAAAAAGTAGCAGGAGCCTGTCCTGGCCCCTGCCACTTCCTCTGCATCTCTGAAATGACCGCATCACTGTATGCAGGTGCCAACCGCTGGGACTCTGGTTTCCCATCCTGTCTGTGACAACTCCTCGGTCCAAGTGGGGTGTCTGACTGCGGAGCATCTAGAAGTGAATGTCACATGGAAGTCCCAGCTCAAGGACATTCCAGCAGCCTCTCTTCCCGATGTGCACGACATTGGTAGGCTTTTCTACACTGTTGCTTGAAGAAGCCACATAGCGTGTCCCAACTTTGGTTTTCTCATCTCTAAGCACAGCTGGCAAAGCCACAATGCCTTCCTATGATCACATAGAGAAGAGTGATGGACTGATCTGGGAGAAATTAAATATAAAAATAGAGGGAAAGCATACAGTTCTGTTCTAGAACTTACTAGAGTTGAACAACAGTACTAAGGGGAGGCTCGATGGACCTTGGTGAGACCCCCTACTGCTTTGACCTCTTGACACAGAGGATACACACAGCAGGAAGAAGTAGATAGAGTGGGAGGGTCCTCACTAGTTCATAATTTATACCCTGTCACTTGCAGCGATAAACATCTCAGTTACTATTTAAAACAGGAAAGCCATGATCTGGATGAATTGAGATTTCAAAGACCTAAGAAGGAGGAGTAGGGGCTGGGTTTTGTGACAGTCCCTGTGAGCAGGTGTCCTGCTTAGGTTGAAGTTTTTGGTAGGGGAGGGCATAATCCACCTTAGTTCTAAATGGATACTCTCTTCTTTCACCCAGTAACCAAATTCCCAGTCACACCATATGGAGATTGTCTTCTGCTCTGTGAGGCGAATTTGAAAAACACTGACAGGGTATGAGGAAGGAGGCAGGCCCTGACACTCTCCTGTCCACCCCCACCTCCCTGTCCTCCTGGCAGTAACCTTCTGTGGGAAAAGTATCCCCCTGACAGCATCATGAAGTAGAGATCCCTTCCTCCATCCTGTAGAGAGGCTGGGAAATGTGGGTACATTTGAAATCCACAAACTGGGATGCTTATCCTGGCTTTGGTGCACAGGCGGTGATGATCGTGGCTTCAGGCTGCAGCCTGACTGTCCAGCAGCCCACTGTAGTGTGAATGCTTTCTGAGCGGGCATTCACTCACTCTACACAGCACTTGTCTCTCTCTTCTTGGGAAGCTGCAGGTTCGTAGCTGGAGGTCTTCTCTATGTTTAGCTGAGCACAGAGTTAGAAGGCTGCTCTCCCTCTGGAAGGTCTTGCTTCTTCTATGTGTGGCCCCTTCACGACTGTGCTCTTAGAGAACCCTCAGCAACTACAAGAGCGGGTACCTGGGCCTATTCTCATATGTGAAAACTGAGACTTAGACACAGTGGCTTGCTGAAGGTTGAAGTGGCCGAGTGTTTGGATCAGTTACGAGGTGTGGTCCTGCACCAAGATGGCCCCATTGGTGCCACAGGAATGGCGGTAGCCAGAAACCTGGGCAGGAGCGCTGCTCCTGCTTCTGATCCCTGTGTGAAAGCGAGTCAGTCAAACCCCTTCTCTGGACTGACCAATCACTGTCATGCAGGTGCAGACCACTGGGACCCTAGTTTTCCACTTTAAAATGAAACAGCAGGTGATGCCTCTGTCTTCTTTTGGCTAGGATGCAGAAGACAGTGAGGTGATTTGTGCCCCATCCTTGTCTTACAGAAAGGGCCTTGGTGGGAAAGGATCTCCTTGGACACTTCACAGCTCTGGTCCAAAGTGGCACATTCCAGCTTCACCTGGATTCTAAGACGTTCCTGGCAGACACCTCCATCCGCTTCCTTCAAGGGGACAGCAGCTTTGGTGCCTCTCCCAGAACGTGGTTTGGATGCATGGAAGCATTCTACCAAGTCTTAGCTACCAGCGAGGCCAGCAGAGACCCTCTGGGATGTGGTAGGTGGCTTCCTGTTCCTGAATGCTGTTATGAATCCTCAGTGGGAAAGGCCACTGAGCTCTCTAGAGTGGTTACTCTGGAAACACAGAGTGGAGGATCACTTGTTTATTAGTAAAGGGAAATTTTTCAGTCATCTACTTTGCATGAACTTGCAAACATCATCCATAGGAGGTAAGGAAGGAGGAAGAAGCCAGTGTTGGAAGTTACTTTTTCTGTTCATTCTTGAGCAGCCTGGAACCCCCGTGTGAGGAAGGCAAATGTCTACCCTGTGTTCTGGGCGTACATCTTTTGAGATGGTTGTAGTAATATGTCATCTACCAAAATTCCACATTATCACTTTTTAGCCCAGGAAAGTGGTTTGGGGAAGGAGGTTCTTGAGCAGCCTGGAACCCCCGTGTGAGGAAGGCAAATGTCTACCCTGTGTTCTGGGCGTACATCTTTTGAGATGGTTGTAGTAATATGTCACCTACCAAAATTCCACATTATCACTTTTTAGCCCAGGAAAGTGGTTTGGGGAAGGAGGTTTGTTTGAGCTGCTCTTGCTCTTTGTCATGAGTGCCTTTGGAGGTCATTTTCATGAGCAGGCAGCTATACATTCTTTGATGAAAGACGAATTAATTTCTGATCACTACCACAACAAAGGAGCACTTAATCATCTTTCAGTTCTGTGAGTTGAATTCTGATTTGAATTTCATGAAGTCAAATCAAAATGTGTGCAGGACTGCCTTCCTCCCAGAATCCCTGAGGGAGTCTCTCTCCTGTTTGGCATGGTTTCTGGGAGTTGGCTGCATTCCTTGAGGGTGGCTTCTTCCCTTTGTGGTCGAAGTCAGCAGTATTTGAGCTCTCTGCCCCTGCTCCCTAATCACACCTCTGTCTCAGTTAGGAGCCCTTTAATTACATATAGCTGGGTGATCCAGGACACTCCTCTAGTAGAAGGTCAACCCACAGCTTTAATTCTCCCTTGCCACATAGTCTGGCATAGTTACAGGTTCTAGGAATTGACCTATGAAAGTCTTTGCAGGCCACTTCTATCACCAAAGCTTCAGGTGTCAGGAGGGGGAGCTGTCCTCTCACATAGTGAGATAGAGAGACGTTTGTATTGAGTGGAAGAAGGGTGTTCTTAGTTATTTGCAATAAATACCTTTTCTTTTTCTGAAATCCAGATAGAGTTTTGAATTCCACATAGGATTTGAGATGCAGCTAAATCTAAGCAGAACAGAAATGCAGCAACAAAGACAAGAAGCACAGCCACTTCCCACTGATATTTCCAGAGAATTTTATAGCTGGCAATGTGACTGCAAATATTTAACTCTCTCAGTGGCCCTTGGTGACTGTTGTTTCCTCATAAGACAAGATTGTGCATTTAGTGCCCTGAACATGCAATTCAAGGCGAGATTCATGGGGTGTAACCAGTCCATGGCCCAGTAACCCCATGCCTCTGGGACAGCCCATGCTTTGTCTTTCTATCTTGCCAGAGCTGCCCAAACTGTGAGTGCCAGAAGTGGAAACAGGAGAAAAGGTGCTGCCTACTAGAGTGGGTGACATGGGGTCTCAGAGAGGGACAGTCACACAGGGACATCTGCCACCATGTTCTCATCCTTCATCCCACTGCCAAGCACTATGGCACTGTGGGGTATGCATGCATATATGTATGGGTACATGCAAAATAAAGGGGCTGGCCAGAAAATCTCACAGCATGGTCCCTTCCAGGGAGCTAGATTCATCATGATGATTCATTTCTGTCAGCTTAGAAATAGGTGAAGTATTCCTTAGCTAGGCTGGTTTTGCTTGAGAGGGACCCCGTGTGTGACCACAGTGTGTCTAAGTGGTGAGGACAGCAGTGAATTCCCCTGGGAGCCACAGTTTGTTGCCTGAGGAAGGGTTCAAGGACAGGTGTTGCCCAGGCTGTACCTTCTCTAGGATAGCAGTCAAAACCTTTTGCTGTAAAAGGCCAGGAAGCAAATACATTACAGGCTCTATGGGTCAGCCAGTCTGTTTTAATGACTCTACTCAGTCATTGGAGGGAGTTTATTGGAAAGTCACTGGGTCCCAATAAACCTTAACTTACCAAAACAGCAGGTGGTCTGCCTTTGGCCTGCATGCTGTCCTGGAACAGTTTTGGTTCATGGTGCACCCACAAAGGCTTCTTAACTCCCACAGTCTTTTATTGCCTCACAGACTGCCCATCACATGCCTCTGTCCCACTCCTGTTCTCTAAACCCACAGAAATGCCCAGAATGAAATTGACAAGTCAGTGTGGGAAGCCTTGGGTTTTCTTCACGAGCAGTTGTCATAGCCAGGTTCTTTCGTTGGTTTCTGTTTTCTGTCTTACTAGCATCTCTGTCCAGAGAACCGGGTGTTATGAGTCCCACATTATGGATGAAGAAACCAGGGTGTATAGCTTTGTGCACTGTTAGGAAGGCGCCTTGTGAAGTTAAGTGGGCCTGGACCGGAGTCCTGGACCCCACACTGTCTCACTGTAGGATCCAAGTAACATTACTTAGCCTCCCTGGGTGTAATCTGAAAAATAGGGGTAATTTACTTATTTCATGGGACTGGTTTGGAAACCATGAAACACTCAGTGCAAAGTCCATCTTAGACATAACTGGTTCTCAAAACATGGCTGCACTGTTCCTTGCTGTTTGAAGATTTACCCTCTGCTGTGTTTCCAGATTCTTCCTTCCATCCTGTGTGTTGCACACCTCCCTTCTCAGCAAGGGAATCCTTGTGGAATCATAGCATCTGCTTTTTCCATCTCTGTTGTCTCTTTTCCTTCTAAAATACATCTGGAACCCAGCTGTGAGGTAACAAGGCAGAGCTTTGTCCCACGGAAATGAAGCAGGGTTTCTGTGTGTCGTCTCAGAAAATTAATCTAGAGGACCCCCTTGCACAGCACTGACTTGGGGCCATGGGAAGTCTGACTCACTGAGACTTGAGCAAAGAACTGACATCACTGCAGAGTGGAGGCCTTGCTTCCTGTCCTGCTGCATCAGGGATCTCCTCCCTCCTCCTGCAGCCAGCCCCTGGCTTCCTCTGGAATTACCTGCTGGCTGTCTTCGTGGTGGATTGGCTCATGAAAGAGGATCACAAGGCAACTGTCTAGACTGCCCATTTTCCATTTTGGATGACATTAAGTGTCTCTTATTCACTATATATTTGTGTAATAGGTCTACTTCCCTGTGGATATGTTTCTACAGTAATATGTTATGGGCCCCTCCCCTCCTTCTGTCTTTCCCCTGCCTTTTTTCTATCCATCCATCTACTTTAAAAATATAATTACATACCAGACCTATTTTCCCCAATTCTAGTGAGAGATGTAGTTGAAAGTAGGATCTCGTGGCTGTGGTAGATGCTGGATTATTCATCCTCTGCCTCATTCTGACTTACAGAAGAGTGTCCTTTGGGTGGAAAATAGGAAAGGACAGTTGATGTCAGGGACAGAGAGGAACAGTAGAAGAAAACGGCACATGGTTCCTTGAACAGAAAGGAGGCATAGGATTTCTTCACCTGATGGCAAAAGATAGTTCACACGGGTGTGATGCTTTGTGTCTGTAATCCTAGCATTCTGGAAGACTGAAGCCAGAGGATCTCGAGTTTAAGCGTAGTTGGGGTAATTGGTGACTTTGTGATACTCTGTCTCAAAATGAATGAATGAATGAGTGAAAGAATAAATAAATAAGAAGGGCTGGGAAGTTCAGTCTCCAATACCACACACATACAAGGGTAGTTCCCAGCTCTTTTTCAGCTCCTCCCCTGCTCCTTAGAGTTTGAAAGCTGAAACACTCACACTAACCAATGATTTGAAAGGGCACTTACTTAAAAAGAGTCACAGCTCTAAAGCTCTAGAGATGATTATCAATAAGCTGACTCAAAGAAGTAACAAAACTCCACTCTGAGGGAAGGTATTCTTGGCTAGGGCAGACTGGAAAACACCATTTGGTTTCCAAGCCATGGCTTCAGTTTCTGATTTACTCAGCAATGCCAAGTAGAGACCTGGACCAGTGATGGCAGCTGCTGCATGGACACTGGATTCCTTCCAGCCTGCCCCTCCCCTCCTCCTCTTTGCTCAGAACAGAATTTTGATTTTGAGGTAAATAAATGGGTTCAGCTCTCACTTCTTATCACCTCATTGTCTGGTCATCCTTGACTTTTCATCTCTGTTTTCTCTAGTTTAGGACAGGAATAATCCCTTTCTCATAGGATTGTGAAGGTTAGGGTTAAAACATCTGGCCCTATGCTTGACGAATTACATAATTTTACCTTCCCATTGCCCTTTCCAGAAAAGCACACTAGTAAATCTTTGCATGCGTGTCATGATGCTGGGCCTCCTCACTCAGGGTGAAAGGAATGCCAGGCATAGAAGGCCCTGAGAGCAGGTGAGATTTCAGCTCCTGATTTCACTGGGTACAGCTCATTTCTGGGAGCTGTTTGACAAACTTCGGGAACACAACACTAAACTGGGAAAGAAAACAGAGAGAGCCTCATTCTTCTGCCCTTATTGGAGGATCAAAATCAGTGGGGCTGATTCTTGCCTCCGAGTGAAGCACCTTTTATCCCAATGTGGAACTCCCGGGAGATAAACTCCCTCGTTAGGTTTCTTTTTATCCAACTTGTGTTGTATTAGTGAAGAGAAAGGAGCAGGGACTGAGAGTGTTAGAACCCAAGGAAGAGAAAGATTAGCAGTGCAACAAGCGAAGGTCTAAGATTAGTGAGACATCCAGGAGTCGTGATATTCGGAGGCTTCAGTCTTGGGGACAGGCACACTACTTCTGAGTCAGTCTGAAACCCAGCAGCCCTGACAGAAGCACCTCTCTTAATCATACCCTGGTGTCCCATCCACCTCATTCTTGTCCCAGGTATGAACAACACTATTAATGACTGACAGGAAGAGGATGCTCACATCAAATGAGGTGATAATGAATTGTTGGAATTGCCCAAGGTCACCCAGTTTGGCTGGAGGGGGTGATACTGAGGTTGACTACAAACAAAATATTTCCTCCAGTGTAAAAATAATTGTCATTTGTTGAGTGCACATGTGAGTCTCGCATCATGGGAGATACTGGATGTTCATTATCACTAGTCAGATGCCATAATTGCTCCCCATTTCCCACAGGACAAAGTGGAGGTGTAGAAAATCCTACAGTGTGTCTGGTGTGGTTGGCACTGGGACTTTATCTGAGCTCTTTGCAGCCCTGCTGCACTCCACCAGGCCTTAGTTTTGGGACACATTCCTATGGTGACCCACAGATAGTTCCCCCTATGTCAAGTTGTACCCCATCTCCATCTCCTGCCATTTGCAAACTGAGCTCTGGTTCTGTAGCTGGCACTGTCTGACCCTTTCCTTCCTATCCCTGAGTGATCTGAACTCAATCCTTCTTGTTCCCTCTGGCTGGAATTTTACTCTCCTGGGACATTTTCTGAGCTCCTCCTTATCATTCAAGTCTAAGTGCCATCTCTCAGAGGGTCACTCTGCACGTACACATTCTTTTCCCTTATCCATGTCTGCCTCTTATCTCCCACCAGCACGTCGGCACCTGGAAAAGGCTGCTGCACAGCTGCACCCTGGGTTTTTAGAGCCTGAGACGCACTAAGTGACCAAGGGAACTTTATGAGCTCAATGAGCTCTCAACTCAATTTCACCTGTGTGTTTCAGAATTGTACAAGAAGGCCTTGTTCTCTGACTGGCATCTCCGTGTCTCTTTCTAGTTATGTGTCCTGAAGGAAGCTATTCTCTGGATGGGCAGTGTGTTCCCTGTCCTGTTGGGTTCTACCAAGAAGAGGCAGGCAGTGTGGCCTGTGTCCCGTGTCCTGCAGGCAGAACAACCGCCGCCATTGGAGCTTTCAGCCAGAGGCACTGTAAGTCCCACAGGGATAGTGTGAAGGGTAAACCTGTGCATCAGGTGACAGTGGGGGAACTATGCAACCTTGCACTGCAAATGTTTGGGGATTTTTTTGTGTGTGGGACCATCCTGACCATCATGGGATGCTAGTGGTATCACCAGCCAACATTCACTAAATGCCAGCAATACCCTTTCCCCACAATTTCTGACAACCAAACATAACTCTGTGTATTGCCAAGTGTCTCTTGGGTAAAGGTGAGGACAGTCTTGCTTACTGTGTAATAGTCAAAGGGGCCACCCGCTCTGAATATCGCCAGGCTCCAGGCCAGGGATGACACCTATGCTGGCTCACTCAATCCTCCGAACATCTCTTCCAGGTGAATAATTTTAGCCTAACTTTTATAGATACAAAATCTAAGGTTCAGAGAAGTGAAGTAACTTAGCCAAAGCCACGTAGCTAATTGATGTTTCATCTTGATTTTGCCTCATTCCAAAACTTCTGATTTTTGTAAGTCAAGCTTATCAGATCAAGAAGCGAAAGGTATTTCCTGCCCATGTGAGTACTTGTCACTGCCATGTTGCCCATATTCCTGTTCTGCTGCTACTTTTGCCAAGACCATATGCACCTGTGGCCTTCCTACCTGTGTTGATTTCGCTTGGCCCATGCACCCATCACCTGATGTGGCGTAGCTTTTCCTAGCCAAGACACATGACTTCTCTTGTGATACGCTTTTCATGTTAGCCTCAAATTATGTCAGTGTGAGGCAAACCATCTTTACTTGTGATATGATTTCCAGAAATTTGAAAGCGAGCATTTAAAAGAGCTAAAGTCACTGTCTTTGCCTTTGTCAGAAGAGAAACACAGGAAAGTAATTCCAAGAAGGTCAAAGTGGGAGGAACTGTGTGGGTGATGGCCTGCCTCCCCTCCAGATGGAAGCTTCCCCAGGACACAATGCCCTGCTTGTCTGAGTGCCGCCTTTCCCTGTACCCACTCTCTGCAGAGCTTTTGGTCAGGCATGGCTAAAGCACGATCAGTATGCCACTGGAGCACTTTCTTAAAGAGGGTCTTGTGTTCTGGTCCTTCTTATGTAGGGGCTGTGACAGAAACAGTGCGAAACAGGACAGATGCTAAGGCTGGCACTAGCCAAGTTCAGTCCCTTCTCTGCACTCACATTAGCAATGACTAGGTTAATACTTCCTCTCTGAACATTTCATCAGTCATCTCTAGGCGGGCAGTGATACCTCACTCATAGGCGTATCCTAGTCCAGGCTGCCTCACACACTACTGAGTGGCTTGAGTAGCAATCATCTACTCCTTTGGGTTTCTCTTTTGTTTATACTGTGAGTCATAAAAGTTACTGAGTTCCTGTGTTCTGCCGAGCATATACTAGATGTTTACAATAATTACAATCTCTTTCCTTGAGGAATATAGATATTAGTAGTAGAGGAAGTGAGTGAGCCCGTAAAATGCACTGTGATATATTTCACGATTCAGTGGAAGTGTGTTTCAGTGCTGTTACAGCAGCTTTGCTGGGTTTGAAGGAGTGGGATGGGTGGAAGGGTAAGCTAGGGGGCCAAATGTGGAAAAGACTTTCAGGAAGAGGAAATAAACTCAACACAAGGACAGAGATAGTCACCCCATATTTGCCCCTGTTTAGTGATTTTGATAGGGAGCTTATATTGTATATCAAGCACTGAGCAAGTCATTGGGAGAGTTTTGAGCAAAACCATTGCTAGACCTTGGATCTTTAATCAAATGAATCACAATAGCCACCAGCATTTCATTCACAGACAGATGGAAATGACAACCATGCTCCCTGCTTGATGGAGAGATGCAGACCCCAGGTAGAACAGCTGGCAGTCAGATAGATGGAGTTGTGGTGCCTGGTATGTCTGGGCTATTAAGGCTGCTAGAAAAAAGTACCAGAGCCTGGGAGGCTCACTAGGAGTAGAACTTTGTTCGTTATGGTCTGGAGGCTGGAAGTTCAAAGCCAAGGTGCTGGTGGATTCCGTGTCTGCTGAAGTTACTGTGGTGGTGCCATCTCACTGTGCTCTGTCATGGTAGGAAGGGCTCATGAGCTCCGTTGGGCCTCTTTTACAAGAGCACAAGGGCTGAACACTCCTGACCTCATCTCCTCCCCAAAGCACTACCTCCTCACAGCATTTTACTGAGGATTAGATTTCAACATAGGAATGAGATTTCAACATAGCAAGAATGCTTCCTCAGGTAAATGAGGATTGAGATGTGTTGATATGATTTTTGTTTCTTTAAAGAAATAAACAAGGCAGAATAGTTTTATAAAGAAAAGATTTACTTTGGCTCATGGTTCTGGAGACACGAAATCTTAGGACTGCATCTGATGATAGCTTTGCCAGCTGAGCCCCAAGATGATATAGATATCATGTGGCAAGAGCCAGGAAGCACTGTGTATCTGTTTGTGTCTTTTAATCACTCCCTCTCTTTATTTAAACCACCAGGATTCAGCCCTGACGGCTGCACCCTAATGACCTGCTCTAATCTTAGTCACCTCCTAAAGCTCTGCCATCACACACTGTAGTCACATTAAATTTCTACCCTCTCCATATCGCATCATGGGGATTACACTTCAGCATAGCAGGAAGTGGAGACCCGTGACTGGCAGAGTCTGCACTGTGACAGCAGGGAACTGAGCACATCAGCAGGGTGACCAGTTGGTGCCAAAGCCTGTGCCTGAGTGGTGGGAGTGTGCAGGGCAGTGTGGTCTCACACTGGAGGGAGCAGATGGGTGTAGGGTATGCAGTCTATGGCAGGACTGGAGGAAGGGGCTCCAGCATTCCCACAGAGAGCCTGGGTGCTGTGCTTTAGTGAAAGTGAAGCTAGTGTCTGAGCTAGCTGTGAGACTCATTCACCTGGGAATGCCTGGAACCTGAGAATCGGAGCAGGGGGACCCCAGAGGCTGTCACTCATTAGTGTGTCTGTATCTCCTTCCAGGTGTCACTGACTGTCAGAGGAATGAGGCAGGCCTGCAGTGTGACCAGGATGGCCAGTACCAAGCCAGCCAGAAAGACGATGCCAGTGGGACAGCCTTCTGCATGGACAGCGAGGGGCACAGGCTGCTGTGGTCACAGACAGAGGCCCCACTCTCCGACTCCCAGTGTCTGAGTATGTGCCAGCAGCTGGAGAGAGGTCTCTGCAGAAAGGAATAGAGGCGTGCTATGCATTTGTCTCTTACTTTCTGTTTTGAAATTCTGTAACCCACATAGACATCAGAACAGTGGGGTGAACCAACAGCTTTCACCTAGATCCAAAATTTTTAATAGTTTGCTCTCTTTTTTTGAATCATTTTAAAAATAATTTTCAGACAACCTGAGATCTCAACCCTAAATAGATTCAGCATACACTAGTGGTACACTTTTATAAAAATTAGACTTCCAAGCCTTTCTTCCATGTAGGTAGGTGAACTCTGAACCTGAGTGCTTCTCCCTTTGGTGGACTTCATCCCTGGGTGACCCGGAGCAAGCTGCCTAAAGTCTCTGATCCTCAATATCCCCAGGGGCCTCTGTCTGCTTCCTGAGATGCTGTGGGGGTCACTATCATCCTGTAACAAATACTCACTGTGCCAGGCACAGTTCCTCTGTAACATGAAGATGATCAAGACCTACATCCAACAACCTGTAGTACAAGGCACAATAGAAGTCTGCAGAGCAGAGTCTGCTCTCTGGGGCCAGAAGTGATTTAATCTCAGTGGCTCCCTTTGCTGCTGTGTGTTCTTGGACAGGCACTTGCCCTCAGTGGGTCCCTTGTCTGTGACATGAGGATGTCCTGGCCTGCGTTATATGGGAGTTGGATGCATCTCAGCAATGACACAGCCATCAGAAGTGGTAGACATTTTAGAAGGACGAGCAGGCTCAGCCAAGAAACTGGTTGCATCCTCTGTGCTTAACTGGGAGGTGGCTGCTCAGTCCCTCTTCCTTCCAGTCTTGGAGCCCTGTGCCTTTTTCCTGCAGCTCGTCTCTCTGCTGGTGGCCCTGCTGCCTTTCATTCTGACTGTATAAGCTCGAGTGAGCCCAGATGGCCAGATGCTCAGATCTCCGTGTGAGGACAGGTCCTTGTGTACAAGAGCTTGCCATGTGCCTAGCAGCCTATCTGTTCCTTTGTGGGGTACACATGCTCATCACTAGCAATTCAGTGGGGGAAACTGAGGCAGATGCTGAAGTGTGCATCTTCATTTGATAGGGTACACACATCTAGAGCTTGAACTGTGTGTATCTAACTCCCAAGCCCCTATTTTCTATTATGCTGAGCTGTGCTTCCACCTAACTCCTTCCTCATTAAATGCACACATGCAACCCACATGCACACATATGACTTACACCCATGTACACACATGCACACACACACACGGCCTGCAGCTTGCCTGTCCTCTAGGGATGTTGGTACACCTAACTACAAACCCCAGAAAAAAATCCAAGTGAGGAACCGATCATCAGAGTGGTCACTCTCAATCTCTGGCAAAGTGCTAACAAATCCCAAGGCCCTTTTGGAGGGAAGGATGAGTATGTGTGTGTCCCTGTGGATACACTGTAATCCCAACAGAAATCTGAGTTTTTCTCAGTCTCTCTCCTTATGGGCAGAACTAACAATTGTGGGAATCAGGGCTCACTGGTGCTTTAAGAGATCAAGTGGGCAATTCCTTTCTAGATGAAGGAAAGGGTCCAGAGAGAGGAAGCCACACGCCCAGGGTATTCTGGTGCTTACTGGCCACTCTGGGATCACTGCTTCCTCTCATACCTACTAGCAGCTCAGTTCTGGGGACTGTCACATTCAGTTTGTAAAGCCTGTCATGGCCTGTTCTCCCCAGCAATCAGCGCAGAAAAGAAGGTTTTAATTAGCAGCAGCAGAAGCATCTGTGAGTCAGCTCAGCTCTGTCAGCCCTGAGGATGCCTCCCTGTGGTGCTGGTTTATGCAGAGCCCCAGGCAGTCCTCAGAATCATAAGCTTCTTATATAAAGCTCTGCGTTCAAGGTTTCCTTTCTAGATATGCAAAGGATTTCCATCTTATTAACTGCTGCCACTGGAATGTCAGCTTCTCTCTCAGAATCCCTTATGTGCCTGTGAGAGGAACTTGCTTCTTAGAGGGGAACTGCAGACCCATATTTGAGATTTTTGCCCTTCAGCACATGCAAAGGACACAGAGATTAGCTGTCTGCCTCCCCGAGCAGGAGTTTCCCTGAGTGGGATTTTCTTCTCTACCCCGTGGCCATGCTTGGCCCTGGCCCCACTGCTACCTCATGTGTCACTGCACTGTACCCTTTGCACTGCTCCAGTCCACCTCTCTCTGTGGTGTTTCCTGCACAATCATTTTAAATGGCAACTTTGCTTATGGAGGTTTCCTGCATTGCTCATGGGTTCGGGTAAGATAGTAGTTTCAAAGCGTCTTTGCTAAACTCTCTCTTCACTGGACTGTAGGTTCTTCTGAGCCAGATCTATAGCTTCTTTCTTGCCTCATCCAGAGACATAGGAACATGATGAATTGCTGCAGTCATCTTCCAAACTTTCCTGCAGGTCTTCAGGAAAGGAGATTCTCCACTGGTATCTCCCTTCTGAACACTGCCAGATTCTTTGGAAACTACATTAACTTTAATTTCAGCAGAATTTAATTAAAAATCAAAAGACTTTTTAAATATTGTTTATTCTCCTACAAAGTTTGAGCATATGATCTATAGCAATTCAGACTTAGGGCCACTTTTATGAATATGTTATGGCTTTTTCTGGACCAAAGCTCAACTTTTCCAAACATAGGGTCACAGACTACAAATAATAAGATAGGAGACAACAGGAGAAGGGCTCAGTATGGGCTGAGCCTGTGAACTTAGCAACTTCATGATCAAAGTGGAAGCAGCACTTTGTAAACTTAGATTGCTTTTCTAAGTCAAAAATTTTGATGTCTTAAAGCGTGACATTTCTACACCAATGCTTTCTTCTTCCAGCCCCATCCCATGAGAATTCACATTTTTTATTTGCATGGTTTTATTATGAAAGCTGAGAAAAGATTGCTTTGGATGGCCAAGCTATATTTTCTACTTAGACTTATTGCTTCTTCATTAAATACACGTGCATGCACTGAAGTGATGAAAACCAGTCTAGACATCGGCTCGTGCATAGAGCAATGAAGTGCGTGATAATGGGTGCTTACATGCAGGTTTATAATTACATCTCGAAGAACTGATATTCATGTGCTTTGGGGCTGATTAATGGATCTTGCTTTTTGATAGCTGCCAGCAAATAGCACACTGGGCCACTTATATTTGGAAGATGAATCTCAGTCCTTGAATTATCCTCCATGTTTCTTTACTTAGTGAAGAGTTCCAAGTCATGTAGCCGTGAAAAGTTATCTTCCTCCTCATCCAGCTGGTTCCATGAGCATACGACCATGTAACTCTAACCAATGGGCCTCGAGTACTGTGTATGGATGATAGCTGGAGAAACAGGGGCTAATGCAACATTAAACAAATATCATCTTCAAAATGCCTGAGCTACAGGATACTTCTCCAAATCTTCACAAATCCATATACACAGTATCTGATTTCTCTTTATGAAAATAATTTTACCTTGTCAGAAAATTTAAGTTTTTATAGAAAGAAATTTTTAATAAAATAATTAGATGATATAGTTAGCATTTAAATACAAGTGTAGGGAAATACAAATTGTAATAGAGAAAACAACAATGATGAGAAGAAATGGATTGAAAGGTTTGGGATAGTGTCAGTATTTTGGTACCTGTCGATGATGATTTGGGAAAGGGGAGAAAGTTAAGTGACAGCTGTCAGTACTGGATAGAGACAGTGCACTGGAGCTCCCCCAGGAAGAGTTGTCCTGCATTGTGTGCTGAAGGGGTACTCATGGGGAGTAGTTTCCTACTTTGTAGGCTGACTTGACTTGATTTGTTTGCTCTGCTCAGCACTGTCCTCTAGAAGGGTGCTGCACCCTTCATGGTCAGATTTCATGTCTTCTTTATTTTCAGTGATGCAGAAATTCGAGAAGGCTCCGGAGTGGAAGGTGAACTTCAGTGCTGCTGCTCCTGGGATGGTCAGATCCAAAGTTCCTGGTTCTGACTCCCCACTGATGCAGTGCTTGGCAGGTGAGGGGCACTGGGGAAATAAGCACAGAGGGAATGGTGTAGAAACATCCTGTGCTGATGCTGGTGAGACACAAGAAAGCATACTATTAAAACCACAATGAAAAAATACAGTTTGTCAAAACATAAATCAGTTAATTTTCAACAGATATATTGAACCCGTAATTTTATTGCAGAGTTTATAGCACATATAATAAATGGCAAGAAATATACAAACTATTAGGGAACAGAAATAAACAAATTTAATTTACTATAGGACTATTTAAATGAGGCATGGGTGGTGTGTGCCAGCCCCAAAAAGGCTGAGGCAGGAGAAGTGCCATCAGTTAACCTGGGATGCATAGTGAGTCCAGACTAGCCTGAACTACATAGCAACACCCTATCTTAAAATTTTTTTAAAAAAAGCTATTTAGTGTATGTATTTGTCTTTTGCAACCATGTATTTGTCTTTAGGGTATGAGGCCAGACAGGTAGTATTAACAGCTAATATTTATTTGTCTTCACATAAATTATCTCAGTCTTGTCATCACCCATGAAGTAGCCATTCTGATCCCAAGTTACACTGAGAGTGTAAGTTCATTGACCTCGAGCTAGCAAAAGACATAACTGAAGTTCATATTTTCAGGCTGCTGGATAATAAACCTGTGATCTTAACCACTATTGCATTATTCCTCTTCAGGAAGCAAGTGGTTTGGTTGTTAATTTGCACTCTAGCATAGGCCTCTTTGGGTATCTACTCTGGCTATGCTGAGCATATGTTGCTTGCAACACAAATCCAGTGCAGGAGATAAAGAAGGCGCTGGAAAAAAAATGATATTCATAGGGCCTGGAGCAGCAGTGGTGAACTATGAAACATGTGCCCCAGTGGGCTGTTTGCATTCCAGAAAGCTCTAAAAGCTTTGCCATCACTGGCCAGTGGAACAGAACCAAGGGGAAGAAGAGTGGACACGAGGAGCTTGTGCCTAGGAGGCACACTTAACAGCGATGGCAGGATTGTGTCTTGACCTGAAATGTTGCACTCATCCCCATGCATACACTCAGACACTGTAGCAGAGTTTGAGATAGAAAGGCAGGGGAGAGAGAATGCAGAGTCTTGCAGAATGTGGTGAGCGGAGAGGGCAGGTCCATTGTTAGAATCAGGAGGTGGTTTCTGCAGCTGGGATAAACTCAGAGACTGGCATGTGGTGGAAGGAATAGGCAGCAGCTGGGCAAGACCACCATAGCAGGAGAGTCTAGTAACCTATTACACAAATGAAAGTGGCCCCTCCGACAGAGCAAACAGTTGTGCCGTGGGAATTCAGGCATTTGGCACCGTGGTTGTGTTCCTGGATGCCATGGCTAAGTACCACAGACCAGGGGGCAATGAAATTCAGTAGCTCAGAATTCACTAGACTGAAATTCTGAGGGTAAAGTTGATTAAGTCCCTGGCTTGTAGATAGCTGTCTTCTCCCATGTCTTCACATGGTTTTCCCTGGGGATGTGTCTGTATCCTAGTCCTCTCTTCTTAGGGAGACATTAACCATATTGAATTAGGGTCCACCATAATGACCTCATTTTTCACTGAGTTACCTCTTTGAAGATCTTATCTTTAAATTTAGTTACACTCAGAGGTGCTAGAGTGAGGACTTTGACATACGAGTGGACCCCATCATAAACATAATTTTACAGAAAGTGAAAGGGCCACTTAAGAGGATGGAAAACACAGGTGTATGGTAGTGAGAAAGGAGGACGTGGTGGTGAGAGAAAGGGACCAGGGGAAAAACCCAGGTCTCCACAGATCCAAGCAGTGCAGTGAGGAGCAAAGGAAAGTGTAGTGCAGTAGGACGCAAGATGACACCAGGGTCATGACAGTAGCCGTGGGTCTTGGTCACTCTCAGCTGCAATAGACAGTACTGGTCTATAGTCCTGATCTAGAACTCTCCCTGCTATCCTGATCAGTCTTGTCCCAGAGCCTGGTGCAGAGACTGCTTGCAGTGGGACCGAAGTCATACAGCTGAGGTAGCAGTGGGCTTGAGGGTCAGAAGCTGGTGAGCCAGAGTGAATTGCTTTCTTTGGTTCTGAGTGGGCCTGACAGTGTGTGGATGTGAAGACCTCAGTGCCCGGTTTGTGAGAGTGCTGGAACTATCAACACTGAGATGAAGCTCCAGAGAACCACCTTCAGAGCTGGGGTTCACCCCCAGGGGGCCCTTCATAGCCAAGTTTACTCCCCACTTTCACAACTAACCAGGGTTCCAGCTTGTGAGTTGTCCAGTCTGAGGAAAGGAAAACACCTCAGTCACCAGATCTATGGCTTTCCCTTGCCTTGCTGCTGGGAACATGTGGGGAAGCACAGGACAGGGTTTGGAGTAGGAAGCCCCTTGAATGACTACTGTGCCACCATCCACTATGTGACATTGCCAATTCTTAGTCATGGTTCCTTATCTCTAACTGTGCCTCTCATGGACCCAGTAGAAAGTGTGAGTAGTATACAGACCCTCCAGTAGTGTCCATCCCTAAATGGGACTGGCCTATTGTAAATCTTTTTTCAGTCAATTTAAATTTTTTATCCAAATCTTCCATTCTTGGTATGTTACTAGTACTATTATTATTCATAAACCCAACACAGTCTAAGCATATACTCTAACTTCATATGTTTATTAAACACTCTGAGGTTTGTGTGCTGGCCACCGGGCTTCATGCCTGTGGTACAGGGAGACTAAAGTGCTCTGAGCCCACAGCACGAACTGGGGCCTTTTGTCACATGGGACCTTGGCACAAGAAATGTGGATGCGTCTACATCATCACATCCCCAAGTTCCCCTCAGCTGCCTGGGGGGTGAAGAGCAGAGCTTTGGACACTTTTGTGACTGCAGAGGATGCCCATGTGGCCCTCCTGGAATGAAACAAGTGAAGGAGAAAGGTTCCATCCGGACAGGGTCAGCTCAGCCACTGCACAGGTTCTCAGGCCTGAACTGCTGTTTCCAAACCCTGGTTCTACTGCCCGGTGGCTTCGTTACCTTCATGGAGGAGCTGAACCCAACTGCTTGCAGTTCTTCAGCTGTCAGGTGGGGGACAAGGACCCCATGATACAGGGAGTCCTATCTGTAGCACACGGCAGGTGATGGACCTGGAGTAAACATCTCCCGTGTGTGTGCTCCTGTGTATGGTGTGTATCACGTGTGTCTGGATTGTGTGTGTGTGTGTGTGTGTGTGTGTGTGTGTGTGTGTGTGTGTGTGTTTGTCTAGATTGCATCTGTGTGTGTTCTGGGAGAGTGGATTTGGGTATGTCAGAGGGTGTGTATTTCTGTGTTGGTGTTTGTGCGTGTCTGCATGCGTGCATGTGGAGTGTATCTGGGCACCTTGTGGGTATGATGTATTTGGGAGTGTTCCTGTCTGTGCAAGTGTGTTGTGTGCATAACAGGGGAATATATTTGGTACACTGCGAGTCTGTGTGCTTGGGAGTATACATGGCTATCTTGCAAGCGTGTGTGGGTACATGGCAAGGAAGGACACGATCTGTCTTTTCTGTCACCACCACTCCAAGGCAGGTGGTGACTGTCCCTCATATGGTGTTTGCAGACTGTGCAGAGGACCAGGGCTGCAGCTTCTTCACCATGTTCACCACAGAGTCAGAAGTTGCATGCGATTTCTACAATTGGACAAGTGACAACTTTGCCTGTACTACGTCTGCCCAGGTGAGACGTGGTGACTTCCTTGTCTGTTCCATGTCAAACACACCTGATGCCATGCTGAGGACTGGTGAGATGACAGGGTGAGTCAGTCCAAGGTTGATGGCTATGTCCTCCTGTCCATCATAGAGATGGGGCTTTGGAAGTGAAGCTAAGATAGGCCTGAGCCTGACTACAGAGTTGTAAAGAGCAGTATCATTTCCTGGGGAGTCAGATGAAGGACTGATTGCTGAGCACCCACTTTCTATCCCCACTGATTACTTCATCCAGCACTTTGGGCTCACATAGTATGAGGCCATTGCCGCAACCCTGAATACTGTCTGCCTGAGTCCTAGGTGGGTCTCCAATAAAAAGCAAAAGTGTCCTGTCCTAATTTTCTAACTCCCAAACAAGTTCCTTACAAATCCTTCTGGAAAGTATCTATGTATTTATAAATGCGTTTTTATTTTTATGCTAATATTTTCTCATATGCCCTTTTGCCCTTGATTTCCTCCTGAGAGTTACCTGTGTCTGTGTCTTTTCAATGGCAGTGTAACAGTTCCCATCACGGATGTGCATTATCCATTTCACATTCCCTCAGTTAAGGACATGTACATTAGTGACCGTTTTGTAACATTACAGACACTAAAGCTCCTGGGTCCATGTCCTTGTATGAGAAATTGTATTCATAAGTGACATCCTGGAAGAGGTGTGAGTTTTAGGGTCCTTGAGCTGTAAGATACACAGAAGAGGCAGGGAGAGACTTGGGCGGAAATTCCAGCTCCACTCCTTGCTCATTGCTACTGTTCAGGTTCTTCAACCCTCGCATTCTCAAAATCTTCCACAAGGATAATAACAGTATCATTGTGAAGAGAGACTAAGTTCTCACATGGAACAAGCTGCAGAGTGAGTTCTCAGTGATCATTAACACAGTTCGTATCTCTGCTGATGCTGTCATCACACCCTTCCCAGTTCAGGTCAGCGGAAAATGCCACTTGAGTGTTATGAGGGCCCTCTCTAGGGCCCTGGGCTTGCAGTACACTGCTAGGAGCGAGGCCGGGGCTTGGACATTGGTCCTCACTGGTCAGCCTGCCCTACCTCATGCCAGCTCTGTGGTCCCAGGTTCTGCTTTCGTTTTCTCAGCTCTGCTGCTTCCAGACCAGGTTTGGACTTTGGGGTACGGGGGCTCTGCCTTTCCTGGTCCAGTCATCGATCCAGTCTCCTACTGACCCTGAGAATCTGTGCAGTGGCTGAGCTGACCCTGTCCGGATGGAACCTTTCCCCTTCACTTGTTTCATTCCGGGAGGGCCACTGACCCTGCCCTACTAGGGGACAAGTAGAGAAGGGTCAAGAGCTCTCATTCCGGTCTGCAGTAGCCCCTTCCCTCTGTGCTCTCCAAGGCTCCCTGTTGTCCTCAGGCAATCGCCTCTCCAGTGAGCACAGATGGTCCAGAGAGCGAGGTGCTGTTGCCTTCCAATGGCCTGTTCTTTTGCCTCTGCTCTCCAACAGTTCCCACTGGAAACTCAAAAGTTTGACTACTTGGGGGAGCAAAATAAAAACACAAATGGATGCATGTTGTCAAATTTATCCCCACACCTCTATAGGGTAGTATTGCTCAAAACAAATCACAAGAGAGGTCAGAGATAACTAAGAATTGGAAAACTCTGAAAATGTGACCTCACCATTTCTAAGCTTCAGAACCTTCCCTGGGAAGAAGCTATGCTCCTCTGTGTTCTCCCAGGAGCTGGCTGCGGCTCTTTCCCCCTCTGCAGTCTTCCTCTCACTGGACCAAGTCTAAACATCTGCTGAATTCCAGTGTTCTGTGTCTGCTGTTCCTTCTGCTTAAAATCCCCTTTCTTTTGTTTCTCCCGGCCAATTCCTACTCATACATTAGAACCACACCCAGATTTACTCTTCCTAGGAAACATTTCTCAGTTCTACTTCCCCACATAATTACACACACATACACCACCACCACCACCACCACCACCTTGTAGTCACCTCCTCTTTGATTACCTGTGTCTTTGCAGCTAATATTCTGGTTGGAATTACTGCTTACATGTCTGTCTGTGTCAGTACATCAGGAAAAACTAACAACTAGGAGTCTTTCCTTTTTTTTTTTCAATCTTTGGTCCCAGTGCCTGACTATGATTAGTTTGAAATGTGTGTGTTGAATTGAATTGCTAAACGACATGAAATGGTGATTTACCTGCTTTCCATCTCCAGGAACAGGATGCTCTGAGGAGCTTGCAGGTCACTGGCTTTGGAAGTCTTATGTGCCAAGTGAAAGTGAGGAACCGCAATCAAAAGTCTCTGGCCGTATATTTGAAAAAGGGTAGGTTGGTGAAACTGGGTGTCTCAGGGCCCCTGGTCACGTTTGGAGCTGGAGTCCAGCAAGGTGGGTTTGGGGAGAGCAGAACACCCCTCATCTGACTCCATGCCCTTAGTCAACCCTCTCATCTCCATTCTTCAGCAAGCTCACCCCACTGGCTTTTGCAGATAGCCGTCTCCCCAGCAGCCACAGTGCCTGGGCTTGCACATTGTGCTCTTTTGTGCCACCTGATTTGACCCTCACCTCAGTCTGTGGGTATGTGAGCCTCACGCTGCAGCTGCAGTCCTAAGCTCTAGTGGAGCCAGAGCCAAGAGGAGGAGGATTCTAGAGCTCAGCAAGCCCAACTTGTGCATCCTCGTGTAAGCCCCTGATACCACCTGTAATGCAGGCATTCCTTAGGGGCCTGGGCTCAGCTCTCTACAGTTGTTCCCCCCAACCTTGGCTGTCCAATTCCTAAAAGCTTCTCTTCCTCCACCCTTATCAGATATTGCCAGACCTTTTCCTCCCAGCCAGTCTGAACCGCCAAGGGATCCTGCCTCTCCCATGCCCTGTGCTCAGGGGAGTGCGTTAGGTGTTGCACACCTGCATTACTTGGAGAACTAGTGAACTACAGATTTGGATCCTGGAGGTGGGGTAGAGCTGAGATCCTGGACTCCTAATAATCTCTCCGAGGATGCTTCTGGTGTGGGGACCACACTTCAAGTAACAAGAAGTACAATATGCAGTAGTTTACAGCTCACTTTCCTGGTCGGATTTTTATTTTACCTTTGCAGCAACTTTTGCCAGAGGGAGAGCAGGGAAGCATTGGGGCCCTAGGAAACATGTGGGGAATGAGCAACAAGCTTTCACAGAACCCTGCGGCCTGCCCTCTTCCACCCTGCCCTGCCCTCTTTCCTCTGCTGGGGCCAAAAATTTGCCAACAATATGGAGCTTGGTCCTACCAGTGGTTTGTGACTCTCCCTGCAGTTTTTGCTCTGGACTTTCTCTTCCCTGGGGCTTAGGACTGGAGAGCCAGGATGCAGGAGTCACCGGCTCAGGGTAAACTCCAGCTCTGCTCCGTTGCAGCTGTGTGATCTTGGACATATTCCTAGACATTCTAGGCCTCCACGTCTTCACCAGTAAAGCCAGTGTCCTATGGGGACCCAGGCTATCAGGTGGTACCTACTAAAGATGTTCTCTAAAACCATGAGTTAGCTTTTTGCCACATTTTTTAAAGTGCAGTTGTGTTTCTTAAATATTTTGGGTCCCTCATAAAAAGAGCTACAATGTGTATAAGAGGACAGGAGTTTGAACACCTGGGAATGAGGACAGGCTGAGGCTGCTCAGTGAGGGGGACAGGGCAGGTGCAGGGGCTGGTTACACAGGGCAAAGGGAAAGCACTGCAGACAACCCCTTGAGGGCAAAGCTCGAGAGGTAAGAAGAAATCCAAAGTCAGGAAAGACACAGAGGGGACCCTGCGCTCCTGAATATTTCTGCAACAGCTGCCCTTAGCCGTGTTTTACTACATGACGTTCTTCTGTCAGTGTTTGATGTCACTGGTCAGGGAGAGGCCAGGGGAACAGTAGATACAGCAACCAAGGCAACTTGGGCATGACAATGACCCAGCTTTTCCATCTGCCCTGTGTTCAAACTGATCCATGTTACAGAAACTGGAGCAGGCCAGTGGAAATGGATGGAGAGAATGCAGGGGAAGCATAAGGCATGTGTGTAGAGCTTAGTAACTATGTCTGGCGATAATAAAAATAACAGTACAAGCCAATTTTGAAGATGAGGACTTAGACCTTGTTAGGTGTAAGGAGCATCCGTCCAGGTGCTCTGAGTTTAGGACCAAGGCCGTGGCTGTACTCACACCCCTGTCACACAGTCAGCCCAGTGCTTTGTGATGGTTTTGTGTCCTGACCTCTCCTCTGCTCGGCACCTGTAGGGCCCAGGCATTAGACTCTTGTTTGCAATTAGCTCTGCTCAACTCTGTAGTGTCTTGAGGTCTTTTCCATCTTTTTTCCTGCCTTTCCGCAGGCCAAGAATTCACCGCAGCAGGCCAAAAGACCTTTGAGCCCACTGGATTCCAAAACACGCTGTCTGGATTGTACGACTCCGTGATGTTCTCAGCCTCAGGGGCCAACCTGACTGATGCTCACCTTTTTTGTCTTCTCACCTGTGAACGTGATGCCTGCTGTGATGGTTTCATTCTCTCCCAGATGCCAGGAGGTGAGGCTGACAGGGAGGACTGGGCCTAACAAGGGACAGGAACCAGAGACACAGCACCCAGGATACATAACAGGGCACAAGGGACTGCAGGCATGAGGCAGCTACACCCAGACAGAGGGTACTTTCATAGGTACCTAGCCAGACAGGAATGGGCTGCTCCCACATGTCACCTACTGTCCCGGCCGCTTCCCATGGTAACACTAGTGTGTGATCACTGCTGTTCAGCTTTGCAAGCCCAGAAACAGGAGTTCTGAACATCTAGGGTATTTTTCTCATGGCCATTCAGCTTGCAGGGGACAGAGCAGGGCCTTAACCTGAGGTGTCCTCAGTAACATTTAGCTGCCACCTAATAAACAGGGCTAGTCACATTTGGGCAAAAATTTTAACTCATTCCTTTTGCTCATGATGACTCATTCTCTAGTTACCTATGACTTGCCCACTGTATTCCAGGTCCTGTGATCAGTAGGATTATTGCTGCCAGTTGTCTTTCAGCAGCAGGGGAGGATATCTGTACAAATCGGCACTTCGTAGGGCCGCGTAATAGTTGAAAAGGACTTTAATGTTGAAGATCCGGTTCAGGCCCCCAGATGTCACTTTCTAGATCTGCCATCTTGGACAAATTGCTTAAACTAACATGGAGTCTCTTTGTCCATAAAATGGGGAAGATGATTACTTATTAAAAGATAATGGACACAAAATGCCAGGCCTGGTTTATCTCCTCGGGTTAGTACCAACTTAGTACATTAGTCACTGTTTCCATGAGACTCAGCTCTGCCTCCACCTGAGCAGCATCAGACAGAGGTGTTAAGGTTTCCCTTGGGATTGCCAACACTGCTGTTTGTGTTTGCTGCTGCACTCTTTTTCCTGGTAGCTGTACCAAGTCCCTTCTACTCTCCCACCCCCTACTGCCTGGCTCTGCATTCCCTGCCCTCCAAGTCTCTCTGAACAGCTCCAAACCCTCTCCTTGCTTCCCACTCCTCAGTCACCTGGTGCACGTACCCATTTCCCCAGGGGAGTAGGACTCCCCTAGGCTTTGACACAGACCTTTATCCTCCCCACTCTGATTGCACATACTTAGGTGCAGAGCAGAGTTGGGGAGTGGGTGGATCAGGTAGATTCTAGTGACCTACCTGATTCCCAAATCCCAATGACTAGCACAGCATGCTGAGCTCAGCTTCCGTGTTTCATGATACCAAGAGCTTGTGCTTTCTTCTCCTGCCTTTACCTCCTCTCAGATCCCAAGGTAGGAAGGGATACTTGTTTATTCATAGGCCCTGAAAAAATTAGACATCACCCTGAAAATGTATAATACAAATTTCTGTCAATTCATAAAGACTGGAAATCTTTAAAAATTTGTAAGCTTAAATCAGTGAAGGGAAGGGGGAAGATTATTTTCAGTGGAAGGGAGCAGCATATGCAAAGGCTGTGTGGGAAGAGCGTGCTTCATTGTGAGCGATCTCTGGTCACCAGGGCAGGGAGAACCAGTGGAAGGTGAGGCTCTGGCTTGAAGGATCGAGAGAGGGGCAGGGCGTGCCACAGAGAACCTTGTCAGCTGCACTGACAACTATTTTTCATTCTAAAACCAGCTGGAAACCACTGTAAATTTTAAGGAAGAAGGTGCCATAGTCCCTTCGGATCTTAAAATCAGCGCTCTGGCCAGAGGATGCAGATGGCAGAAAGAGACTTCAGTGGTTAGGGGAGCCAGTGAGGAGCAACTGCAGTGGGTCCGCAGGAAAGGATGAGGCTGAGGCTGGGTGATGGTGGCGCAGGTCACAACCAAGACCCTGCACCTTCTCTTTAGGAAGCAGAGTCAGCAGGACTGTATACGGGGATTCAGGAAGAGGGAGGTACTGAAGGTTGTTCTTGCATGTCTAGCTTGTCACCTGACTGGGTAGCCTGCTCCTATGACGAATAGTAAAGGAATTTGGTGATGGAGGGGGAGATTTAGAAGGGTCATAAGTCCGTGTGGGATATGCTATGTTTGAGATATTCACAAAAAGTCTTTTGGGCACAGAGCTCTGGTGCTCAGAAGGGAAATCTGGACAGGAGATATTCGCGTATGGATTAGAAGCCTCACAGGGTGTGAGAAGCCATGGCTATGGCTGGGATTTCCTTGGAAAAGAGAAGCAAAGAGTGAGAAGATAAAGGCGGGTGGACCAAGTCCAGTGAACACCCGTAGAAGAGGGGATAATCTGCAGAGAGGGACACAAAAGCATACTCCACGTGAAGAGGAAGTGGCCCAGGAGCTAAGTGCCCAGTGGAACCCTCAGTGGGAAGTGGGCTAATGAAGTGTGGTGTCATCTTGAGTGCTGCTGAGGGCTCAGGAGATGACTATTGGAGAATGCTGAGTTTAGCTCGCAGTAGTCAGTCAGTAGCACTTAATTAAGAATATTTATTATATTATTGGAGAGGTGAGACAGGAACCCAGATTAGAATAAAATGATCGCTAAAATTCCTCTGAGGTTTAATGCTCTGTGGTTATACGATGTGGACTCATATTATGCTTAGACAGGGGAAAGCGTGTTTTACACACACATACTTACACACAACCATGCATGTTCCTTTATGTACACCTATATTCAGAAACTGTGTAATCAAACCCAGCATGCCTCTCTCCACTAGCTACCTCTTCTGTTCATACCATGGTCTCTCCAGATGCTCAATTACTTACCAGACCATGTGGACTTTCCACTTGGAAAGGGTGATTGCATTTTCCTTAGGATCATATATGGAAAAACAGTTCTGTGCCATGGAGCAGTCAGCCCACAGTCCTTTCTCCCATGATATTTCTGCCTGGCAGCTTGCTCTCTTTTCCCTCCAAGTTTAACCTGTGGTCTGTGAGATCTGCTAAGCTGATGGATCACCACATGGTGCTGACTGCCAAGCCCCTTTGTAGGCGCAGGTGAAATGTCTGGCTGATGGCTTCTTCGGGCTCATGCCCCTGCATGAAAGGAGTTTTAATTTACAAGGCTCTGGCTGGGTCTGCTGATGACCAGGAACAGATTCCCACCACATCCTTCCATCGCAGCCTGGAAAGTCATTTAACTCCCTGGTAGATTCCCCCTGTCCTCTTCCCCTTCCAGATACCTCTCCCAGAACCTCCCGAATCCTCTAGTAGCTAACCCCAAAAGGTCTTGTTTCTACATAGATATCAGGCTAGCTTCTTGAGGCTGTGAACTTACATTTTAGTTGAGGCCACTTGAATTGGGGCGGGGGGGGGGGGAACTGTGTGCCCTGAGCTCATGAATGTCACTGAAGCTGGCAGGTACGGTCAGCAATGTAAGCTCTAGTTTCCAGCTGGCCCCAAGCTCCTGGGCCACCAGACTTCTCACCAGCACTCCAGGAAGTTGCATGGGTGTCTTGAGCTGTAAGCAGGACAAACACTTGCTTTGTGTTTAATTCTGTCTGCCATAGAGACTGGGAGTGGGGCAGAGGCCGGGTGAAAGGCAGGAGCCAGAAGGATGCCAGACCACAGTGCTAGGCCTTATCTGAGGCCTGCACTGTCTCTGAGTTCCCCAGCAGACTATTACTGCCTGCTGACCATTCCACTGTTGCTCTGGAACCAGAGAAAATCATTTCCCCTTTCCATATCTCAGTTTCCCTCTGTGTAAAGCAAGGTGGCCTGCCTGGGTCAGTGAACTTGGCTGTGTACCAGAATCATCTGTGTACAAACATTAATTGCCCAGAGCCCCACCACCACCACCACTCTGTGACCTACTGACTCCAAGGGACCAAGCATGTTCAGAGCCTGGAAGTGACCACTGTAACTCTCCCTATAATTTTATATCATCAATCCAAGCCCCTGGTTTGGGAACCCTATGTTAGGTGACCTCTAGGGCTATGTTTGATTTAAAGCCAGTCTCTGGAGATCCAGTGTCCCAGTCCATACTCAAGCTATTGTCACCTGTTCCCATCTAAAGGGCTCCCCAGTCACAGAGGGGAGTCCCTGATGCCTCTGCTGCCTCCTCACTCACCTCCCCTTCTGCCTTTTAGGGCCTCTCATCTGCGGGCTGCTGAGCTCCCCCGATGTCCTCGTTTGCAACGATGACGATTGGAAGGACTCCTCCAAAGTCCAGGCCAACACCACGTGTCCTGGAGTGACATATGAACAGGGGTCCCATCAGGTGACATTTCTTCTAGGAGGCCAGGAGTTTGTGAAAAGTAAGTCTTTGCCATCTGTACCCAGTCCTTCCAAATCATTCTTGCACTGGCCAGTGAGGCAGCCCGCAGCTTCTCCAGCTTTCCACGTTGCCTGAGGGAATTCACGCTTGGGAAAAGTCAACATAGAAGAAAGTGGCTTCCTGTGGAAGCAAGCATGTGCCCATCCACCTAGCTGGCTGGCCTGCAAGTCACCGGGGCAGGTAGCTCCGGGACAGGTCTGCTCCCAACCAGTTCGTGTAGGAGTCTGGGGTCAGTTGGCTGTAGCTTGATCTGGGCTCGGCTGGGTTAGGAGCCTGGGCGCTGTTCCTGCCGATGTTAACTTTCCTCCTCCTTCACCGGGATGAGCATAAGCTTTTCCTGCAGGGTGAAAAGCAGAGCAGAAAGTTGGGGGGAAAATGGGCCTCTGAAAATCCAGGCTGGGACCTCCCTGTCATTTCTGCCACATTTTCCTGAATACGACAAATTGCAGAGGAAGGATACTGTGCCCCGTTAGTAGCAAGAAGCACGAAGTCATGAGCAAGATGTGTGACTATGATAAAGGTGAAGAAGTGGTGCCCAGCAGGCAGGCTGACCCAGAGCTGTCCCCCAGGGCATCCCTCGGAAGTCACGGAATGCCAGGTGAGGGCAAGCACATCCCTCTTACAGGAACGTGGGAGAGCGGCCCATTGTGCGGACTCAGGGAACAGAAATAAACTCCGCGCATTCTCATTCCCTTTTACTCGCTTGGAAGCTCTTCTGGTCTTTCGTTTTTACAGACTTATGAATGTTAGAGCCAGAAGGTGCCTCTCTGATCACCTGTCCCAGGTTCTCCAATGGGCCCCATTCTGCCTGACCCCCAGGAGCTGGGCCTTCTGCAAGGTCCTTCAGACCGGCATGCCAGCATTACTCATGGGGTTGGGCCAGCGGCATCAGTAGCCCTGGGATCTGGGATGGACACGTAGATTCTCATGATCACATCCCCAGGTCCCAGGAGTCTGTGTTCCAGCAAGTCCTCCAGTAGTGGAAGTTTCCTTCAATGCCCGAATTCTAGGTGAGAGGAGAGCAGGCCAGGTGCTCATGCCCTCTTCCAGCTCCTGAGTGGCTCAGAGGACTTGCTGCCCCTCACCTTCCTGCTCGGTGACCCGCCAGCACCTGTGGGAGAAGGGAATGTCAACTCCTTTCCACCTCCCAAGGCTGGAGAGTTAGGAGTGATAGATGGGGTCCTCCTGGGGCCTCTGTGGAACTTGACCTCCAGGGGCTGGTGGAGGGAGCCCGACGTCCATGTCTCCAGGGACTGCTGTCCTCAGGGCCTCTCGATGGCAGGCCCACTGTGCTCTTCTCCCACAGCCATCTTGGTCCACGCTCCTGCAGAGCTCCTGCAGGACCCCTTCGTGTCAGGCTGTGCCCTCCCTTTGCCTCTGCTGGTCTGTCTCAGTTTGCCTGTGCAGCCTAGTCGTGTGGTTGTGGCTGAGTCAGAGCTCCTGGCTGGGGAGTGGGTACTGACCATACTGGCTCCACAGAGGTGGAAGGGGCAGACATGGCAGCAGCAGTCATCTAGAAAGGTCTCCTGTGGTGCTTTTTGGAGTCCATCCTGTACCATGGCCTTCACTGTACTCACACAGCACTTCCAGGGAAGCCCTGCTACTGCTGCCTCACTTTACAGTAGAAGAAACTGAGGCAGGTGACCCCCAAAGTTTCAGAGCTGGTGAGCAGCAAAGTGGGTCGGAAACTATCCTGGCTCAGAAGCCACTGTCTGGTCACTCCTCCCTGGACAAACGCAGGTAACGAGTGGGAGAACAGGGCTCAACACTTAGTATCAACCTGAGACAGCTATCGCTGTTTTAACACTGGTCATTGTTCTTTGCTGTTTTTTAAGAACTGACCTCTCTCTTATTAATTTTCCATGAGTTCATCAAAAGCAGTTTGTGCTTTCATTGTTTGATCAATTTTTCATGCCTGTTTCTTATTATAGGAGCAGCTACTTTGAAGATAACAATACGCAGTGTGTTAACCTTTGTTCATCTCCTACTACTTTGTTTTGAAGTCTTGTATCATTGTTTTTATTCTTTTTTCTTTTTTAAAATAAGAAAATAATTTCTGGGTTCACAGCACAGAAAATCAAACCTGGCATAGAAAATATATGCGACATCTGTGGAGTGCCTAGTTACCAAAACTTGGAAAAATATTTCAGAATTTGGTGGAATTCCATGAGGCTTGAATGATTTCTTTCGGCATAAATAAAATCAAATAGCTTATTGATGTGAGGATTATGAAACACCTGGTATTCATTGTTGTGAGAGTAGCCCAGGGTGAAAACAAGCATTTCCAGAAGGACATATGATATATTCCCGGGCAATAAATCCAGAATGAATTGCTTAACCCAGAGCATGTGCTTGGTATGCACCCAAGACATGAGGAATGTGCCCTTGACTACTCTTCCTGGAAAGGAGTGATCACTAACAGGCTTTGAAGGCTTGGATTTTTTTACTGCCTGTATGTGTAGCTGCATATTCCTGGGTGAGAGTAGTTCCTCCTGTGGGGAGCTCCCAGTCTGGTTGAGGACTGACAGATTTGGACATTGCTAGAGCACAGAGACCTCCTGTTTGCCAACTTAGTTTAGTGACAAGCTGTAACTTGTCACTCTGCTCTGTGGTTAGACACCACTCAAGGACCAGTCAGGGTTTGTATCTCCCACATTTCCCATGAGTATCTCTGGGTGTTTTCAACTATGTGGTGCTGGCTTGACCAGCTTTCTGGTTTTTAAGAAAAAGTGACTTAGAAGTCTTTGGGGCTGCATATGAGTAAGTTCTCACAATGTCTTGAAGTTCCAATGAGTGAAAAATAGGCAAATTAGATGACCCTGATTCCCATAAAAATTTAGTATTTTGTAAGAGGAAAAGGCCTTGTCAGAAATATTCTTGGATTTATTTTGAGAGCTAAAAGCTTTGTAGTTCTTTCTGGGAGGCTTTTTTGTGTCAGTGACTATGGTTGCTGCTTTCTCTTCCTGAAGGAGATAGGAGTGATGCTAAGACACTTTAGTTAGCCCAAGTCTCCACCATTACTCTGTTAACCAAAGCACTTACATACTTTGCATTCATTGTGCTGCTAATAAGGCCTACCTGTCAATAGAGACTGAAAGGGCTGGTACACCTTTGGCGGCTCTCTGCAGGGCAGGCTCCCAGACAGCAACTTGCATTGACTCTTGATGACTCTGTGTTCTCCATTGTGAAATTCTGCCCACTCTAAGGGCCTAGGTTAAAACTGTGGTCACAAGTGCAACACATGGTTTCTGTGGGAGTGTCCCCGAGGAGGCTAAAACTGCACAGCTTGTGTTAACATTAAAGACTCAGGCTCATGCCAAACACCGTGGCTCTCAGTGTGCATGTGTGCCTGAGACCTTGATGGTAGAAAGGGCTGTCCCGAGTCTGTTGGGGCAGTGAGGATAGCTTATTAGGGCACAATTATAATGTAAGTATACATTTATAAAAGAGAAAATTTATAGGTGTTTTGTGATACAAATTAGAGAGCAATTGGAGATTTCTGACCAAGTTTCTGCTGAATTCACCTGACCTGGCCAGTGTCGAAGCCCAGCTGCAGACCTCTGATAAGCAGTGAGTCAGAGTAACTGTCTATGCAGTGACTTAAAAGTCACCCTGGGCTTATCAAGTACGCCATTAACTATGCTCACCCTGTAAGGGCCCCCTCCCCTTGCTCTCAGAATATTTCTATATTACGATGAGCAATTTGTTTCAACACATCTGTTCAAGACTAGCCTGCCTGACAATATGACACTCAGTGCATGTAACCAGCTATGTAACATTTTGTCACTTGCTTTGTTTTTACCACTTGTAAATGCTACATAAACTCTTTGTAAACTCAGGGCTGTTGCCTTTGGGAATGATCCCACAGCAGTCAGCCAGTGAAAAGATTAAGGGCTGCCCTCTATTCCTCTCAATGTGAAAAGTCATCCTTTTGGTTTGACTTGGGAATTTTCCCACAACAGCCTCCCTGTGTGACAGTGGAAGGAGTGGCAGAGATGCCCCAGCAGTCACCTCATCGCTGTGCATCGCTGTGCAGTAAAGACAAAGAAGGATATTGTTTGCCTCAGTTTCATGTACCTTCTTCACTTGAAGAGTGAACTAGACAAGTGTTGGAGAATGGAGTGAAGGGTCAGATGTCTGCTTTAGAAAAACACATTTGATGACTTTCTTATGGATGGGAGGAAAGGGCTCTGCATTTTTTGGGTAGACTCTGAGCATCACTAGTGGCTCTGTGTTCCCTCACTCATTTCATCTTGTGTTCATTTGTGTAATAAAAACCATTTGTACATCAGGGGCTGTGATGGCAATGAGCAATACCAAAAGGAATAAGGCCTGGTCCTTGCCTCAAGAAGCTCAGAGTCCATTCAGGGATCTTGGAATTGATCATCTGGTGTGAGGCTAAAGACAGGTGTTTTCTGAACGCTGCATAAAGCCAGGAAGGGAGGGCGTGTGAGCCTCCCAGGCCAGGTTCGGGGAGGCCTCCAGAAAGAGCTGCTTGCTTGCCTTCCTCTCTTGCTCCCTCCTTCTCTTCCTTCTTTACTTGCTTTTTTCCTTTCTCTATCTGTCTCTTTCACCCTCCCTTACTCTCCTCTTCCCTTCCTTCTTCTGTCCTCTCTTCCTTTCTTTTTTTCAGTATCGGAAAATGAGTCCAGAGTTTTTTTTCTAAGCTACATCCCCAGCCCCTTTTTTATGTTGAGACAGAATCTCACTAAGTTTCTCAGGCTGGGTTCAAATCTGGATCCTCCTAGCTCAGCCTCCCAGAGTGCTGAGATTATAGGTATGTACCACCATGTGTGACAAATCTGACTCTTGAAGAATGAGTGCATGTGAATAAAATGAGATGGGATTAGGGTGTAGGCAGAGGGAAAACATAGGTCAGTGATGGAGAGGCCGAGAAGCCAGCATTAGATGTGCCTGGGGAGAGGTGCCTTGGAGACAGAGTTGGTATGTGGTGGCCCAGAATATTGTGGGGGAAGAAAAAGTAACTTTTTCTTAATTGGAGTGGATGCCTGAAACAAAGACAGGTGACAAGAGAAAATCACATTTAGATTGCTTGAGAGATACTCAGGAATGAGTAGTTCTCAAAGAGGTGGCTTTGAATTCCAACTTATGCAGCATTTTCAACAGTGAACAGTGCGTTTTTAGAGAACTGACAGAACAAAGAGGAAAAAAACCTCTGCATCTCTAGAGATGGCAAAGTGAGGGCAGACAAGACTAGGCAGGAAAACACTGCTCAGTAAATCTCTCTGTGTCCATTCCCTGGTGCCCTCAGCAGTCCCATCAGGGTCCAGTGTTGTCTCCTGTGCTCACCTCTATTCTCCTAGATAGAGGGGTAGGGTGCCTTTTGTCTACCTCTAATGTCCCGTGAGACCTGGCAATCATTTTAATGATAAAAAGACACTAAGGAGTTGTTACTTTTCTTGTAAATTACAAAGATGACCCCATGGTAAACTATGTCTTACAATGGTCACTGGTTTTAGTGTTAGATTACAGAACAGTAAAACATCTTAGAGGTGTTGTTTTACCAACTTTTATAGGTTAAGTAACAATTGTAAAGACTAAAATAAATTGAAAACTTTATGTCTGTGTTAGCAAACTCGATCTACCATCTTGAAAAAAATTAGTCATTCAAACACATTTGAAGATAGAAAGATCTAAGAAATAAATTCACTGGTTTTCATTGTGAGACTCCAGAGCTCTACAGCCTGACCTTTTGAATAAGCCAGTGATGGCATCATGGTGAACAGTGAGAAAGGGCACAAATTGAGCAGGCAGGTGGCAGTGTGGTGTGGTGTGGTCTCCTGCATGGTGTCTTCATTTTGAGACACAATCTCAGACATCTGAGCCTAGGTCCCCCAGGTGTGGAAAACTATGAGAGAAGTCTGAGGGGATACTTTAAGGAAGCATATTATTCCACTACAGACATCACTGTTTATTACAACACTGAGACAAAATCAGATGGAATCACAGCTCAGTAGTTTACCTCACCCCCAGTGCAGAATATGATCATCCTTGGGAGAGTCATTACTTTGAGGGTGAGTTTTCCATACAGTTGAGTATATCCCTTTAAATACAAGAAACTTGATATGTTTTGGCCATTTCTGATGGGCAGAATCATAGAACGCATTATCCTTTCTTTAATGTATTTATTAGGAGTACAGCTGTGGAACTAAACAAATAGGATTTAAATTGGCACATTTACCTCTTTTGATTTCTTCACCTCGATCTTGGGGATCTTGCTGGTAGCATGACAGTGAAGTGCGAATTATGTTAAGTATAAAAGATACTCATCAGAATGCTAGATAAATGGCCATAGCTATTTATCTATAATGAGATCATAATGATAATAATTAAAAACAACATTTAATCATTTCTTGAGGTCTCAAATGCTGCGTCTCCCACAGGGTGTGGGGTTATTTTCCTCCAGATTTAGGTTTTCTGAGTACTTTCCACAGTCTTCTCCATACAAGAAGGGGTTGGAAGGAGGCAGAGGGCTGCACATGGGCAAAAGAGGAGCACTGACCATCACTGGGAAATGCACTCTTACCCAGGGTGTCATCTAATGGAATAGAATTTTACAAAAAAATGAATTTAATAATATCAGTAATAAATAATAGCAACCTGCCAATAAGTGGGTGAGGAAGACAATTGCATTTCCACTGATCAATGAGGCAAGAGTCTCAGAAGACTCAAGAGTCAGAGAAGCTAAGTAATAATGAAACTAGATTTGGGGTTTCCTGAGAATGTAGTTTGCTTTAAAAGCCAATCTCCAGTTCCCATTCATAAGTCATTCTCTTGTGTCATGATTCACAATCTCTCACCCAAATAGTCCCTTTGGTGTTATGAGCTGGACCCCTGAGGTCTGACCATCTCTGGGTTTGCGCCACGGAGTTGGAATAGAGTTTCAAAAGGCTTTTGAAGCATGCTGTGTATAAGCAGAATTATCCTTTCCAGGACACCTTGAGGGAAAAGCTGAGCAGTTGTAATGGTGGCCATGGCTGCTCATAAAAATCACATTCTTCCTTTGTAGGTCTGGCGCCCCTGGAAAGAGCTCCACGCACTGTTATCGGTTTCCAGCAGGTTTATCTCTGGAAAGGTAAGCTCCCCTTTGTGGTACAAGTGACACGGCTAGAAACTGGCCCTGCCTAGCTTTCACTGGGCATTCAGCTCCCCATAGAGCAAAGGTAGAGATCAACTTTCTAAGAGAGTGCTCTCAGTATAACAGCAGGGCCCCACTCTTCATCAGATAAGATACCACAGTCGAAAAGGAAAATGCCCAGTGCAAAAACCCAAGGAAAGAGGGAGGAGGAAGAACTGGGTTCCTGGGAGACAGAGTTCACTGAACACACACTCTCCTGCTTACCAGGACAGGGGCATCGGGGCCGTTGCCAAGTACAGCAGGAACCTGTCCAACACTGAGATTTGGGGTCAGAGGACAGAGGCTCAGGGATGGATCCTCAGGTGGTGCTGGGGAATTTTGCTAAATTTATTCAAATGCTAGTTTGTTTTTTGACCACCTGAGTGGTCTAGAGTACATTATTTCACTTTTCTGGGTCTGTTTTCTCAAGCATAAAATGCAAATATGATTTTTCACCTTCACAGCGTGCTGGAAACACCGGTGTTTATGAACTTGCTTTACACTGCAGGGCAAATATTCAGAATTTCTCTATCAATGCAATGAGTGTTATATTATGAATAGGTCGGCTAGTGTGCAGTGCAAAGTTGTGGCATCAGGCCTGTGCCACGAGGTCTGCCCCAGCCCTTGCTGAGCTCCTGGCTGTGCATCATGATACTTTCCTGCTTCATTTCTCTTACCACAGGCATATTACTCCTTCTCCTCAACATTACATGCTTTCTTCTTTTGTTCCTCCTAGATTCTGACATGGCATCTAGGCCTGAGTCTCTGGGATGCAGAAAAGATGTGGTACCAAGGTCTGAATCTTCAGCAGAGACAGGTATCAACCCCTGAACACTGCACACGCCTGACTGGCTGCCTGTAGAGACAAAAAGATGGCATCAGAGATTTAACCCATGAATGAACCCCTTACCATTCCTTGCCCACTCTACTTTACAGCGTCAAATGCCCCTCTAAGCTTCTATCCCGTGGAACAATCCAGCAACTCCTCACAGGGGTGCTTGGCATAGAAATTAAGAAAAAAAACTTAGTAACTCACCCCTAGTTGTAAATAGAAGCAATCACGATAATAAAACCAGGGGAAAAGACGCGTTGTAGAGCAAGGTTCACGTGACAATGATAAATGACCAGTTTTTATGTCAGACTTGAAAAATATAAACAAATTCAAATATTCCAAAAGTGTTTAATCACTGGTAAAACACTGTAGAAAGTAGTGTGAAGATTCCTCAAAAAAACTAAGGTTGGAGGTTCTATTCTACCTAGTTATCCCCCTTCTGGATATTTTCCCAGAAGACTTGAAAGTATCATGCCACAGTGATAGATGTGCACCCCATGTTTATAGCCGTGTGATTTGTAATAGCCAAATCTTAGAACCAATGTCCACCAACAGAGCAATGGATAAAACAGATGTAGTATTTTTATATAATGGGGTTCTTCTCAGCTATAAAGAAGGGTAAACAAGACACGTTTATAGGTAAATGGATGCAACTAGACACACCATACTCAGAAGTATGTGTAAGCACATGTTAAGCACCAAAATTATCTCACTGGTGTAAGAAACTGAAAGTAAATGAGATCCAACATTGTTTAATGGATGAGAAAGATTTTGAACATGAGTCGCCACATGAAGTGGAAGCAATGAATTTAAACTAATAGACATGAAACGTGTGGAATGTCCGAGGTTTCACTTCTAGAACCTGCAGTCGTTTACTGCTGGAGTGGAGGTAAAATACAGAGTAGGGAGAAAGGGAGAGAGAGAAGAGAAAGAAAGGGAAGAGAGAGAAGAGAAGCAGGAAGAGAGAAGGGAGGGAGTGGGAAGAAGAGTAGCTTACTCTGTGCTGCTGTAACAGAAGACCACAGGCCAGACGGGGCCATTCACAGGGAGTAAACAAGGGCCCTCTTGTGGTCAGTGCCTAGCAGAAGGCATCAGAGAGGCTCCAGGGAGTGAGGAACAGCTGAATTTGTCTTTACACCCACTCTCAGGCTGCAGGCATAGCTCAGTGGTAGGGTTCTTGCATAAAAGAAATAAGGCCCTGGGTTTGATCCTCAGCAATGGAAAGACAGAGACAGACACAGACAGACAGACAGACAGACAGACAGACAGACAGACACACACACACACACACACACACACACACGGTGAAGGGGGAGGGAAGAGCGGGGTAGGAAGAGATGGAGAGAGGCTATTCTTACCACTTGTGGGCTGCATGGCCATGGGCACCCTGCTCACATGGTAAGTTCCTTGAGTTCCTTAGGTGTAGGATGAAATCTTGCATCTCCTATCCTAGGAGATGGTAAAACTCCAGTACTTATCTGGTATGTAACCAGTAACCCCAAATGGTAGTTTCTTCCCCTTCCCAAGTTTCTTTCCAGGTCACATGAGATAATACATAAAACCAGTGGCAAAAGGGCTGGTCCCTTAGTAGTCAACTAGCAAGAGTTGCTGTGAGATGCGGAGGGTCTGCTGTTTAAACGGTGAGCTCTCAGGTCAAGAGATCAGGTTGGAATCCCAGCTTTGTCTCTATCTGCTCATGGAACTGAGTCCCCTTGAGTATCAGGATTTTCATCTGTGGTATCACAGTGGTAGCCACATGGTTGGCGAATTAGGGACCCAGAAGGGACAATTCCTTAAACTGTTGCAATATGGAGCCTGAGCTCACCATCAGCAGCTGTAGGTCCCTGGAGCTACTGGTGGCTGTGGCCCCACTACAGAGCCTGGCTCATGCAGCCATCCGATTGAGTCTCGCCCCACCCTGCCTTTCTTCCTGTCAGATAGTTGGTCCCAATGTACACAGGCAGCAGGGACACAGTTTCTGTTCTTGGCCCTTCTTCCCCTTCAAACATTTTCAAGTGAAACATCAATTTTGCCCTAGAGGAGGCAAAGTGCCCAGAGGACCTTTCTCCTCCTTATCCAGGTCTCTTCTACATAATGATGTCTCCTCACCATTCTGGTTTTTGCTCAGGGCTGTCAATGGACACACAAACCTCACAAGCTCAGGCCTGGTGTTTTCAAGTTTACCATCAGTGCTGTCCAGGGAAGGTCAGTGAGACAACAGCTCTCCAGGGAGTGCTGCAGAGGAAAGCCAGGCTTCCACCCTCCCAGCCCCCCGGGTACCAGGCCATCCATTGGTGCTTTACATACATCATCTCACAAGTGACATAACCACTCTGCTGGCCAGGGTTCCCATCCTCCTAAGAAGGAATGAGGGGCTTATGGTGCCTTGGTATCCCAAGTTTAAGCCAGTCAGCACTAAATATACAACAACTCCAGGATCCAACCAGATCTCAGTGTCCAGGTTTTTCTCAAGCCCTAATCAAGCCCTTATCCAGCCAGGTGGGAGTGGACACTCAGACCCCAGAGCTGGCCAGCACACCTGGGACTTTTGTTTAATTTTCAGAGTGGACTTCTAAATTTTTTAAAATAATTTAACCAATATTTTTAAATTGGAAAGTATTATGTAAAAAAATGAAGGCTCTGGCTTCTTGAGAGAAAGACAGGAAAATTTCTAGCAGCACTGACTTCAGATATCTCTGAATTGACCATCGTCCTCTGAGCTGAGCAATGCTGAACCATCCTTTTCATCTGAGGTTGTCCGTCCAGAGCTCCCTGGTCTCCACTATCACCCAGCAATCTGCTTCTTATCCGAGCCTCTCTGTTGTGGTCCCCAGCCTGGAAAGAGGTTCTTAGGGGTAACTACAGCTCATGGCAGGGTGAATGTGTATGAGGTGGTGGCACTTGGGAGCACTGGATAAATCCACCATTAAGCAATGTGTCAGGGCTGCATCACCAGTGCTGTAGCAGGGTGCTCCCAGGAGGGTCCCCCTCCCTCTACCACTCACCAGAATAGGAGCTTGGCCCCTGACCAATGCCCTGCAATGAAACACAGTGCACAGAAAGAGCTCTGCTCAGCTTTCCTTTCTCAGCTGATCACATTCTTGGAATGCAGAATATAAAATGTCTGCGGAAGCAAGGCTGTTGATCCCATCCCGGCTTCTCCAAGTGCTCCCTATTGGTCTGTGTTTCTCAAGGTCCGTGAGAAGGACCTCAGATTTAAAGCACAGGGAGATTTTACCCTTTCTGCATCAGGTCCCTGAGGTCAGTCTGAGTGTAGGAGACCAGCACAGAGAAGCAGTAAGAGTGGCTCTGGCTGGCCGGCCCAGTCCTGGTCTCTTTCCCTTGAAGTGGAGTACAGGGTTAGAGAGAGTGCGTGGACAGTGGTTTCTAACACAGTGTCTATGCCAGGTACAGTGAGATACAGAGTCACAAGTGGCCACTCTTTTGTCTAACAGATGCTTCTTAAGTATATGCGCTATGCCCAAGGACATTCACAGACCAGTCGGATGCCCATGTACCAGCCACCACTTGACACAGTGACACAAATGTGAAGTGCAATAGGAATGCAAGGGAGGGAGGGCGCCAGACAGCCCAGCAGAGCCAGAGAAGGCTTCTCAGAGAAGTACAGGTGGATCTGCCAGACACTTCCGGGGAACGCCTGAAGCAGGTGCCTCAGGCCAGAGGGCCACCAAGGGCAGATATGTTTGAAGGAACAGTGACTGTCTCGTTTTATATTCAAGTGGGGATAAAGGTGAAGGAACTGACTTTCTCTTTCAGGTTCCACAGCAGAACTTTTTTCCCCCGTGGACCTCAGCCAGGTCATTGTCAGTGTAAACAGGTCTCTGCCTAGTCAGCGGCACTGGCTTTTCAAACACCGCTTTTCTGCCCAACAGGCAAAGCTGTGGTGCCTTTCTCGTAAGTACCCTCAGATTATATCCTTCAGCTTTAGGACTCTGGGTTTGAGATCATAGCTTAGCTCAACTTCAGAGATGAAAATGAGATCATTCTCAGTGATGCAGTTCAGGGATCACTGTATTCCTCGAAGACAGATAGGACCCAATCCTGGATGTTCAGAAGTTCACAGTATAGTCAGTCTCTCCTCTACTCCTGAACCTACAAACCTATTATCAGTCCATCTGCCCATCCACTCTTCTGCTCATCTACCCCTCCATTCATCCATCCATCCATCCATCCATCCATCATCCATCCATCCATCCATCCATCCATCCATCCATCCATCCATCTATCCATCCATCCATCCCTCCCTCCATCCATCCATCCATCCATGCATCTATCCATTCATCTGATGCATGTTATTTTAGGCCTTGTGTTTGATTGTAGGGATCAAAGACAAAAAGAATCAGCCATGCTTTTGCCCTCAAGGTGCCCACACACACCTGTGACAATGACTGATGTAGAGGAAGGACAAAGAAATTACAAAGTTCACAAGATCTCTGGTTTGCAGATCTTTCCTCTGATTTGGTCATTAGTGGATCCAGTAGAATGTTATCCTTTCACTCCTGTATTCTTGAGTTTAAGGTCTAACCGTTATTTCCACCTCTATTCTACCTTTATTCAGGGCCACACAGCCCTTTCTCAGGTAGGAGAACCCCAGACTAAACAATCACTGGGCATCTTCCCTGTGAAGAGCTTCTGCCAAGCATCCTCCCCATCCCTGCCAGGAGACCCCATAATGGTAATTCTCCTCTTTAAGCCTGAAAGCCAACTGTGCCTTTGCTGCAGGTTGCTCCCAGGAGCCCTCCTTCTGTCAGCTTGCAGAGGTAACAGACAGTGCACCTTCATACTTCACCTGCTCCCTCTACCCGGATGCCCGGGTGTGTGATGATGTTCTGGAACCCAATGCCCAGGGCTGCAGCCTGGTCCTGCCCCAGCAGCCCGGAACCCTGTTACAGAAGAAAGGTGAGCCCACAGGTGCCTGTGCATGCTGGGTTTCTATTGGGAGGCAGATCTGTGGTTTCAGAAACAGTCAGGCTTATTTTTTCTTCTTGTTAACTTAGAAGTCAACTCTGGAGGCTACTCTTGCTCCAGGGCCTCATTCAAGGAGGGAAACCACAACTGATGTACCTGTTACCTATAATCCCATGGGGTTGTGTGGTGCAGCGGGTCTCAGCCTCTGTGCCTGTAACACAATCAGTGTTGGCATTTCTCATTAAGAGAACTAATGATGCCGTAGTGTGTGTTCTGTTTTTACCTGTATAGTCTGCCTTTCCCGCAGATGCAGCTGCCCTTAGCGTCCCTTCTATCTTCTTTGCTGGAGGTTCTTACCAGATATCTGGTGACCCTAGGTTTTCCATCCAAATGTAAATCAAGCACTCAAGGCCAAAGAGAAATTTTGACTGTTTTGTGAAAGCTTGCTGGCTTTAGAATAATCTGACTGGGCATGCTTTGGGGCCATCCCTCATGTCCAGTGTTCCAGAGGAATCTTGCAATACCTGCCTATGTCTGGCGGCCTATGCCTGGCGGTTAGTGATTCAGACACCAAATCAGGTCAGAAAAGGTAGGGCAGCTCAGTGATTACTATGAAGACTGACATGAAAGGACCCCTCTTTTACTGTAGTGTGCATCCCATCCATTATCCAGGGTGCCCAGAAACCCTCTCTATTTTCCTCTCCATGAATAAGTCTTCCATATTCTTCCATGGTGTGAGGCAGCACTTGACATCTAGGGAATCCCAAAAGGCACCTGGAGGCCTCATTCTTCTAAAGGAGATTCTCAGCCCACACAATGCTTGGGCTTCTCTCTCCCTTCAGCGTGTAGACGCTTGAACTTTCTGAGAGCCAGAGGTGTGTGGGCTTGCTCTGTGGTTCTCTCCATAGAAAGTGGAGTCTGCCTTCTTAAGTCTGTGAAACCAAGGTTTACTCCTCCATAAACTTTCTATCTCCACCAAGTGTGTAACTACAGCGCCTCTCGTATTCTCCCCACCACTGCATGCTTATGACTTTACAAGAATCCCAACTGCTATTTTGAACTGAATGTGCTATCTTTAATGGAAAATTTTGGTCTAGTTTCTACTCATTGGTTCTCATGTGCTCACAATTCTCGCCACGTGATAACATTTCTTTCTTCTGTGCAGTTGTACTGAACAGCAGAGTGAAGAACTTTTATACTCGTCTGCCATTCCAGAAACTGGCAGGGATTTCCATCAGAAACAAAGTGCCCATGTCTGAAAAACCCATTTCCAATGGGTAAGCAACCTCTGCACTACCATTAATATTTATTAGTGAAACTCTTTTGCTTCCATGAAAAAGGTGAAGCCATAGCTGTTAAAGGTAAAAGCCTGATAACAACTGCACAGCCCAAAGCTAAGTGGAAAAAGACATAATAAAGAGGTACTCATACCTGAAATCTGGGCTAAGGCAAGTTACTGACTCTGAACACCAAGCTTAGCGCTTCACTTTTAGGCAGATGATGGGAAAGGGACATATTGAACTATGTTCTGTCAATTAATAAAAGTTACCAAGCATAGCAATGAACCTGGTGCTCAGAACCTCATGGTACTGCATTCAGAATTTGGAGAGCAAGTAAACCTTTTAACAGAACCATAAGCTTGTAAGGAATTTTTGTTCCATTATTATTTCAAAAATTTTTTTGTATTGTCTATCATGTTAGTGGTTCAGTGTTTTTATAATTGAAAATGAGGTTTTGCTCAATACATTCATGGAACTCACCCTTGGAATCACAGGGAATCTTTTTATCAACTACTTTCCTGGGTCTTATCCTAGACTATCTCAGCCTTCCTGGGATGGGGCTCAAGTACCAGAATTTTAGGAAGATCCCCAGTGACTCTTTTGCCTTTTTTATTAGTAGTGTTTGCAGTACATGAGGCTTACATTCATCTTAGGAAGCAGCTACACATGTGTAACACAGCTTGGATTATTTTAATCCCCTTCCCCTTCCCACCTCCTCACTCCTTCCATCTCTTTTCCACCGTCATTCTTATTGTTATCAGTTCATGTTCATGGCACATAATGTTCCCATGCGTTGTGGGTATTTGGTACATGCACACGGCACTGCTTAAATCTTTTTACTTATTGATCTTGAACTATTGAGTTATGAACTGCACATAGCTGGCATTTAGGAATTTCTTTTGAACATGGAAGCAAAAAGATAAATCAGGCTAGTCTGTCTTGAGGTCCAGCTGGACATCGGCTATGCTGACTGAAGGGCAGAACAAGGGGTCAGTCTGACCTCAGTGCAGGGACAGAATCTGGTAGAATGGAGCTGGTGTATTCCAACTCAGGCAAGCTTGGTTAGCTGGGAAAACCAGTGGTCCGAGCTGAGGCTTAGCAAGGTAATTCCAAGAAAGGAAAAGGAAGTAGCAGATGATAGACAGGAATTTGGAGAGGGAAAGGGGAGATGGCTCCTCAGTATCAGGGCAGAGAAGTAGCCAGCAGTGATTTTACTTGGTTCCTGGAAAAACAACAGTAAGAATGTGGCAGGGTACACATATCAAAAAGGAAAAGGAGGCTGAGTAAGCTCTCAGGAATCAGATTGGAACCCATGGTGAGGGCAGCGGGGAAACAGAACACTGCTCTGAAGCACTGGTTTGGAGCCACTAAGTTCCTCCTGCAATTACTGGCTCCAGAAGCTGAGAGGTGGGTCTGGTAGCCACACTGAGTAGGTAAGTAAGGTAGGTACTAAGGAGAAAGCCAAGAGGGGTGAGCCAGAGAACAGACACATCCTCCTGGAATGTGAGCAGCTTCTGACGCAGAGTATGAGGGGACACCAGGGAGATACAAGCTCGGCTCTTTGTGGCTAAAGCAGCCCGGGTGGGCCACTGACTGTAGGTATGCCTTTTTCACTGTCTCTTCCTTTTCCTGGGTCCAAAGCTGAGAATTCTTCCTTATCTGAAAGGGTTGTAGGAGAAATCCAGAGTCCTTGACTTGGAGACTGGCAGGCAATGAGCACAGAACATACGCTTGATGGGTGGACAAATAAGTGAATGAATGAAGGGTTCGATACAGCGTTCTCCAGAAAACAGAACTTAGCTTTCACAAATACTCTCAAAGCTAGGAAGGCACTCACATGCACTCACCACAGTACCCACACTTACCCAGTCCTATAAGATGAAGGTCAGTTATGAAGAGAGCTGACCTCCAAAGTAAGAATGGTGACTATTCATCCCACCGCTCAGGTGCTGGGCATCATGGAAGCCCTCAGATCTGCTCTCTTTTCTGATGACAGGTTCTTTGAATGTGAGCGACTGTGTGATCTGGACCTGTGCTGCACTGGATTCGGATTTCTAAATGTATCTCAGTCAAAAGGTATTAACAGTAACAAGTCATTCTGCCCTCTACATAGCACTCTGCAGGCCAGAAAACACATGCACATTTAGAATCTCATTTCATCCTCAGCATCTCTGCAAGTGAGTGGAAAGGTGAGGTCCTCACTGATAAGCTGGGTTCAGAGAGGGCAGGTGCCCATTAGTGAGACAGCTGCATGTGACTCCCACCCTGGGGACCTGTTGACCTTACATGTGCATTTTTGCTTGATCCCTTTAGCCTTTTTCCCTTCCATATGTCACTTAGAAGTTTTGAGCTCATCTTTCAGCACTGTAATCAGGCAGTTTGGTGAGGTGGACTCTGAATACGTCCATGTGACCTGTATTTAAAATGTGGTTAAGGATCTGCGGGTTGGGTATAACTCAGTTGTTGAATGCTCTATTTTTGAGCCCCAGCACAAAAACAATCAGAAGGAAATAAAGCAAAACACAAACAATAATGACAACAATGAAACAAAACAAAAACTTTGTGCTATAACTTACTGGGGATGTGATGCTAGATGAGTCATTTATCTACTCCCAGAGGCTCAGTTCTCTGGTCCCTAGGGAGGAATGTACATTACCTTCTCCTTTGGGTCCTTTGAGCACCAAGTCAAGTGATGCAAGCAGAGCCTGGCACAACAGGCAGGCGCTGGATCAGCCGTTGCTTCCATCCCTGAGCCCCAAGGCCTAAAGCTCCTCACACAAGGGCTCCGGGTCTGCACCAGAGGCCAAGGTTCTCCCAGGAGACAGTGGTGAACAGCAGATATCTACTGAACACTGATTTATAGGGCTTCTCCCATTAAGTAAGAATCTCCTGTCATGCTCAACATCCTGGTCTTGGTTATGTGTCCCCAGGAGGAGAGCTGACATGTCTAACTCTGAGCAGCATGGGAGTTCAGACGTGCAGCGAGGAAAGTGGAGGAGCCTGGCGTATCCTGGACTGTGGCTCTCCTGACACGGAAGTCCGCATCTACCCCTTTGGGTGGTACCAGAAGCCTGGTAGGTAGCTTCTTTCTGGCAGCTCCATTGGCATCCTCAGTAGCCTGTATCCCAGCTGTGCCTCAGGTCTATTTCCTCAGCTTGGGGAGTATATGGATCAGAATTCACTGGGTACAAGCAACAGGTACTGATTCTCTTTATTGCAAACCGAACAGAACAGAAGTTGATTTGGAGTCTGCTGCTTGTCTCCAAGGAAAGATGCCCATCTAGGTCTCAGGGAAGAAAGAGAGCAGGCTCCACCAACGCATTAGACAAGCACAAGTAGCCAAATCCATCAGTGGACCACAGTTGTCACTGGTCAGCTCCAGAGGGGCTACATATATTCAAGGCTTAACTTAAGGGACAGAGCTTGAGCTGAATCTGCCCACAGCCAAAAGGTGTGTTAGATGTTTGAGTGACAGTGCCAGCAAGCCTAGATGCACTAGGGAAGGGGAAATTACACAGTAAGATCCTGTTGTTGGACAAGGCAAAGGAATAGATGTCCACTTGACCATCGTGCCTTAATCAGAGGAGCTAATAGGACAGCATGGGATGCAGCGATCTTAGGGAAGGAAAGAGTGACACTTGTTTGACAGTGCTTATGCAGTTGGAGATTCAGCAGCAAGGCAGAATTGGCCCAGTGTAAGTCCTTAAGCATATGTACTAAAGACATGTAAGACAATGTCCTGGCACCTTGTAGGAGTTCAATTTGCAATGGATGCAGGAATGAGTGAATGGAGACAGGACTGGACTCACATGAGAAACCATTAGTGTCTCTACATCCACCATGAGTTTGTCTTTAGGAAGTCAGGACGCTTCTCTGTTTCTCCATTAGTGAATCAGGTGAATGAGACTCACTCTAGCGCCATCACCACTTACATTCTGGGAGCTTGTGGTATGGGGGGCCTGGGGAGCTATGTGAGTGCAGAAAAAGTGGAGGAGCTAGACATCTCCCTTTATCCCAGACTCAAACTCACAAATCTGTCCCAGTCCTATAAGATGAAAAATCCCTGTTTTAGAAGGAGTTGAATGGAAAGGCTGAGCAGAGGGGTGGGTCTCTACCAACTGTCTCATGAGTGCTCACTGCTCACTTTCAGAGTAACTCTGAAATGGCCTTCGTCTTTCCTAGCACATTCCTAGAAACAAGAGCTGAGGGTTGTCTGATTTGAAAGAAGTCTTAGAGATCAATAATTGTGTTCTCCACGTTCTTCACAACCTCCCTTCACACTACTCTGCCCAAAGCAGGCAATGAGAAAGAACTAGGACTTTTCAGTGCTTACTAGGTGTCAGATGTGTGCTGGAACTACCTGGGCTACCTCACTTCAGATCCAGAGCTCTCCTATAAAGCAGGCACAGTTACCTCCATTTTAATATGGGAAATGTGTGGCATAGAATGTTTCAGGTTCTTGACCCAAGTCACATAGCTTGTATGAAGAAGAGTCATATTGAAATCCCAAATCTGATGGCCCTGGGCTCCCCTCATCCTTCTAGGATGTCATCTGGAAGGCCTTCAAGTCAGTGGGTAATAGAAACTCCAGACGTCTTGTCTGGCTGGCTTCCCCCAACTCGGTTGGCTAACTAGAAACTGACTAATGGGCTGAAGCAGAAGATCCACCAGCTGGCCAGCTGGCCCCTTTGTGGTTTGGCCACCAGAGCTGGAACTGGAAGGCAGAGCTTAGACTCCCAGCAGCATCCCTCCTTGACCTTGCTAATGACCCTATGCATTCCTCAATTTCGTGGCAGATTCTTCTGTTTGGAGGTAATTCTTTCCAGGCTGAATAGAATGTTCCTGCTGATATCTACCTTCAGAAGCCTGGGACTTGATCTAAATTCCCTCTGCTGACTTTTTCCTTTTATTTCAACATCTTAGAAACATTTTAGGAAAAAAATATCAGAGTGATGTAATGAAATAGCCTCCTCTATCTATATGTACCAGTCTGCTGGACTTATCTTACAGAGGCAGGGAGGAGGAAACACTTTTCTAGGATTTCCAGCCCTAACAGACACCAGTGGCCAGCTCTGAGCCTCCTGCCTGCCTGTCTGTCCTCTTGCCTTCTAACCCCACTAGAGTCTGAAAAATGTGCTTTTCCATCTTATGACTCATGGATGAGTTAGGTAAAAAGTTGAAGCAGGAATTCATTTGTTCATAAATATAATGGAAAGCAGACCAGAGTGTTACAACGTCTCCACAGGAGCTGGCAAAGAACCCAAGGTGTTTCTTATCCCAACCAGTTCCAGCTGTTTGCTTCTTTTTATCTGCCTGTCCAGATCACTGGGAGCTTCCACTGTATGATCTATGGGGTCAAGTTGGAGACTCAAGAGTTTAGACTGGAAACTACAGGCAGGAAGAATTCAGAGAGGGGTTCTCCCAGTCAACAAACATGGCCTGACACCAAACACCAACCAGATCTGGGAGCCTTTGTTCACTGGGGTTTTCACAGAGGGTCAAAGAATGATCTCATTTAAACTTCATACCCTGTGGGATGAGGAACAGAGGCCCAGGAAGTTACTTCACTTGCTGAAGGCCGCGTGGCAGGCAAATGAGAGCTAGATTGGGACATAGATTTTCTGACTTTAAGTCACTTGTTATATGGCTGAGTGGGTAAGTCATTATTATATTGTTATATGACGAATGGGTAAGTCATTATTCATGTCATCTAGGTACTCACAGTCTAAGGAGGAGTTGCAGAAATAACCCAACCCTAAATGAGCAACTCATCCTGGTTATGAGTCTTTCATAACATAAGGGTAGACGTTTGGAGACTTTGCTGAGTGTTTATGGTTAGTCATGTATTATGCTGGGCTCTGAGAAAAGGGAAATTAATAGCATTTAGCTATTCTTAGATAACAAGCTATGTAAGAGGACACAAGCATACATGAATGACTCTAACACAGCTCACTTAGTGAAATCGGCCTAATAAACGAACCAGTCTGTTCTCCAAGCTGAGTCATGCTCATCACTACAAAACCATCTTTTGATTTGTGATGGATTCTGAGACAAAGCATTTTCCCCTTCTTGCTTCTGCATGTTGTACAGTCTTGAATTTTCTTTTCTTTCATAACATAACTGGATCAGCATCCTTTTGGGTCATCCTAATACATAGCGGGTATCATTGCTGCCTCTTTTCCTCATCCTGGTCTTTATATTATCCAACCTCACAATGGTATTAATGGCCTCAATGGGAAAGAGAAAGCTGTTTGGAAGGGGAGCCCCTGAACCTTAGGCCTGAGGGTCGGTGGGATTCTAAGTCACCTCTCAATCAGCACTCATACATGACACATATGCTTTACCAAGCAGTTCTACTGAAGGACGTTGATAATGGACTTTGGGCTTCTTTGGCCTGATCTGATTCTTGAGCATATAAACATCTCTATCCCGTGGTAACTGTGAGTTGTTGACACTGAATCTCCTGTTGCTGAGAGAAACACAGTAGCCTTTCTTAAGCTGTACTGTGTGCTGAATGCCAGGGAGCATAAGGATAAGTTCTTAGTGCCTTAGCTGACATCTGGTTAAGGGGGTAGATGTGAAAGGAAAGCCCCTTTGGGAAGCACTTCCAGTGCGGCAGACACAGGATGCACTTTCTGTGCATTAGTTTCAGCCTCCTAGAAGTGGTGCCCTTCCCTTCCCACACAGAGGAGACAGTAGTTACCTCTGTGCTCAGAGAATCACAGCGATGCAACTGGACCTGCTGGAGGAGAAAGAGCTGCCTTCAGAGTTGAAAGGAGATCAAAACATACCACTCTACAGGGACTGTGGAGACCGGCTGAAGTTGCCACCAGACAAGGTCCAAGGAAGAGATAGGAGAAGGAGACCTGAACACCTCTGGAAAGGTCTTTGACAGCTTGTTTCAGAAAAGCACTTTAGAACACATCAGTGACAGGCGTAGGCCGATTTATTAGGTGGAGTCAGAAAGTAAGAGAAACTGGGAAGGATCTCACCTCAGGAGGCTGCAGGGACATGGCTCTGACAAAGATCAGATTGGCTCGTTAACAAAGGAAAGAGACTGATTTCACAGAGGGACTGAGATGGGCTAGGGTCTGCTGGACCATTGTCTCAGTTCGGGGTTTACCAGACGGCTCTGGAGCGGTTATCATTGCTTGAGCAGCAATCTATCTCCATGGAATGATTATTTCTGCTTGGGGAAGTCTCAGTTTTGCTCAGGCATTGTTGGAATCCAAGGTGACTGTGTATTTAGGACAGTGGCAGAACCTTTTAAACACTTAAGTGACCCTGTAAATTGCTTACCTTTGTATCTTCGGTCCCGAAAGGGATGACAGGTAATTTCTAGTTTTCAGACAGACATTCCCTGAATGAGTAACAAAACTTGTGTGTAGAGCTGAGCAGGCACCTGATCCAAAGTTACTCACTGGGCATCTGTAAACCCAAGTGAATGTCACTTTTTTTTAAGTCCCTGACTGCCTCAGAAGCAAACACAAATAGAGATTTTACTGTGTCATAGGTTAAGGACCCAGGAGTGTACCTGCCCTTTCCCCCTTGGTGGTCTCTGATTGTCTCAAAATGTCACTGGGGCAGAGCTGCCTGAGTTAAAGGACAAATGTAAAAAGCAGTGAGTTGACTGCCTGTAGTGACACTGTAGTGACACTGCCTGAAGTGACACTGAGTTATAGGGATAGGGATGCTTGCTCCCGCCTCTCAGGGCTCATGTTTCAGTAGAAGTCTATACAGCAGCCATTACAACCTAATCTTCATCCAATGGCTGTCTTCATACACCAGTAGATGAGTCTCTAAAGGTCCAGGAGGCAAAGGCACAAACCTAGAACAAGGGAGAGCCAAGAGGAACCCCAAGGTACTGCAGTGATGAATTCTTAATTACTGTCCCAAGTGAACAGAAAGTTCTATGTATCTTAACACAGAACTGCAGAGGGTCAGGCTAAACAGTCATGGATGCAAATGAGAACCCAAGAAGGGCAGGTTCTGGGAGCACAGAGGATCAGGGAGACTGTGTGGACGGGAACAAACTGCTGCTCTGCAGCCAAGGGTGCGAGTGCAGGGCATGGATGGCAGGCACTGGCTCCTTTTACTCTTGAAGAGAACCAGAACTGTCTCTCCTGTTTGCAGCTATACATGTCCTGCAAATTTAACAGAGCCTTTGCTTTACTCAAAGAGTCCAATTGGACTTCTAAAAAACAGTCAAAGCCACGTGGTTTCTGTCTTCTCGGAAGAAAGGAGAAGATGATGATTGGTATCTATATATCGCTGCATGTGGTGGGGAATATCTTAGTTACTTTTCTCTTGTTGCTGAGACAAAATACTCAGCACCCCAAATTAAGGAAGGAGAGGTTTATTTAGCTTACAGTTTGTGAGGCTTTCAGTTTGTAATCAGCTGGCTCCAAGGCAGTGTGGCATGGCATGGAGTGGAGTAGGGGGAATGACAGTCCAAGCCAACAGAAGGCAACAAGAGCAGCAAGAGCAAAAAAGAGGAAGAGCAGCCTCTTTTCCTTCCTTATATTGTAAGCAAGTTCCCCTTCTCCAGGGAAGGTGTAGCACTCACATCATCTCCATGCTCTCCTCTTGCACAGGATGAGAACGTTTAAAAGTTCTGGCCCCTGCTGAATCACTTAGTGTTATGGTTTGTGTTCGGCTGTCCCCCCAAAGCCTCATGTAGTCATGAAGGCGGCTGAATCTAGTGTCTATGATTAACCAATCATAGTTGTCTAGCACTGGGATTGGAAATGTGAGTGCTGCACCTGCCCAGGGTTAGGTAGCTGGCATACAACATAAGGGAGGGAAGGAGGCATGCTTTTACCCTCTCCCTTTTTGTTCTTGTTGCTTGTGGCTGCCATGAACGGCTGCCCTTCAGTCATGCCTTGGAGCCAGCTGAGTAAAGGCTGAAACCTCCACATGTTGTAAGCTAAATAAATCTTTTCTTCCTTCATTTTGGGTGTCAACTATTTTGTCTCAGCAAGGAGAGAAAAGTAATCAAGACACTTAGTTAAACTTCTAAACTTCTTAAATTGATACAATATGTCAACCATTCCAGAGTGTTTTCTCATTATATTCTTTTCTTTCAATTTTAACTGTTTTAATAATGTTCCATACAAAATTATCCTTGTATGTTCTCAATGGTTTCTCCTTGTAGCTGCCCTTTTTCTTTATCAATTCAGCTTTCTATTGCAGGATCTTTTTTCAGGCTTTGTTCAAATTTTAGTTTGGTGATAACCACCTTGCTAGGATTAATGCTGGAATGAACAGCTGTGTTATTTGCCTTTTCCTACTGCAAGTGTTCAGTGTATATGATGTATTCCTTCTGTAAACCTGGACAACTTTGCCATTCTGCTGAATTTTATGATGTCCTCGTACAACCTGAGCTTCACCATGCTTTCAAATGGGTATATATTGTATGGTTAGCTTCTGTCTCAGCTCTTTGTAAAGAAAGCAAGACACACTCTTCCTGTGGACATGGGAAGGTACACTGAACAATGGACTTTATAGTCTTTGCTTCATTATAAAGCATGAACAGATTGAACTTCATTTTGGCCATTGTCACTTTAGCGATGGCCACAAAAGTGACGCCATCCACCTCACTGCATTCTTAGATTGTCCTCATTTAAACAATGCTATGATGGGGTACAAAAGAAGTTAGAGGAGTCATTGTCACTCTGCATTTCCTCTCTTTGGAATATTGAGTTCAAATTCATGCCTGCCTTTGAAGTCCCTGTGTCTCTATGTCAAGAGGTCTGCCATTAATAACTATCATTAACTGAGCTCTTCTGCATGGCATGGTGCTAAATGTCATACCTTACATCATCCCCTGTAGTCCTACAGTCATTAGTGAGATAGGCAGTACTGTGCCTATTGTGAAGAAGTGGAAATTGAAGTTGGAAAGGCTAAGTGCTTTGCTCAGTTTACAGAGCCAGTGAGGGTGGTGGCAGGCATTTGCAGAGTTTGCTGTGTGTTTCTGGCTAGGTGCTCTGGGGCATGATGGGTTACACTTCTTCATCCTCACCAGGGTTGGCCAATGACACGAGAATGAGTGGTGTATGCCACTGCTACACGGAAGCTATCAGAATAAGATTGAAACTCAGTGCATCCTCTTTGGTCTGAGTGGCAATGGATAAAGCCTGGAGCAAGACAGGGCCTTCTTTGTCCTAGGTCTAAAGGGAAGTGACACAGAGCAATCATCATCCTTGTGCTTTAGGATATGGTGCTGGAGAGGGGGCTTTATGCTGCTGCCTGCCACTTAGTTGTGAAGTGGGTAGTCACCTCACCTCGGTATAACCTGACTCTGCCTGACCCCATGGCATATTGCTACCCTTCTGTCTACCTAGAGCCTGACTTCCCTCCCGTCATCCTGTCCTGGGCTCTGCTGAGGTCTTCAGAACCCAGTCATATTGGCTTATAAAAATGAGCTAAAATACTGTGTTTTCTTTTTTTCCAGTTGCTCAGAGTGACGTCCCCAGTTTCTGCCTGCCGGCTGTTCCACCTGCCTTTACCAAGAAGGGTAAGTCCATCATTTTATTACCTTTCTTAGCAAGGTACTGGCTTCTTTCTCATCTTTCCCATTGTTCTCACATGCATGTATCAGTTGTACACATATGTCGGTAAGGAGATCACAGGCAAGCAACACACATGTCCTGCAGACAAGAGGCTGACTTCCATGGTTTCTGCACTTAATACAGCTAAGCAGGTCACTGTGAGAGTGGGCCCAGTCCCCTCGCCCCCCCCCCCCATTATGGGATTCACCTCACTTACCAGGTAGGGCTGGACTAGCACAGTCCTGTGCAGTGTCAGCACAGTGGTATTGGTGGCCAGAAAGGAAAAGAAGGCAACTCTGCATTAGAATGGAGCAGTGCGGGCTCCTGGGTACTGGGTTCAGAGGCTGACATTGTGGCTGAAGTACTGTCCATGTACCCAGGAACCCAGAGGCCAGAGCCTGGCTGGGGCATGGCTGTTTTTCCTCCTGTACATTGCCTCCAGCACTCAGGCCATTACCAGGATGCACAATTAATAGCCACAAGTCTGCAGGGGCTGGCAGCAAGGGAGCAGGAGCCCAGCCTGTGTACTGGGTCAAGTGATATGGAGGCCACAAACAAGTCCAAGCATCACTGTACTGTCTGGTCTTCTGCCTCTGTCTATCATGACATGAGAGGCACAGCCTGGGCTCCAAGCACCACGCAGCCCAGAGGCGATGTGACATGAAGATATCTAAGGGGCCCTGTCAGTATGGCCTTACCACAGCATTGGACATAGCTCATGGAGGAAGGAGTTATTTACCACCAAGGTTGTGACTCAAAGTCTAAAAGTGTCCTCAGCCCATGTTATGAGTTGGCTTTGCACACGGTTAAAATGCTTTACTTCAGAGTTCTTATGTGGAAGTCATATGTACAGCACACATGTGATTTTGTTCCCTGAGCATCCTGTACAGCACGAGTGTGCTAAGCACTTTACACAATGGCAGGTGCTACTTGCTGAAATGTGCCGAGGCTGGACATTAGTCACCATTAGTGTGCTGCAATTTATGGAGGTAGAACTTAAAGAGACGTTAGGACTCCTTCAGCCTCATGATCAGTGCACGTCTGAGCCAGACTTTGGCCAGAACTGATTATTGATTGTTTTATCAAGATCATATATAAAATAGAATGTCCCAAAAGATTTATAATTAACGAGGAAAAAAAACCAACAAAACACTGTTCCTGTCTTACCTCTACTCATCTGCCCTGCACATGCAAGACATCACTTTCTATTATTTAAGCTATTTTATTCTCGCCAGCTTCTGTGCTGTCAGGTCCTATGCAGATTTCGCAGCCCTGTCTGTTGATCTGTCAGTTACAGCAGTGTCTACTGAGTTCCTGGGTAGGGGATTTCACATCAACAATCCTTTGTGCATTTGTTCACTCCCACTGTTCTTTTTTTTTTTTTTCTTCTTTTTGTTATGTTTATGAGTTTGAGCTTTTTATTTCTTCACTTCATTTTGCATGGGCTTGAGAGGGAGAGCAAATAAGCATGCTAATTATGAATAATAATACAGTATTTTTCAAAACTTCTAATCATTTAATGATGACTTATTTTTTCCTTAGCACCATGCTGTGCATTTGATCTCTGCACAAACATCAGGAAACAAGTCTTACTGTGATATGTGTTAGTTATGGAAAGTTAAAACAATGCAGAAAGGCAGAAGGAAGCCACAGACTGACCTCAGAGTTATGCTGTGTCAGTTTGCATGTTAATGGGTGTATTTCCTTCCAACCTGAGGTCTATGTGGTGTGGTATGAATAGTTGTAACCTATTTATGTTGCATATTTTCATGGACTCAACCTGGCCTGGCATCAGGTGTACACTTCCAAAGGGCCTGTCTCTCTGAACCATGCATTTACCATGCCCGCGTGTGTTTCCACCCGGTCACTCATTCATTCTTCCCTAGTGAGGCTTCTGCCCTGCTTCCGGTTATGATGAGCAGAGAGGTGAGAACAGCGGTGGCTGTCAGGTTATTCCACCAAAGCACTAGCCTGGTCCTCTGTTTTTGGATGTTTGGTTTTTCATGGTTCTTTGTCATCATAAAAATACTATGCCAAACGACACCTTGGTACCTTTCTGCTAAGTCAGGATTATTTCCTGGGTAGACTCCAAAGTGCATTTCAAATTATGGGTTTTGAAATTTTTTTTTTTTATTGTAGGAGTCTAGACTTATATTGTTAAATTGACCTCAGTCAGGTGCGTTTTCCTAGCTGTGTTCCTAACAGAAATGAATTAAAGTGGTTTCTTTTTTTTCCTGTCACATATCTGCCATCCTTAAGTATCATTATTAAAGAACCTCCCAAAAATAGATTAATAAATAGTGCTGAGATAAATAAGTGTTAAATATTTGCTGCTAAAGATGTATAAATCAATGTGTAAACATTTTCAGATGATTTTATGATGCTCCCACTATTTTTAAATCAAACATTCACGTTACTGAGACTTCAGGTAATAATAATAGAAGTAAACCATATGCTGAAGTACTGAGCACCTCCCATCACACACAGCTATGGGTCTGAGTAATTGTCTCTAAGATGGAGTTAAATGTCACAGTATTTTTAAATATGTCATTTAATGCATGTCACTTAAAAGCAGGAGTAAGGTCAGTGCTAACATACCATCTCACTCAGAGTTCCCAGATCACAGCTCCTAGTTTGGGCATATTCTTTGGATGTGAATCAGGAAGAGGGCATGATTCTGCCTTCAGGGTGTTGGCATGTCAGATGTGACTGTGAGATGGATGTGTGTGCACATATGTACCATGCCTTTGTAACATACTTAGATTTATGTCCTTTCTGTTCAGAGAAAAAAAGGAATGTTTATTAAATATCAGATGTCTGCAAATCATTTAACAAGAAAGGTAGCATAGTGTGTTTTTCAAAGGAACCTGAGGACCAGAGGGGTTAAACATACGAGCTCAGGTTTGAACCCACCTGGCCACCTCAGAGTTAGGATGACTTGGCTGAATTTCTGGAATAGGTTAACAGAGATGGATAGTGGGGTCTAGACTTGTATGGAGCCCTAGTCTCTTGGGCTCATTTCTAGTATGTGACTGTGTGTGTGTAAAGTCACCCGTTCTAAGGCTACTTTAACAAGAGAATTCTGTTGCTCTAGATTAGCTGATGGGAATTGCATGAAGATACAGGTGACTTTGAAGGTCTCAAGGACTTATCCAGAGGTTACACTGTGTGCTAAGGGTGATGCTAAGGCTTGAGTTGCTGTTGCCTAGAGAAAGCTTCTAGCTGGTTTGAAGGCAGCAGGAATTTGCCAAGTAGATCAGGTCAGAAAGTCTGTCCAGAGAGAGGAGCTTGCATGCAGAAGAACTGAGGTCAGAGACAGCATGAGGGACTGGGGTGCCGAAGAGCATTCAGTGGCAGCACAGAGCAGCTTGGGGTGAAACAAAAGACAAGCAGTAGCAATAGAAGCCCGGGAAGTACATGTGCTCTCTCAGGGTCCCAGGCTGTCCTTGGAACCGGGTACTTGGGGGGCTGAGGCTGGAAGAACGCTGTGAGTTCAAGCCCAGGCAAGGCCAGTCTGAACTACTTAGCTGTCTCAAAAAGTTTTATGCAGTTTAAATCCAGGAAGATGGCCTTAGATACGGTCAGTGACTCCCTGCCCATCTCCAGCCTCTGATGAGATGTGTGAGATGTTTTCCGGGAAGTGTTCACATTTTAAGTGGGAAAACCAAAAATTTTGCTAAGAATAGAAAGGCAGAACATTTGATAAACATTTAAGGAACTGTTTGAGGAAGGGCACCAGTCCCATCCCCTCAGACCACCGGACTCAGCAGGCTGAGTCCTAGGGCATGGTCCATTAACAGATTTCCTCTACTTCTGTGCATTGTAATTATGGCTGTTGATTGGAAATCATCATCATATGTTATTAATGGCTAGTGCTGCACAATTAACAAAAAGATCTGATCCTCCACTTACCCGACCTTGTCTCACACGCATGCATAAGACATAAGACCCTGAGCACAACCCCTAAGAGCTACTGACAGCACAGCCACAGTGGGGCTGCCTCTGTTCAAGGTGACCAGAGACACGCACACAGCCATGTGCCTTGAGTCTGCCGGGCTACATGACCTGTGTGGGTCTGGGAAGATCATTGGGCTCAATGATGTCCTTGTGCCACACACAGAGGGGACTTTGAACCGCAGTGAGTGACTAATGGTGATTCTGCACATGCGTGGGTCTCAGAAACTCTGCAGCTTTCCCAGCTGCTGCTGATTAGACACTGTAACTCCAAAAAGGAGCTCAGATGCTGCTGAGAAACCAGTTCCCATCCTGTCTCCGGGTAGCCTTTGCATCAGGGACACTGCAGTGCCAGGGGTAGGGGTTCTTGATGGGAATCAGAGAGAAATCAGGCTCAAGAAGAGCAGCTGACTGTCCACTGGGCATTTTGCTTGTGATGAACTTGTAATTTTTCATGGGTATTTTGAGGGGTAGGAATTTGGTGTGGTTTTCTCATAGCTATCAATTCCTCTAGCAGTGTCACTGAAGTTGGCAGCATAAGATATGATTACTCACAAGTTGGTGAGCACACAAGCACGTGATCTCCCAGATGTTGGACCACTGCAGCAGCAGAGACTTCATTAGAGACTTCTGCTGCCTCTAGAGAAAACAGTTACAGGGCCGGGGATGGGGCTTAGTGGCACAGCACCTCCCTGGCAAGCGCCAGGTCCTGAGTTCAGTTCATGGTACCAAAAGAAAGAAAGAACAAAAGAAAGAACAAAAGAAAGAAAGAAAGAAAGAAAGAAAGAAAGAAAGAAAGAAAGAAAGAAAGACAACAGTTGGATCATGCAGAAGGAGGTAGCTGTGACAGAGTGAGAATGGGAGGGGGAAGTGGGGGTCAAAGACTTTGCCTCAGTGTTCATTAATCCTCAGTACCTATTATTACAGCATGAGAAAATGCTGCTAATAATCAAATTGACAATAGGGTTATAGCTGGCATTTAAGGATCTCTGTTTGCCAAACAGGAATAATA